GTTCTACACCTACTACGACTCCGTCCTCGCCCACGTCGGAGTGCAGCCCCAGTTCTGCGACCTCAACGAGCCCCAGGCCGCCGCCGACCACGTCCCCAGCGCCTCGTGCGACACGACGCTGACGAGCTTCACGCAGCTCGCCGCCTTGCGCCTGGCGGCCAAGCGGTCCATGCTCTTCTTCTTCGATGCTGCATTCGCCTATGTCATCGCCGAATCCACGCGCACCCTCTCCCTCGCCGACGACGCCGTGCATGCTCCCGAGGATGCGCTGTGGCTGGGCTTCTCCAGGATCCCGCGAGGCTTGTCCGTGTGCGAGGTCACCGTCGACCTGCCGTCGAACCAGGGCTCGAATGCGCAGGAGCCGGGCACGGCCGCCGTTGCCCACATCATCAACAACCTGGCCGAGGACACGCGCTTCTGCAACCAGCCCTACGTGCACAATGGGCCCAAGGCACGCTTCTACGCCGGCGTGCCCATCACCACCGCCCGAGGCATCAATATCGGAGCCCTCTGCGTTCTGGACGATCGACCGCGTGATGGACTCGACGCTTCCCAGGTCGACTTCCTCCGTTCCATGGCCACATCGGTAATGTCACATCTCGAGTTGGTATAGCCATCACCCCTTCGTGTGAGCAGCGGACGCCCACTGACGAGGAGCGGCAGGTGAAAGCGAAACAAGACAACCAACGCAGTCACAACATGACTTCTGCCCTCGGTGCCTTTATGGACGGCACGTCGGAACCCGCCGACTGGTGGCACCGTGGTGCGCGCCATCCTGCATCACATCCAAACGCCCATCTCCGCCAACAAATCGACGCGCGGTCTGGAGTACATGGAGATCCTCCCTCGAAAAACGGGCCCCGTGCATCTCGAAGAGGAGAGACTGTCGTACGGCAGGATCCCCCAAATGACGAATCCAGCTCCGACGGATTGGCCACCTTTGGCAAATCCCTAGTGGTCAACGGATTGCCTGCGCGAATAGCGGCGACAATGGCTCGTGCAGCTGGACTGCTTCAGACTGCACTGACCGCTGACGCTGTAATCTTTCTCGATGTCATCTCTCGTGTAGGGTCCATCAGTGGTGCTCCAGGTCTAGCGCGAAACGGAACCGAGACGGATACCTCTCATACGTCTGATGTTGCCGATGCCGCCCACCAAGGTAACCAAAAGTCACAGAATGCTCTTGCATCGCAGGCTGTTCCGTCACACAGCGCCGTGTTGGGCGCAGCGTTCTCACATACCGGCGATGCTAACACCAAGGACGAAAAGTCTCGGGCACAAGTCAACTTTCCAGACCAAGTCTTGAGGGGCCTTCTGCGTCGCTATCCCTATGGTCAAATCTGGCATTTCAACGCCGATGGTGATGCTTCAGACGACGAAGGCTACTCCTCCGAGGAGCTCTCTTCCATCACTAGCACTACTGAGTCTGCCGAGTCAGACATAGGAACTGGACAAACCCCAGCTGGCAAACGTGCTGCCAAAAAGCTACGCGCTCGAGTCAAAAGCGGGCGCATAATTCAAGAAATTTTCCCCGGCGTTCGAAGTTTCATGATCATTGGCATTTGGAGACCTGCAGAGGAACGCTGGTTTGGGGCCGCGGTGGTGTTGAGCTACTCTCCCACTCGAATTTTCTCGTACAGCAGTGAACTGAGCTACATGGCAGCATTCTGTGATGTTGTGCTTGCGCAGGTCGCAAGTCTGGAAGCCCAAGAACTTGGCCGGTCCAAAAAGGAGTTCATATCGTCAATCTCCCACGAGCTGAGATCGCCGCTTCATGGTATTCTCGGCAGCTCTGAATATTTGCTTGAACAAGAAGAGGACCCCACGAAGTTGGAAATGGCTCGCTCCGTCAACTCGTGTGGCACTACCCTTTTAGATATTGTAAGTTCACTCACGAGGCTTGAAGCATAGCGTGGCACCGGCCTGGCTGTTAACCCTCTGGCGCAGATCAATGACCTGCTTGAGTACTCGGGCTTAAACCAGAAAACTGCAAAACGAAAAAAGTCTCCCCATGCTCAGGCAATGGACAAAACCTCAGCGACCGCGCCTACTGTCATGGTGAGCACATTGACTGAAGACGCTGTCGACATTGCCTATTTGAGCTTTGAGCATCAGAATACGGGGTATCACGGTCTCACTGACCAGGTAGGAAACGGGCCACCAGTCTTGATCTTGAACATCGAGGCAGCTGAGAGCTCAGAATGGCTTTTCCCCATGCCCAATGCTCAATGGAAGAGGATTTGCTTGAATCTTGTGACTAATGCTCTAAAATACACGCCAAAAGGCTACGTCAGTGTGACCTTACGCAAAGATTGCCAATCAGAGGCAGCAGAGGACCACAAACGATACATCACGCTTATTGTAGGTGGCTAGCTTTGTGATCTAGAGATCTGGCTGACTTAGTGCTTACAACAGGTTGAGGATTCCGGCATCGGTATGTCGCAAGAATTTCAAGACAGAGACTTGTTCTCGGCATTCAGGCAAGAAGATAGTCTTGCACCTGGCACAGGGCTTGTAAGTCCCTGTACTTGTCTGAAAGTGAAATGAATCGGGAAATTGACCTCATTCAGGGTCTAAATCTGGTTGCCAACATTGTGAAGTCAATGGACGGTACAGTGCGCGTGCAGAGCGAAGCAGGTGTCGGCACGACTGTCACGGTCTCTATACCGTTTGTGCATTGCACTCCAACTCCGTTACCAGAGTCACGACCAGGTTCGCCACCGTTATCTCGCCATTTTTGGACTGTTGACTTCGTAGGGTTTGATGCCCGCGGAGCAGATGCAGACGTGCAGTCACCGGAGGCTGAGGCCAACATTCGATTTTTACAAAGTCTGAGGCACTATTGCAGCGAACTTGGCTTGGACGTGCAGTCCGTCGGAGATGCACATGGGCACCGATCGACTTTCAACATTGTATGGCAGCCAGCACTGGACTTTGCATATCCAGCTTACAGTGCCGGTTCACGGTCCCATCCCTTATCAGGTTCAAGACTGCAGACTCCGGCAATCGTCATGTGTAAGAGTCGCACGTCTGCTATCCAACTGCAATCTAGCCGTTCTGCGATTGCCCTGCCGGATGAAATGAGTTTTCTTTGGCCGCCAATAAGCTCTGCAAAGCTCAGTACCGCCATTTCAACTTTGAGTAGGTTCCAACACCTATATGTTACACCTCATATTGAACATGGACATCAGCTGATTATCGAGCAGTCATGTCGTCTGCAGGAACACAGCAGGAACCCATGTTCTCAGGTCACAGCGGCACCAGGTCTAACTCCATCCAGATAGACCCTTTACCAGAGCACAGCCGTACACGCGCGCACACCAGTGGATCTCTATCCTCAGACCATGCGCAAGAAAACGCGGGAGAGCCGCAAGGATCCGCAGATCCCAAACCATTTCCTGAACAGGGACGGATGCTGGCGCAGCGGCCGCAGCTGACAAGGAGCGGGAGCGAACCAACGACAACGTCAACGTCAACAACAGCACTCACAGGCAACCTCAGGGCGTCGTTTCCCATCCCGCAGCGTCCACACCACCATGTAGCGCCGGTCGCAACATCCGGGCTGACTAACATCTCCCTTTTGCTGGTGGACGACAACGCCATCAACCTCCGTATTCTCGAGGCCTTTGCAAAAAAGGGCGGTCATGCTTACAGAAAAGCGTACAACGGTCAGGAGGCCGTAGACTTGTATCGCAACGCCGCAATCACAGGGCCTGGTGAATCGCGGAAAGGTACCTCTACCAGCGCAAGCGATCCGCAGGGGGACATGACGACGATGAGAAAGCCCGAAATCATACTCATGGACATAAACATGCCAATCATGGACGGATTCGAAGCAACACGAGCGATACGCAATTTTGAACAATCCGCAAAGGTACCGAGAGCTGCCATTATTGCTGTCACTGGTTTAGGGGATACAAATGCACAAGACGAAGCGTTCGCATGTGGCATGGATGTCTTTTTGACTAAGCCTTTGCGCATGAAAGACTTACTTGAAGTGTTTGCAAGCTTGGACTTGTGATATACATTTAGAGTTTACGAAAACGACAGACACGGAAATCAGCATCGAGAACACGAAATTGAATTTTGACTATTGTCTATTGCGTCGAGCGTCTGTTTGACTTTTCGTCTCTTGCTTAACACAGATGAGTTCCGTCGGATGGCAGAGCACCAAAAACAACATCCGATGAAGAAAGGTCACGATTACAGGTGGGTGCAAGCCCTGGGTTTTCTGCTTCTCTGTTCAAGGGCCAGGCTCAACTCTAGGGATCTTTCGTGTTTACTCTGTTCCGAGTCAGCTAAACCGCAGACCAATGATAGGGTCAATTTGAATCGCATGTGGCTCCGTGTCGAAGACGAAGATGTTGAAGAGCAAGCTCGGTGAAACCACACTGCAACACGAGGGAGCTTTCACGATTGCATAGGGCAAGGCGTTCCACGCATCAACCCATCCACTGCTTCATCAACATGTCACCTTCCCTGGACCAGGCCCAAGGTGGCAGCGATCTCCCCAATTCAGCTTCGCCTGATCACCTATTAGTCCGAGAGACTTGTGCCAAGCTCTGCTAAGAAGGCATAAGCTCAAGGCGTCCAGTGCAAAGTGCTCAGATGCGGCAGAATCGGGGACAGATCTGCAACTACTAGCCCAGAGAGGGAAGCCGTGAAGGTTTGATATGCTGAGAGCCGACAATCTGAATTGTGATTGTTGCTGGCCTTATGTTCAGCTGAAGGCGCTGTAGGTCGAGAATGCATAGTTCGATGTAACGACGGCACTGAGATGACCATGGTATGTGCAAGGAAGGGAGGCCTGACTGGACGCCTGTTGGGTGAAGAGAGCGGTATAAGAGGTTGTTGTTGTAACGATGGTGGAACTATTTCTTCACAAAGCATACAATTCGAAACATCTTCACCATCTACCACAGTCGTCTATCACCTCATTTGAAAATGCAGTTGATTCTCCTAGCTACCCTTGCGGCTTCTGCCCTTGCCTCTCCCATTGTCGAAAGAGGACCAGCCCACAATGGTAGGACTGTTCATCACGTTCTCCGAAGCCTCGAACTAACAATGTGCTGCTAGGAGTCGCCACTTTCTTCTATCAAAACGGCAACGCAGGCTCCTGCGGCGAGTACCACAAAGACAGCGATTACATCGTAGCCATCAGCGACAAGTCTCCATTCACTTACAATGGTACACTTCAGCGACAAACTTCTCTATATCTTGACAGCGAACTAATTTCACAAAGCACACTGCGGTCAAACCGTCACCATCAAGAACACTGGCGGCGGTGACAACAACTATGGCGTTGGGAAGACGTAAGTCACTCCTCTCAAGAAGACTCTCGATATATTGGCCCACGTGAGAGCGACACTGATGCTGATCATCGACAGTATCTCCGCCAAAGTCGTAGACACATGCCCAACTTGCAACAAGGACCATCTCGATTTGTCGACGGGCGCTTTCAAGGCTTTGACTGGTGGTCAGCTTGATCCTCCAGGACAGTTCAACATCCAGGTATGTTTGGTGATCAGATGAATGCCGACCAGTAGACTGATTAGTGAATACAGTGGCACCTTAACTAGATTTTTGAGCTGGGACTAGAGAGGGAAAGATGGTAGATATATCGATGTCGATCGTGGTTCGTTGCTAGGATATGTACTCAGTGCTATCGAGAGTGCCTGCTTCGACCATTTCATTCCCGTTAAGCCATGTCCAGCTTCCACTTCCTTGCGTCTTCGCAAATGTGCACGACGTGGTCCGATTCACTTGACGAATTTGATGAAATGATTTGGCAAATCTCCGCTCTCACCTCCAGCATCGACGAACGCGAAAAGTTCTTCCTCCTCGGCATCAGAAAGACCTGTCAGATCCTGTACAATTCCCGTTAGCGCTCAGTAGTAAGATGGTGAAGTCAGCATTCAATCACTCACAAGAGAAACACCATCCGCAAAAGTCAGTTCATCCGGCTTTTGGCACTCCTCCTCACTTGACTCCGCAACATCACGTCTCGCAAGCGACTGATCATACCATCTCGTACCACTGGCACCTCCAGGTCCTTCACCAACACACCTGCTACCTCTAACAAATTGAGTGAAGGATCCACGGGTTGAGCTGCCTCCACTGGGAAGGTAGATGAAGACTTCATCAGTGCTGCGGGCGGTTGGGCCAGTCAAGCGTGTGCTGTCAAAGCGACGAGAGTTAGAGCCGCAGCAGACACCGGAATTGATTTGCTGTGAAAGCAATCAGCGTTGTGTTCGATGAAACAAGAAAATTGGTAAGGTAGTAAGAGAGACAAACGTTGCATGAGATTGATGAGCCAGTGCAGCCACTGCCCTGATACTGGGTGATGATAGTTGGAAATCAAGCCACATATACCATTCCACATCTGACATCAGTGCGGATTCGTACTTTTGTCAGAAACAAGTATGATTCTCCAGGTCTGGGCCTCTGCAGCTGGGGCAAAGGCGGCCAGAGTGAGTACTGTGGTGAAGACGGTGGACAGCATGTTGACTGATGTTCTGCGTAATTGTTTTGAGTATGCGATGCCATCTCTGCACTGCTCCAGAAGCCATCTTATATACCCATCTCAATGATGCCAATTCCTGCAGGGCCATTGGCATTTCGACTCTTATTCTTGAAGCAGACAAGATTGTCCATGCCACGCTTGGATTTTGGCCCGCGTCAGGTGTTAGCTGCTGCTGTTAATCTTGTCTTGCAGTAGCATCATCACGTATTTCTGGTCGGTGAGCAGCAGATAGCGGCATAGATCTGTTCTGATGCCTCAGTAGCAACTGCTTGGCAAGTTGTTAGTGTCGACGTGAAGTTCGAAGAGCTCGTTTATCTTGCAGACGATCGCTTGGCTATTCGCTTAGCGGATGTTGGTACGCAGAGCTAGGTCCGTAAGTAGCAGTTGTCTGCTGTATGCCCAGACTATAGCGGACTACTTGGGTGCGAAGGCCAATGCGGGGACAGCTCACGCGTGCCTCGCGTGGCTGTTTGAATACTTGGCGGGCATCTGTTGCGAGCCGTCAGGCATGCAAGTTGTTAGTCCAAGGCGATCGACAGGTAGGAGAATGCAGATCGGACTCCACTCCAGGTAGGGCAAGATTCATGAAACTCAGAGCACTGCGGATTGGCTTCCTCATGCCACGGGACGGGAGTGGAGTGCAGGAGACCAGCATCAGCGTCGTTTCCAGGTAAGCGCAGTCCACGACAGAAAGGCTCTCGCTGCGAACGAAGTTGCGTGCAATGTCGGAGATAGGGCACAGGAACTGTACAAGTCATATCTGCCATTAGTGTACAAGCCCTCCGTAATATACACCCCTCACATCGACCATCTTCTTCCCTCGTGCCTTTGCGACATCTTCTGGTAGTCGTTGATTCGTGAGAGCCTCGAAAGCTGCCTTGACGACATTCATCTTGTTCCGTGATCGTGGCGTACGGGCAGCAAGATCCGAAATTCCAGCGGCTCTGGCCAGTTCGAAGATCAGATGCTGACAGCGGTTGCCGAACCCTGGTCACGAATGTCAGCAAAGACGTCAAGTAGAGACGCGATTCATCAATGACCTACCAGGTGGTCGGGCACTCAATTTAACAACACTCGCTCCCACTTTGCCCTCAACCTCACCGTATATCGTCCTCTCCTCATAGCGCGGGATGGGCTTCATATTGCGAATGGCGTTCATCATGGCCTGCCGTCTCCCATCTTCATCTTCCGCAGCCTTTCCCTCTCCAATGCCCAGCATGCCGTTCTGATTTCCGGCAATGGTCAAAAAGTACAAACTCTGGATCTTGCCCATGCGCGTCTGGTTCACCACGCGATGACTGACCAGATTCTTGACGCGTATCTTTCGAATCTCGTCCCTGCTCAGGCCTGTCTGTTGTGACAATCTCAACATATGCGGATCTGTCTCTTCCTGATCCTCCTTCCGCCCCTTGTCCTTTCTCGATTTCGCACTGCTCAATGCTGCACCAAGTGTGCTTTGCTGCCCTTCGTGCAATTGTGAGCTGTTCATCTCCTTTAGCTGGCCCGTGGTAGCGTCAACGACCGGTCGGACACTAGCAAAGTCATCAATGTAGTCCAGGCGCATAGGATCAGTGCGGAAGCGTCCTTGTTGGAGGAGGTCCTCGGAGGAAATCGCCTTTTCTCCAGCCTCGATGGCCTCCATCTGCTCCGGAGTGTATTTCAGAGCAAGCAGCTTCTTCTCGCGAGCAGTGTAGGGCCGTAGACGGTCCCGGATGGCATCTGCTTCGGGTTGTTGGGCGGGAGAGCGGCGGAGGTTGTTGCGAACGCGGCGCTGGTGCGAGGGCGAAGTACTAAAGGCGCGGCGGGAAGTCGTGTTGGCAGCATCAAGAGAGACATTTTTCAGCCTGCACGAGAGGCACTGATAGGCCTTGGACGTCGACATGTTGCGCGATGCCGACCGATGTGGGAGCGTGTTCCTCGAGGAGATGGATGCGGATTGCGGAGACGAGTCTTGGCTTTCCCGAACGAGACGATGATGGAAGAGAAGTGGCCAATCTCATTTACAACACAACACAATGGCATTGACAACGAGAAGCGCAACAACGGCGGCGTGTAGCAGCTGTAGGCAATGGATCTTACGATCATTCATCGCCAGCATTGGTGGGACAGCAGCAGCACCACGCCATCAACGACGGACATTCGCCGCATCGACAACGAGATGGCGAGAGGAGCATGCCTTGAACGATATCAACACCGGGTTCTCGGCTGCCCCCAGGAGACGACTGAATGATAACGATCCTATTCAAGGATCGACTCCAGTGAGATCCAAGAGCCGTGAGGAAGTGCACGAGTACGAAGTCACGGGCGAGCAACTGCAAGAGATGCAGGAATTGGAGGAAGCCATCGCCAAGGAGCAAGCACAAGCGAAGGCGCAGCGGAGGGCGGAAAGGGCGGCAAAGGAAGACAGTGAGGATGTCGAAGGAAATGCAGCAACCGAACAGACGGAGCATGTCCCCTGGTATCTCCAAGTCCAGTCGCCTCTTCCACCGACAGAGTCCAGCTTATCTGCTCGTCAACGGATACCAGACCTCCCATCCCACCCTCCTAGCCTCCTCGAGCCCCTTCTGCAGCAGGTCTCCGTCGACCTGGGCATGGACGACCTTACACTTCTCGATCTGCGCGAGCTAGATCCTCCGCCAGCCCTAGGTGCCAATCTCTTTATGCTTATAGGAACAGCGCGCTCGGAAAAGCATCTACATGTTTCCGCAGACAAACTCTGCAGATGGTTGCGCTCGAATCATAATCTCACACCCTTCGCAGATGGCCTGCTTGGACGACAGGAGCTCAAAGTCAAGCTTCGACGAAGAGCGAAGCGAGCTCGGCTGATGAGTGCAGTGGGCGCGAAGGGCACGAACGATACAGAGCTCGACGAAGGCATCAGGACAGGTTGGGTTTGCGTCAATATTGGCAGGATCGAAGGAGGAGAGTTGCCGAAGACAGAAGCTGAGATTGAAGCAGAGAGCAAGATTGTAGGGTTTGGAACAAGGACAACTGGCTGTCATGTTGTTGTGCAATTGATGACAGAAGAGAAGCGAGGAGAGCTAGACTTGGAGAAACTTTGGACAGGCATGTTAAACAGAAGTCGCAAAGCGAAAGAAGAATTGTTCAGGAAGGAGGAAGAAGAGCCGACCATTGCCGAAGAGGCACAGACTACACGAAACCACGAAGACACGGAGAGGAAAGCGGTGGGTGATACTGTGCTGTTTTCGCCACCGCATGTGGGATCTCGCGAAACACACCAAGAGGCTCGAATATGATAAGACGACAAGGTTCGACCCAAGGCGGACAATCGGTTTTCTCAGTTTCCTACCCACTCGCTGCTACCCTGATCAACTCACTCCTGCAGTTTCAACTCGTCCAGCCAAGAAGCTATTTCTCGATTCACTTTCCGTGGCTCGTCCTGGAATACCCAATGTCCCGCTTTCGGAAAAGTGACCAGACGTGCTCCGCCGGGGAAAACCTTTGGAATGCCGTCTACCATCTTTGGGATGAAGTATTCGTCCTCCACGCCCCAAAGGATCAACGACGGGACTGAGTACGACGCATTTTGCAATGGAGATGTCTGACCATATGGCGGCGCAGGATAGTTCTTCTTGTAATATGCCATCATGCCGTTTATTGGAGATGCGGTTAGATATTCTTCGATCTCCTTACGACGCGCGGGATCTCTGATGAATTTGGCCTTATCCACCACTTCTTTGTCGTCGCCGATCTGGTACTTCTGGAAGTGGATTGTGTACTCGGAGGCCTTCTGTTGCTCGGGATCGAAATTGATTAATTCCTGGAACCGTGGAAGGATAGGTGGGTTCATCAGAAGTAGACCGGAGACGAGCTCTGGTTTCGAAAGTGCTAGAACCTGAATGGCTGCTGCACCGAAGTCATGGCCGCCCAGGATGACTTGTCGGGCATTGAAGTGCATGATGAGTGTGACAAGGTCCCCTACGACGTTTGGCAAGGCATAGGCGTCTTCGTCGTCCGGTACATCGCTGGGTGGAAATCCGCGAAGTCTTGGAGTTACAACGGTATAATGCTTCGACAGTTCTGGGACTTGGTGGTAGAAGGTGTCCGAGTTATCTGGGAACCTATTGAAGCGATTAGGAGTGTGAACTCTGTTGCTTAATTCTGGGCCTATCTACGAACCCGTGAACGAGCAGTAGAAGAGGACCGGAGCCAGCTGCGCGGTAGTGCGTGCGAACGCCATTGTTTTCAACGAACCCCTCCCAGGGCTGACAGGATTGCGCGTTGGTGGCAGACATGATAGACAAGATAAGGATGGCGAATGCCAGTATGCGAAACATGATTGCTGTATGTATAGCAGTAGCAGGGGTGAGTTAAGGTATACTACACCCTAGTCCGTCTTTTGTTTTGGCGTGCTAGCTTCCTTTTCTGGCAATACTGATTACTCAACATACTGGACGGGACGATCGACAAAAGACGATCTTGTACTATCTGGTCGACAAAAGTACGCTAAACAGAGAGGTTTAGTGATCAGTACGGCCGTACAACGCTGTGTTCCTCCGTTGTCCAGAATATGGAGAACATCTCCAGAAAAATGCGAGACAATTGTTAAGCAGACTGTGAAGGCGCAATGAACTGTCGTCATTGTCTCAACATCTATGGAGCTCTAATGGTCAGATTTTGGTATGTGGACGACTAATCATGACCTTGGCAGGGACAGCTATGCCAAAGCTAACGCACGCAAATGCACAACATATAGCTTCCACCCCAGTCTCTTCGCACACAAGTTTGACTAGGATACCTGCATTTACAACAGCATTCGACACTATCACAACATGGGTTCAGATCTTAAGTTGATCTTTGTGGTGGGAGGCACCGGCGCTCAGGGCCTTCCCATCGTAAACAGTGCGTGCAAACAGCGCATTGATTTGATTGAAAGCGATATTGACCCTTAGTCTAGCACTGTCAGCCTGCGGCCGTTACGCCGTGCGAGTCCTCACACGCAACAAAAACTCCGAACGCGCCAAGCAGCTAGCTCAACTGCCAAACGTCGAGCTCTTCGAGGGTCAGCAGACCAGCCAGAAAGATCTACACGCGGGCTTCAAGGGAGCTTGGGGAGCATGGGTCAACACCGATGGTTTCACAATTGGAGAGAAGAACGAATTGTTCTACGGCTGCCGAGCATACGAGATTGCTCGGGACGAGGGTGTCAAGCACTACATTTACGCGGCGACTGATTTCGCGTTGAAGGATACGGACTGGGACGAGACGTATCACTGGGGCCACAACGATGCCAAAGGCCGAGTGTTGGACTACATTTCTGCCCAAGGCCAGAACGGAGCGATGACCAGCTCATCGGTGATTACTGGACCTTACATGGACATGCTTTACGATGGCATGTTTGTGCCTCAGGAGCAGGAAGACGGCTCTCTCGTGTGGGCCAACCCAGCGGGTAAGAATTATCATAACGCCACCACGACGAATTGCAGACTAGCTGACGATAAATTTTTGATACCCAGAGGACGGCAAAATTCCGTTGATCGCTGTCGAGGATGGTGGTCCCTATGCGCTCTGGATGTTCGACAACGTTAAAGAATCAGCAGGTCTCTTCCTCAAAGTCGCAACCGACGAAGTCAGTTTCGCAGACATTGCCAAGACATTCACAAAAGTGACCGGCAGACCCGCAAAACACGTCCAAGTGCCCCTTGCAGACTTCCTCGCCAAAGCCGAGCCTTACCCTAACGCACCCGCTAACTTCGCCGCTGGACCTAACGTTCCTCGCGATGAGTCCATGATGACTTTCATTGAGAACTTCACACCTTGGTGGAAGTTTTGGGGCCAGGGAAAGGCTGTAAAGCGAGACTTTGCGCTTTTGGATAAGATTCACCCTAACAGGCTCAAGTCGTTGGAAGAGTGGATGAAGAGACATAATTATGATGGGAAGCCGAAATCTATATTGAAAGGAGCGAAGGATTTGAGGGATATGGCGGCTGCGATGCAGGCGGCACAGAAGCAAGAGTAGATCCATGAATACCGCGAAAAGTGTGTTGATGTATCATAGGCTTGATTGACATCGACAGAAATGGAACAAAGTCAGATTGCTCGCACTCAGATAAGTAGAGTTGGCTTGCAGAAGAGATGAATCTTCTCACTCTGCCCTTTCACTTCGAGACAAGGGTCCTGGAAACAAAAAGTCGTTTTGCCACCACTCATAAATATGACGCAAGACTCTAGAGATGCTCTTAGTTGTTTGGTTACTCAGTGATTTCTAGGTCACGTAGAAAGCTGCAACTCGTGGCCGCATCCCAGCATTTCGCCTACATCTAACAAGATGGAGCCTTCAAGCGCACAATTCAACACTTGGACTGACTCTTGTCTCTGTCTTGTACCCACGCTTCGTCCCCGTGACTTCCAATGCCAATTGGAACGTTGTCACGTTGTGCTTTCTGATCGTCGGTTCGTATTGAAGCGTCTCGTTCAATCCCACGGAGACTGTATCACGAGGATCGTTCGTCGGCTGGCCATTGATCAACCACTGTGCCTCGAGCTTGACACCAGGATCCCATCGTCCTGCATTTGCCTCAGCGAAGCGCCTGCCATAAGCACGGACTTTCGTTGTGATCGTGGGCGCAGCTTGCCTGTCGAGTGCAGCTTGATGGCCTCCGCGTGCCACGACCTCCTCCCACAAGTTGCCTCGCGCAGAAGCGTCTGTAGCAGGCAGTGGTGTTTTTCCGTCAGGTGCAATATTCTTGCTAGATTCGACGACGAGCTCCAGGAAATCCCATCTGTCTCTTCGTTGATACTGGCCTCCATGAGTTGCCTTTTCGATGTAGGTGAAGTTAGCCCATCCAGGACCGCCCTTGGATTCGACGTTCTTTTGGAATTCCATGACGCCTTCATTCAGGAAGTAATTATCCCAAGTGCCAACGTAAACGAAGAGCCGGTTGCGTAGTACTTCGCCAAGGTTCTTTTCGTTGTCCCAGTTGCTGGTTACATAACTTGACAAATCCATTGGCTTCCAGTACTCGACTGCCTGTTTGAAGCAAAGTTAGTGTGTCTTCTGCTGGATCTCGGAGTAAAGCTGAACTCACCTCTGGATATATCTCCCCAGTAACCTTGTCCCAAGGCTCAAGAGGATATCCATTGAGTCCTTGCGCACCAAAGACAGCGTTCCAAACGTCCCATTGCAAGAATGAGCGAGAAGAAGTACCTTGAGTCAGCTCCCAATGATTCTCCTGGGCTACAGTGGTGGTATCAGACAAAGTTCCGTTGACTACCGTCCGAATTGAGTATATTGCGCTTCCATTTGGTTTTGTGTATGCATTCTGGTATTCCTAAAGTCGAACGTCTTGGTGTTGGTGGAAATCTAAAGAGTCCGGGTAGGATGAGAAGCAGATACCGTAAAGATCAGGTCGGAATATGACATTTGCGATGGAAATCCAGCCACCAGTCGAACCTCCTGACTGAATGCGCCCATATGGGGCAGCTATAGTGTTGAAAAGTCTGTCGATTTCGGGTATCAGCTCATCATTGATCGCATCACCCCAGGGACCAATGTTGGCCGTGTTCACCCCGTATGAGTCGTCGTAAAATGGAGTTTCGTGGCGGATCGTGACGAGAATGAGTTTCGGTGTTGGTCGTCCTGCTGTGCCGTTGACCCCGGGAATCGTTCCTTGGTTCCAAGTATTTGCAAATGTGCTGTCATCGCTGTCTCCAGCGACCCAGTGAGATTGTTCGTATAGCAAGGGATATCGAGTGTTGGTGTCATTTGCATCGTATCCGAAAGGTAGCCTGATATTTGCGCCAACGTAGCTGTTCGTCAAGTGCAAAGTCAGCGAATAATCAAAATAAATGGCAAGATTGCTCTTCAAGACGAAGGATCCATCCTCATTTCCATCGCAATGGCACTCACATATCTCTGTTCCAAAAAGTGCTCAGCACATCGCTCCGGATCTTGACGTGCTTCAGGAGCTCTGTGTCTTCATAGTTGCCTTGAGAGCATCCTCCAATTTCAGTGCCATTAAACTGGATAGGTGGCACCACGCTGTCGAAGTTAAGCTGAATGATCTGGTCGCTGCCTGATACTGTAACATTGGTCGGTGATGTGGTGAGACTGCCAGGTCCAGCAAGAGGTACTGCTCCATCGCCACACGGAAACCGAACGCTGACTTGCGAACCATCACTCCGTGTTACCGTCTCGTATTGATTGAGAAGAGCCTGGATCGTGTAGTCGCCGGATGGGACATCGCTCAAAGATACATCGGGCCATCCATATACGCCAAAGTCTGTGTTGTTGTTGCTTCCTCCAGAAAGAGTGACTGTGTCTCCGGTCGTAAAGTTGTAGACGTTTTTGCCGAAGAACAAGTCGGAAGATGAGGTTACGTCGGTGTCTTCAAGAGGATCCGTGCCTGCTGGCGCGAATAGCAAAACAATCCTGCCATTGGTGCTTCCATTGAGGATTCCTTCTGATGTCGAGATCTCAATTTTTAGGCTGGCTCTTTCTTCTTGTGCGAATGCCTGTGTTCCGAAGCTGGCCGCCGTAAGCATGGCAGTCGCAGTGCGCCACAGAGGGGCCATGGTGTAAGACTATGCAGCTCCGCGTGGTTACGGGGACCAGAAATGGAGAAAAGAAAGTCAATGAAACACAAAAAGTCTGAGATTCGGCAAGAGCTTGTCACGGCGAACAAGGCGTCCCGCTATGCTTGTTCTTCGCATGGCATGGTCATTCTATCAATCTGGGCGAACCAATGCGAGGACTGGTCGCCGCCTCAAGTCACGATATGCAATCGAGGAGCGAGGCGACCTGCCTACATGCGTTAGTTCGCAGAAGCGAAGCGTGCTTCGGGCCGCGCATCATGTATGATGACGATGCGATGAATGTCTGGAGGGAAACAACGACGCGATGCTTGCACCGCAGATGGGCAAAGAGCGGGAGGTGGAGTCGCAATCGGCAAAACGCCAAGACATCTGGCCAATCTGTGGAGACACTAAAGATGGCTTGTATTCCTCTTCGTGTTATCGTGAAGATGTTGGTAATCTGCTTGACATGCGAGTCGTGTCAAATCAGGAAGAGCAGCTCTGGATTGAATCATGTCTGTAGCTGGTCAGCGAGGGCAGTATGGGACCCAGACCCCAAAGGTTTCTGCAATACGATGCTTGAGAATTCATCGTGTGCGTGAAAGTCCAGCAGTGTTGTCCAAAGAACATTCATCAGGCACCTTGGTTGTCACGTTGATGGGTGCCGCCCATTCGGATACCTCACCATCATGCTTGGAAACGGTTGAGTACCCTTGCTTGAGACCGAGATCTCTTGGATATCATACAGAGCGATGAGCACTCCTGATGACTGCATTGTTCTGTTTCTAACTAGGATCGATCTTGCGATACAAGATTGGAGTTGGAGGTGTTCGAGCGTTGAGCGGAAAATTGGCCCCACAATTCTTGTTGGTCCGTGCTCACGATATGCCACACCGCACTTCCGAGGCTAAAGTGTGCCAGCCGTCAGATGCATTCCAGACAGTCTTTGGAAGTGCTGGAGAGCCCTAGAGCCCGTTCGGTTAACTGACTTCTCATTCTCAGCAAGCAAATGCAGGGGGGGTGAGAATGAGAAGTCGATGGTGTTCGGTTAATTTTATTCTTATTCTTACGAGATTTTTGAAATTCTCGTGAGAAGGTGGGCCTTCGCGTATATGCCTGTTCTAGGTAACTCGAAGGCCAAAAACACGCTAAATCGTCTTCTCGTGAGATGTACCTCTTATACGAGCTTCTCGCTATATAGTGGGTCCTGCTACCCTATTCGGATAGCCTCTCTAGTAATTGGCCTATACCGAGAATAAGAAGTACGTTAACCGAACGCTACCGGATTCTCAATCTCACTTTTTCCTTGTACGCTAATTGAGAATAAAAGCGCTACAGCAGGGGGGTGTATCCACTCGACTTTGAGAATGAGAATGGTAACCGAACGGGCTCCTACTGATTGTCTGTGTCGAGATTTCGATGGTATATGCCCGCCCGAACGCCTCAGGGGTGAATCCTGGGTAAGAAAAAATGTTTTCAGGGTTATATTATTACAAGAATCGTGCTCTCCATTCAATCCAAGGCTTTCGTGGTGTAGTTGGTGCGTTGTCAACCCAGTAATACCATGATATATAACGATCTAACATCACCTCCAGGTTATCACGTCAGTCTAACACACTGAAGGTCTCGAGTTCAAGTCTCGACGAAAGTACATTGCATTGCACGTGCGAATGTGAACATGGCTGTTCGCCCAGCCACTCTTTTGCCTCTTTGCCAGGCATCCGCCTCTTGTTTTTGCCGCACGGGTCGGACATTGTGCATGGCTGAAATCTGTTCTCGGAGCCCGAAGCCCGGAGACCACTTTTTGCCGGCCACGCACTCTATTATGCAGACCTCTGCTACAAACAAATATCATGAAGACACAAACCTTTTCGCTTTGCAAACGTGTCCACACAATGCAATCAGAACGTGGTACTCACAATTCTCCCAGGAGCAAAGCTGGGTCTCTCCGTCAAATTCTCGACCTGGCAACCAAGGAGCGTTAAAAGCTCTAGGTAGCACGCGACACATGGAATTAGAGTCAGAGAGGCATGATGACTCTCTGTGTGGAGTGGGATATTGTGAGCCGACGTGAAGAGAAATTGGCCCCTAGCATCTGCACAAATTTGGAGCGAGCGATTGTGCCCCGATGCTATTCTCGCTCAATACGGCATCCAACTCGCCCAATCTTTGCGAGATTACTTCCAGTGCAACGGCATTCGGTTGTACAGCACTTTCATACAGCAGAAGGTGATGGTAGGAACCGATCTCCATAAACACTCCACTGATTGAAGTTCCGCAGATTAGCCAATAAGTGCTGGCGGCTAGTATTGATCATACATGAGGACAATCACGCCTTCGATGGCACTTGGTTTCGCAACATTCCATCATTTACATACTCAGGATGCGTTCACTTCTGTCGAACTGGCCGCTCTGGCTAGGTTCTCTGGCTCACGCGGCAGCCGAGCAAAATGACGCGCCCACAGTTTCACAAAGTACTATCACCGGCGTCGCTGGCCCGATCGGACAAAATGCAACACCTCTGCCGAATATCACAAATCCATACGTTAAGCCTGCCAAGCCAAATGGACTGGATACGGAACAGCCAAACATGATATTATTCATGCCCGATCAGCTCAGATACGATGCTGTTGGCGCCTTTGGAAGCCAAGTAGCAAAGACCCCAAACATCGATGCATTTGCGGCCGAGGGTACGAAATTCACCAACGTCTTTCTGCAAGCATCAACATGCTCTCAATCTCGATGCTCCATGTTCACTGGGCAGTAAACGCACGTTTCTGGTCATCGAAGTCTGCTAAATCTGCTGAAACCGCACGAGCCGAATGTGTTTCGCTCATTACGGGAGGGAGGATATCATGTAGCGTATCTCTCTCCAAGAGGCGATTTCTACGCCGAGAATGCTACTGAACTTGGTGTCAACGAATATGGCTTCCTTACGGAATTGACTCTACCCGACTTCACCAGAGAAAGCTTCAAGGGAGACCAAAATGACATATGGAACCGCCTGTTCTACTTGGGCAAGCGCAACGAGACAGAAGCGATTGACTATGATGCTGCAATGATTAGAGGTGCCTTGAATTGGCTAGAGAATTCACCTCAGGAGCCTTGGGTCTTATTCCTTCCACTTTTGTTCCCTCACTGTCCGTTCACAGGGATCAGCATGGTCTCGACAGGGCGACAGATGAAGTATGGCGAGAAGTTCTTGCTACATATCATGGTAGGCAGCACACATTCAAAAGCGATAAGAATGTTTGTGTACTGACAGGTTTCAATCAGGAATGGTCAGTCGCGTCGATCACCAGTTCGGTCTTATCGTGAACAAGACCAAAGATCTCGGTCTGTGGAACAAAACTGTGACGTTCTTCTTTACCGACCATGGCGAGTTTCTTGGCGACTACGAACTTATTGAGAAATGGCCGTCGGGCGTCTCCGACAATCTCGTACATGAGCCTCTTATCGTTGGAGGTGGCGGACTGCCTCGTGGCGTAGTCTTCGAGGAAATGGCAGAGATGACGGATCTGGTTCCAACCATGCTTCAGCTTGGTACCGTGAACGAGACGTATGCGCATTACGGACTGTCATTGGTCAATGCTATCCATGCTGCAGGACGAGGCGAGATCATTCATCATCGCAATTTCTCCTTTACAGAAGGCGGATTCCTTTTGAGCGACGAACCCGTTCTCGAACAGAGCCCATTTCCATACGACATCAAGGCTGCATTACAACACAACGACACCGCGCTCGTGGGCCAGGCTCTAGCCGTGAGAAACAGAGAGTGGACATACGTCTACCGCTTGTACGAGGAAGACGAGCTGTACTCTCGACTGAACGATGCTCATGAGCTGCACAATCTGGCTGCCGAACCAGAATATCAGCGCATTTGCGATGAGTTTAGGCAGGAAGCTCTCAGGTTTCTATTCAGCACACCAGCTACCATGACATGGTATGCTGACGAGCGGAAGCCGGACGTGGACTTGTCCAGCCCGTACGAGCAGTACATTGAGAGGTGCAAGGGCAATTGCGAGTTCAATGACAGTTGGCCAACTGTGCTGGATGCGAAAGAGGAGCTTTGAGCTGACTGGGAAAAATTAACGCTTGCTGAAAAAATCAATATGGATCTCGCATCTATTGCGCATCGAGTCTGTCGATTTTCTCCAAAGCATCCCTCAATATCGCTCCAGCCGTTTCCAGGTACTCTTGATCACACAGGGTGGACTTCGATATAATATGGTATTCGAGTATGCCATCATCACGGGGCACGCCAGCGATCACCACCGTATCCGACTTGTAGACTTCGTTGGTAGCTGCTCGCAGTCCGTGCATCGCGAAAGAAGAACCAGAAATCTCTCCATCGCCATCTTTTTGCGACTCTTCGGCTCTGGTGCCATTTTGATACAGCGTCAACACTCCAAACTCGCCGTCGTTAGCAGGCCAAGCCTCGCACTGTTTCGCGATGTCCTCGGAGTGTAGGTTTTCAGACGCAAGGCCATCAACGTACTGGCGATGCACTTGGTTGAGAACTTGCTCAACACTTTCTCGGTCGCTGAACCCGTCGTCAGAGTTCGAAAGCTGCACACGGACAGGCAGGTAGGTCAGACAATTGAATACTATATTGCGCAGTCGGGCTGGTAGTGCAGCTCTTCCAGAGGTAAGACGGCCGAACAAGACGTCTTTATTGCCGTTCAGCCGAGCAAGTGTCAAGGCACAGGCAGCTGTGAAATTTGTCGCTGGTGTGCGGCCGATGCGCTTGGACTTCTGGGTAAGCTGTATAGTCCCTGTGTAGTGCAGTGTTGCGACAGGCTTGTTACTTTGAACAAGAGTCATCTCGGGCTGCAGATAAGTCATTGATGATCCTTCGAGCATCGAGTTCCAATATTCGCGATCCAATTTTGTTGATTGCTGCTGGAGTGCAACAAGGCTCGATACACTGGGCTGATCCTCCAATGCCTCGCCTTGGTAGATCTTGTGCAGGGTATTTGCCACTCCTGGGAGTGATGCGCCGTCGTATTGCGCGTGCCAGAGTCGGATAGCCAGGCGACATGATCCGTTGCAGTCTTTGAGCAGGACAAATCGCGTGAAAGTCTTCCCAACGAAGGACTGAAGATCATTCTCGTCACCAGTGAAAGCTGTCTTCGACCACTCATCGACTGTATGTCCCGATGGTACCTGCACCTCCTCCGTTGTGATGGGTGGATCACTCAACAGTATCTGATAGAGCTGGCCTTGTACTTCTGCAAACATTAAGCGCAGTACTTCAAGATGCTTGACAAGTGCGACACAGCTATTCAGCAATCGTTCGGTCTCGACTGATGATTCGAGATCGATATAGAACCAGTGTAATCCGGTAGGACCTCCCTCAATGGAGCCATCCAGATATTCTCTCTGGGAGTGTGTGATCGGCATGATGTCTTCAATCGTGCCAGATGTAGCGGGAATCTGCCGCTGTACTTCACTGCGGAGATTGTCCAGATCGTAGTCTCCCACTAGACTGAACGGAGTTGGACAGGTGGTCGATTGCTCCGAAGCCGTTTCCAAGGTCTCCGCAAGCTCAGACAATAGCGGTTTGGTAAAAATGTCCATTACTGCCATTTCGAGCCCCTCTCCCTGGCACAGATTGGCTAGCCTCATGGCTTGGATGGAGTCTCCACCAAGCGCCATAAAGCTATCATTCGCGGAGATGTTGTCCTGTGGTATGTCCAATACAGCCGACCATAGTTTCTGTAGACGCACCTCCATCGCGGTTTCAGGTGGTTTACGGGTTCCCGCAGTTGCAGTCGGATCGATGATCAATTCTTCAGAGTGCTTCATAGCTCGGAGTCGTCTTCGATCGATCTTGCCTGTTGTCGTTCGAGGCATATCTTGCAGCGCCACATATCGAGCAGGCACCATGTAAAGTGGCAATGTAGCCTTCAGACGGTCATGAACGCCACCTTGGATCAAGCGTGCGAGTCGTCCTGCAAGCTCGTCCTCGCTCAGGTCCTCAGATCCAGCAAACTTGAGGAATGCCACCAAGATGTCGCGAGTCCCGGCTGACTTAAGGATCTCGGCAACAACTTGCAACTCCTGGTTGTGTTGGCCGTCCACTTGCTTCAAGATGTTGTTCTCGACATCAGCAAGCTCTAGTCGTTGACCTCTCAGCTTCACCTGACCATCTTTCCTTCCGTGGAATGTGATTGACCCGTCTTCAGCGTAGGATACCATATCTCCAGTCCTGTACAATCTTTCATTGGTGTCACCGCAGAGTTCAGGGAACTGCTTCCGCAACCACTGCGGTGAGTCTACGAATGCCTTCTTGGTCTGTGCTTCGTCGTTCAGGTAGCCCTGGCCAACAAGAGGTCCTTGGAGCCAAAGCTCGCCGACAGATCCGATGGCGACCAGGCGTGAGGTTTCCGGCGAAACAATCCATGTCCTACAGCCAAGGCCAAAACCGAGACCTTGATGTCCTTGCTCCTGTTTGGCAAACATTACTCCTGTGAAAAGTCAGCACGGGTCTCTTGTCGCATGTTTCATTGCATATTAGCCTGAGATGCTTACCGATCGTCGCTTCGCTGGGTCCATACGCGATTCGGACCCGCGTCAGCTTCAGAAAGCGGTCAATAAGACGCTGTGGGACTGCTTCTCCACCAAGCTCGATGAAGTTCAGACGTTGAACAGTGGAATCGCTGAGTGTCTCGGCGAATGTCGGACTAAAGGTTCCCTGCGTGACCCGCAACCGTCGCATTGCACTCTCTGTATCATTCTTTCGATCCCACTCCGAGGGAATGCAGACGCACCCACCAGCCGCCAATGTCAGAAAATTGAAAGCCCATGTGGAATCGAATGCATAGGAGGCGAAGTCAAGAACTCGAGAGTGGAGGCCAAGCTCAAGAAAGTTCGACTGCAAGCGGCTCATACTAGCCAGGTTTGCATGGGTAATCACCACTCCTTTTGGCTCACCAGTGCTGCCGGATGTGAAAACCACATACAGCGGGCTCTGTGGATCGACGAGAGGCATTGTAACAGCACTTGGTTGTAGATTGTCCATGAAGTCCTGATTGATGGCGATGACAGCCGCTTGATCATCGGAGCGTATGCGTGCAGCGACTTCTGCGCTGCTCGTGGAGCACAGGATGGCCACCAATGGGCTTGATTTGCGAACCATTACTTTCAGTCGCTCTTCGGGTTGTGCTACGTCCATGGCACATGTACCAGCGCCGGTCTGCATGATAGCTAGGCATGTCACGGGAAACCAGAGCGACTTTTCGAACAAAATTGGAACAATGGTGCCAGGACCGACGCCGACGGTAATCAGATACTGCGCAAGACGTTGAGAATACTCGAGCAGCTTTCCGTAAGTCAAATTTCCGTCGTGTGAGCAGACTGACGGGGCTTCTGGGTGCTTGTGAGCGATCGCTGCGATCAATTCGTGCATAGATACGTTGGCGGGATCGATGGGAATTCGAGAGTTCCACTCAGCAATGTCCATCATGTCTTGTCCGCTGACCAGATTTAGGTCAGTTATGGAACGTCCAATGTTCGTCACATCAATAAGTTGATGAATAATGTGCTCGAATTGACTGGCAATCCTTCTTGCGCTGGCTTTCGAGACGACATTTGAATCCACGCCGAAAGTTATGCTGATACGGCCATCATCCAGCTGACAGACTACGGCCAAAGCGTAGGTGCTGAATGCAGCCGGAACTGGTGTTCGTTCGCCCTCAGTGCTTGATGTTGAGTCTTCCATGAATAGGCCGTCTTCTGCGGCCTGTTCTTCGTCGGCAGCTGGTTGCACCACGAGGAGCGATTGAAAACGACAGGCTTCCTCTGCTTCCGGACTTGCCTTTTGAATGTACTGCAGCCCACTTTGCTCATACGGCGTCATGTCTACAGCTTGCAGCTGAATTTGCTCGAGCAAGGATTGCAAATCTAAGCTCTTCTCTTCTGCGCCTGCTGTCAATCGCACTCTGACGGGAACAGTGGCGATAGTAGGACCAGCAATCGTCGCTAAATCAGAACCAGTTGCTTGTCGACCGGACGTGACTACGCCATATACCGCTTCATTATTGTTAGTCCGCTGTGTTACAAGTAGTGCCCATGCCGTTTTCAATAATGTCGACATGGTAAAGCCCGCTGGAGGTCCTCCTCGAAGTTTGATCTTTTGCTCAAAGGCAGTATCTGCTCGAGGCTGATATTTCGGGTGAGGCAAGCCAGGGAATGGCGATGCCTCGAGGCCAGAGAAGTCCTTCTGCCAGAACTTTTGGGAGTCTTCGAGCGAGATGGAGCGAACTTGTTTGATGAAAGAAGCAAAGGGCACTAGCGTCGAGGCTGTTCCTTGGTGATATGCTTGTCGCAGCGAAGCCATCACCAGGTCCACAGTGGGTTCGTCGTAAAGGGCATGATGAATTCTCCAGCGCCAGACCACGCCTCCGGAGCGCTGGTCCGTGTGCAGCGCGACTTCGCTGAGGGGAACTCCCAGCACGCGATTCGAGCTATGTGTCTCTGGCTGTGACTCTACTTCCTTCCATTTTGACGTAGGCCGGACCACACATTGCACAATTCCGAATCGTTCAAGATCTAGGAACCGAGTTCTCAAGATAGGCGTAGCTTCTTCCACCATCTTCCAAGCGTGCTTAAACCTATCGAGGTCAATTGCGGAGTCAAGCTTTTGATCGAATTCTGCCGTGTAGGCTCCGTGCCGGCGGGCTGCCAAAGCAAGCAGACCTTCCTGTAGAGGCGTGCAGGGGTAGATGTCCTCCACATCTGCTGGAGAGAGGCCCATTGTGATAGCCGCAGAGTTGCGAACATGGTCGAGACTCAATTGACGTGTTTGCAAGAGACTGAAAGCCTTGGGAACATGTACTGACTCGGTGACGTGGCTCTTGACCTGCTTTGCCAAGTCCTCCAAGACGGGATGTTTGAACACATCTGCTACTATGAGCGAACGTCCGGACTGTCGTATCGCTGACACGAGCTTCATAGCCTTTATAGAGTCGCCTCCAAGCAAAAAGAAGTTATCGACCGCCGTGATAGGCCTGGAAACCTTCAAAGTGGATTTCCACAAAGCTTGCAAGATTCGCTCCGCAGGTGAAGATGGCATGCGCTCACTACCTGTGCTTGAGCGTGACGGATGGAAGAATTCCGCTATCTGCTTGGTGCTGGCGAGCTTGCGAAGTTCCCTGCGGTCTGCTTTTCCGGTCGTTGTTCGAGGCATAGCTTTGAGGAGCAGGTAGGCCACAGGCACCATGTAAGAAGCGGCATGAGCAGCGACCCTGGCATGTGCGCTGCGGAGAAGAGACTCCGCATCGGTTTCGATACTACTCCCAAGTGAAACGAAGGCCACCAGCAACGGACTTTCAACGTCTTCCGGTGAGACGAGATCAGCGATGACACTGATCTTTTCGGCGGCGGCTTCATGTCCATCTAGGCTGACTCTGATCTCTCGGGTTACAATCGATTCAATCTCGCTCAGCTCGACTCTTTGACCTCTGATCTTCACCTGCACATCTTTCCTACCCATGTAGATCAAATGTCCATTTTGTGCGTATCGAACAAGATCGCCTGATCTGTATAGCCGGCCTCGGCGACCACATGAGGCAAACGACCCAGGCCCGCCCACTGTCAGCCATTTGGGGTCCTCTATGAAAGCGGCGGCCGTCTTAGCAGGATCGTTCATGTAGCCAGGTGACACGAGAGGGCCTTCGATCCAGAGTTCGCCAATGCATCCTTTGCCTACAAGGCGGTCTGATGTGATCGGGTCCACAAGCCATGCACACATTCCAGTCGGAGGACCAATGCCAATGTCACCACGATCTTTCTTGGCATATGCTACGCCCAAAGTCGCTTCACTCGGTCCGTACGCTACACGCACTCTGGCAGGCATTCGCTTGATCAATGCGTCACTGACCATCTCACCACCCATCTCAATATATCGCAAGCCTTTCACGACCTCCAGATCTAGCGTTTCAGCGACAAGTGGTGTCAGGGTAGCAGATGTTACTTTGAGATCGGCCATGGCTTGGGAGAGGTGATTTTGTCGCTGATCATCAGATGGCACGCACACGCATGATCCCTGTGCTACTGCCATAACATTGCTTTGCCATGTGACATCGAAAGCATAGGATGCGAAGTCCAATAGTCGTGCACCAGGCTTGCTAATCTCCAGTGCGTCGGCCTGCAGATAAATCGCGCTGGCCACGTTCTCGTGTGTTATGGTCACACCCTTCGGCTCGCCCGTGCTACCAGAAGTGAACACGAGGAAAAGTGGATCAGAGGGCTGCACTTCCGAGTTGACTGGTTCGCATGGTGGCAGATCTTGGAGGTGTGCCTCATCCACGATAACAACTTCCGCGCCCGGCTCCAACAAAGATCGAGCTAGGTCCGCCGATCGTGCTGAGGCTAGGACGACTTTGGGCTGCACCTGGCCGACAATCTTTCGGAGCCTCTCTTTTGGTTGTGTGATGTCGTTCCCAGCAGATGCTCCTCCAGCCTTCATGACAGCCCACATAGCGACAGTCATCCACATCGATTTTTCGAAGTACAGAGGAACCAGGGTAGCTCGTCGTACGCCAAGACGAGACATATGGCCTGAGAGTCGTGTAGACAGTTGGTCCAACTGCCTGAAAGTAAGAGTTCCATCCCAAGAGCAGACCGCTTGGGCTTCAGGCTGTCTTCGAACAGTTTCGACAAAGATTTCGTGTACACAGACTGGTACAGCCTTCGGAACTTCCCGATTCCAGTTCCAGATTTCCTGGAGGTCATTTTCACTTGCTAGATTTAAGTGTCCGACCTTCTCGTCTTCGGACCCTGGTGTACATATCAGACGCAAGATGTGCTCCAATTGTCGTGCAATGTTCTCTGCCTCAACAGGGCTGACAATCTGGCTGTCACTGAATAGTGTTAACTGAAGGCCCTGTGATCTGTCCTGATCGATGACCAAAGTGAGGGCGTGAGTGGCGAAAGCATCATCGTTATTTGCCCCGTTCAGATCGAGCGGCAAATCCGACATGTCGAAGAGTGCGTCAGCATCACCCTCTGTGTGTTCATTCTGTGACGTGGAGGCATTGATCACCATCAATGATTGGAAGTTGCAGGCCTCCTCAGCCTCTGCACTCATGGTGCGCACTCGTTGAAGGCCGGCCTGCTCAAAAGAAAACATGTCTGTCGCTTGGCGCTGTATCTGCTCAAGCGACTGCTTTAAGCTCGAATCATAATCAAGTGATATTCGCACAGGGACTGTAGCTAGCGTCGGGCCGGCACAAGATTCGATGCCACTGACAGGAGCTTGACGGCCAGTCACTACCGCGCCGAAAACAGTATCTGTACGACCAGTGAGCTGGGTCAACAAAAGTGCCCACGCTCCACGTAAGCAGGTAGCGAGCGTCAGGCCTCGCGGTGCAGGTCCCAAATTATCGATTCTATGCTTGACATTGGAGTCAACTCTTGGAACGTACTCGCGTGTGGGAAGAGGCGGATATCTTGCAGCGTCGAGGCCAATAAATTGTTGTGACCAGAATTCTGCTTCTTGCCAAGTCTCCGACACTGCCGCAACATGTTTGATGAAGCCTTGAAAGGGTGTCAAAGGCCGTATCTCGCGACCCTCGTAGGCATCTCTCAAGGCGCTCATGAGTAGTTGCATTGAATGCCCATCGTATACAGAGTGGTGTAGTGACCATGTGAAGTATGTGCTTTTGTTGTCTGGTGATGAACTCAGCGCGACGTGGCTCAGTGGTGTGCCTGGACCCATGGAGACGTTGCCAGGCCTTTCTTTCCAGAGCACAGGCTCGTCCACAATCGCTTGAACTGGACTGTCTTGCTCAGATATGTGGACAATTCTGGCTCTAAGGATGGAGGCGGACGCAAAGAGTTTTTCATATGCTCGCTTGAATCGCTGAAGATCGATTCCTGATCGAAGCTCGAAAGTCGTCTGCCAGATGTAATCGCCATCATGTCGAGAGGTCAACGCAAGCAGCCCTGCTTGCAGACTTGTGCAAGGAAACACGTCCACAACTTGTTCCGAAAAGACATTGCAAAGTCCGGCAACTTGGTGTCGGATCGCATCAGTATCATACTGTCCAAGTAGCGAGAATGGTTCTATCGTCTGCTCGATTGACTGGTCATCCAATCGCGCGGTTGTAGCAAGGTCGCGCAGAGTGGGCTGATTGAAGATGTCTGCAACATTCAGAACGATGCCCTCTTGTCGTGCCAGCGCGACTAATCGCATCGAGAGCACACTGTCACCACCCAGTTGGAGAAAGCCGCTCTGAGCAGATATACTCTTGGGTGGAATTTCAAGGACATCCGACATGAGCCTTTGTATTTGTCGTTCGAGTTGTGTTGTTGGTTCTTGATAGACTGCAGCTTTTGTATTTTGATCGTTTATGAGTTGCTCAAATAGCAACTCGCTTCCAATAGCTTGTAGTGACAGTCTGTCAATTTTTGCAGTAGCTGTCGTGGGCAGGTCTGAGAGCGGGATGAAGCCGACAGGCACCATGTAAGATGGCACACTTGCGTTCATTCGGGTTGCAATAGATTCTGTCATACGCACCACTGAACCTCGTAGTTCCTCTTCACTCAACGTACGTGCATTTCGTGGGACGATGAAAGCCACTAGACTAGGCCTTTGACGATCTTTGGGAGTGATCATCTCGGCTACCACTTGCACTTTCTCCAGATCTTCCTGGGACTCGTAGACGAGCTGCTGAAGCACGTGGAATCGAACTTCGTCCAGCTCCATTCGCTGGCCACGGTGCTTCACTTGTGTGTCAATGCGTTCCACGAATTGGATCGATCCGTCCGGGTTGTACTTGACAAGATCTCCTGTCTTATACAGGCGTCCTTGATGTCCGGCCCTCACGTACCACGATGGGTTTTCGATGAAGCTCTCTGATGTCTTGATAGGGTCATTGAGATACCCTTTGGTGACTAGCGGACCGGAGACCCATAACTCGCCGACTGCGCCAACCGGTGAAAGCTTTCCAGTGACCGGGTCGACAACGAAAGTGCCTGCTGCCACTCCGCGACCAATGCCTTGATCACCCTCTTCCCTCTTCGCAAATGCCACACCAACTGTACACTCACTGGGCCCATAGGCGATCCAGACCCTCGTGTATTTCTGTAGCCGCTGAACAAGTGCTTCGGGTACGAATTCGCCGCCCAATTTGATGTACTTCAAGCTTCTGAGCACATCGTGATCTCTGATTGTGTCTGCCATCGTGGGCGTGAAAGTTGCGCTATTCACGCGCATATCTCTCATAAATCCTGCAATGTCATTCTTTCGCTGGAACTCTGAAGGCACGCAGACGACGCCTCCTGTGCACAACACTCCCATGTTCGTCAGCCAGCAAACATCGAATGCATATGATGCGAAGTCGAGCACCCGAGTCGTCGGCCCGTACTCTAATCTGGCTCGGTACTGGTATTCTATGCCAGTGGCAAGGTTCGCGTGCGAGATACAACATCCCTTAGGAATCCCAGTGCTACCACTGGTGAATTGAATGAAAATTGTGCTTGCCGGATTGACGCGAGGGAGGCTGGCAGGCGTTGAATCGATCTTCATGTTCAAAATCCGTGTCGCGTCAATAGGAATAACGGTATCTTCCAACGATCTCAGAGCGTCTGGCCCCAGAACTTGTGCAGCGATTTCAGTTGCCGATACAGAGCAGAGTATAATGCGCACATTGACCTGGGCTGCAATAGTAGCCAGACGCTGCACAGGCTGGGAGATATCCATTGTGACAGCCGCAGCGCCAGCTTTGCTCACTGCAAGCATAGCCACCGGCATCCACCTACTCTTCTCAAAAAGCAGTGGAACAGCAGTAATGCTTGACCCGACACCACGGGCGACAAGATATCGTGCCAAGTGAGTTGAGATCTCGTCGAGCTCTCGATACTTGAACTGCCCATCCCATGCTGCTACCGCATCGGCATCCGGTTGAAGTTCAACTGTTCGCTGGAAGATCTCATGAACAGGCGTCATTATTGGCTCTGGGATGTCAGAATTCCACTGCCATATATCTCGTAGGTCCGGAACACTGATCACATCAAGATCGCGGAGGTCGGTGCTCGCGAGCTTCGAGTCTGTCAATAGACCCATGATGTGTTTCAGCTGGTGCAACATGCGCTCCATGATCTCGACACTCAGCACAGACGAGTCAAAATATGACTTGATCTCAACTGTGGACGAAGAGCTGGCCTCGAATTCTAACACGAGAGCTGCTGCAGTTGTCTCCTCGTGATGTGTTCCGGAAGAGCCATTTTGTTTTGGGGTAGACGTGCCGTTTGTGACTGCGACACGGCTGTCGCCGTTCATGCCATGGCCGTTGCTTAAGGTCCCATTGCTCAGAGCTCCATTGATCAAGGTTCCATTGCTCATGACTCCATTGCTTTTCAGCTGACTTTCGCGCGGAGACTTGCAGACGACAAGAGTCCGCAATCGGAGAGCGTCATCGCTAACAGGAACAAGGTTTCGGAGATACAATGGGTCCAGAGTGTTGCTCTCACGTATCAAAGCTGTATTTCTGTGGACTTGCTCCAAAAGGTCTTCCACTGATGTTTTGTCTGAAGATAAAGTCACTTGCAGTGGTAGAGCAGCTCGATGTGATGTCGCAGGAGTATGCGAAAAATGGCCTTCATCCTCTTGTAACACGCCGAACAGTGCTTGGTCTGAGCCGGTGTACTTTGCTTGAAGTAGAGCCCAGGCTGCATGCATGTAGACGCTTGGTAAATGCTCTCGCCTGGCCAGCGGTAGAACGATCTTCATGGCACATTCTTCGTCGAGTAATGGCTTATAGTTGGGCGATGGCAGTACTGGAAATGTTGGGGCTTCGGTGTCTCCATGCTGGTCTTGCCAGAAGGTGTCTAGCCTCTCCTGTGAGACACCTGTTGCGTACTGGAAGAAATTCTGACGAATGGATACATTCGACCCTTGGTGGTCGTCAAGAACAAAATGTATCGCTTCGCACAGTTTTGCGACAACATGTGACGCGGATCGCATGCTGAAACTGTTCTCTCTGAAAGCAAAGCTGATGATAGTCGAAGAGCCGCGAAGCTCCATTGCAAGGCCGAAGTCGAATTCTTGCTCGTCCGAAGCATCACACTCTTGGAACTGGACCCCACTAGGATGAATTGCTGCATCGCCGTTGTGTTTTGGTGCGCTGGTAGATGATCCCGCGTCGTACACTGTGACAGATGAATTGAACAAGCTTCCTTTACCGACGCTTCGTTGTATCTCTGCCAACGACACGTGCTGATGCTCCAGGTGGCTGATCGTGTCTTCACTGATCGATTGAATCAAATGTTCTACACTCTTGTCGGTTTCGAGAGACACACGGCTGGTGAGCATATTGATCAAAGGACCTACAGCTTGATCGACATGATCTACAGGCATGTCTCGTCCGGACGCAAGAAAGCCAAAGCAGGCCTCATCACTGCGAGTGTAGCACGTTAATACGAGTGCCCAAACAACCTGTATGAAGGCCGCTCTCGTGACACCTCTGGCGCGGCAGAAATCATAGATGGCCGTCTCACCGCCATGGAGAACATCCACGGTATGTGTCTTGGCGTTGTCCAATGAGCCACCAGCACTTTCGGTAGGGAAGTGGCAAGGCTTCACATCGGCCAAGTAGTTGCTCCAATATTGGATCCGATTCTCTGCCTTTGTTGCTTCGATGTATTCGATCACGTCGCGGAATAGCGGCGATGGAGGCAGTCGACTTCCACGATAGGCTGTGTCGAGTTGGTCCAAGAGGACGCCGACTGAAGCAGCATCTATCAGAGCATGATTTGTGTCTAGACGACAGGCACACTCCCCAGTCTTACTTGTGGCAATCGATACAAAAACTTCTGGCTGAGCAAGCTGGAATGTAGGTCTTGCAAAGTGATGCGCTAGCCACTGTGCAGGCGGCATATCCCCAGTCTCCACTACTTGGACTTGCTCTGAGAAATTTGAGAACCGTCGGACGGCTTGTAAGAACCCTCCACTCTGTTCATCATCCAGAAATACTGTCGCGAATATGGAGTGATGCACGAGAACGGTTTGCCACGCACGTTCGAGTTTGGAGATCGATATACGATCCGCCGCTCTGGGTTTGCATTCCCAGACTGAGTGCGTGAGGTAACTCGCAGCACCTGTCTTCTTGCTAAACAGCAGTCCTTCTTGCATTGGTGTGCATTTGTAGACATCAGAAACGTCCTGAGCCGTGAGCCCTAACGTGGCCAGAGACCGTTTTTGCTGCATCGTCGGTCTCCATACAGCACGGTCTTTCTTAGTACCAGCGGATGCTTTCTTCTGGACCGCATGAGTTGCCTTGCCAGACTTGACGACGTTCTGGATTGTTTTGAGCCTAAGCAGATCCACGACAGATACCTCTAGCCCTCTTGACCGCGCTCTCGAAACAACTTGCATTGCAGTAATGGAGTCACCGCCTAGCGTCGTGAAGGCGGCGTCGGTCGATACAGTGTCGGCTTTCCACTGCAGCACCTCAGCCCAGACGTCTCGAAGACCTCTCTCGAGCTCAGAGGTTGGCTCGATCACAGTGTTGTGCACATTGTTCTTTGCCAAGCTGTCGCCCATACGAGCTTCAGCTTGTGCGCGGAGCATACGTCGATTGATCTTTCCACTTGGCGATAACGGTACTTCGTCCAGAGCAAAGAAGGCTACAGGGATCATAAATTCTGGAATGTGTTCCGCGAGCAGTGTGGCCAGAGTATTACTTTCCACAAGCTCCATGGTCGCCTTCGATGGTCGCACGACAAATGCTATCAATGCTTTCTGCGCCACTTCAGCAATGACATCTATGGATGCTGTAGAGTCATTCTGGTAGTCGCGGACAACTCGTTGAATGTTTCGTTCGATGTCACCGAGCTCGACACGTTGGCCACGAATCTTGACCATATCGTCTCTCCTCCCGACATAGTTTAGAGATCCATCGGAAGAATACTGCACCAAGTCGCCAGTACGATAAAGTCGACCTTGCCGGCCTTGGCGATATCTGGTGCCATCGATCAGCCATTCTGGATCGTTGATGAAACTTGCCGCTGTCTTCGCATGATCGTTGAGATAGCCACGTCCCACGAGGGCACCTTCGATGTATAGCTCTCCCACAGCGCCTACAGGTGCGAGCTGACTGGGCTTATCAACACTGACCACCCATGTCGCACAGCCGAGTCCTACGCCAAGACCTGGCTTTCCACTTCTCCTGGCGAAAGGACGAGTCAATTCGGTTGCTGTTGCTGTCACAGTGCACTCGGCCGGACCATATGAGTCAATGATGCGTGCGGAAGAGTTCTCGAGGTACTCAATATCTGCATAATTCAGAGCCTCACCGCTCAGGTTGATTGTCGACACATGTGAGAAATCCACTGCTCGTACGTGAGCAGGTGTGATTTCGGCATAGTTGACACGATTTTGCTTCGAGAAATTTGCCAGGTCGTCCATTCGTTGCTTGGCAGAAGGCGTACATAGACATGCGCCAGCAGTGAGAGCCATGAGCAAGTTCTCCCAAAAGACATCGAATGCTGGCGAAGCGAAATCCAGTATGCGTGAAGTTTCGCTGATTCCGAGGAATGCTCGCTGGTGTGCTATTGCATGGATGAAATTGCCATGTTCGATGACCACTCCCTTTGGCAGGCCAGTGCTACCACTTGTGAATGAGACGTATAGAGCATTCGACGACCGGGCCTGAGGCAGAGTCTCCAACTGTTCACGCCGTTCCGCCGGCTTGGAGATTGTAGTCGTCGGCTCATCGTCGACGCTTAGCACGGTACCACCGTCGCCTGCGATGGAACGAGCAAGCTCTGCTGTACCTGCAGACGCCAAGACCAGTGGCGCTGCAACTTGACCGACAATGGTAGTAAGTCTGTCCAATGGCTGGCTGATGTCGAGCGCACAGCAGACGCCGCCAGCCTTCATTACCGATAGAGCTGCCACGGTCATCCAGATGCCCTTTTCCAAGCACAGTGGGACAATCACCTCTGGGCCCACATTATATGTCTTAGCAATGTAATGTGCCCACGTTGTCGATAGCTCGTCCAGTTGAGCATAAGTAAGTCTGCCGTCCCAGCTTTCCATTGCTGGTGATTCGGGCTGACGCTCGACAGTCAGCTGGATCAACTGATGCACGGTCTCGGCTTCTGCCATATCTGTCACCGGAACGGAACTGTTCCAGGACCAAATGTCTTGAAGGTCTTGTGGGCTAGCGATACGCAACGAAGTAACGCTCGCTTCATGATTCTCGGGAGCACACAATTGATGGACAATGTGTTCAAGCTGGCCGCCCATCCGCTCGGCTTGCTTGACAGGCAACATTGCGGAGTCGAAGCTTAGTGTGACTCGTGCTCCGTTCTCAGCGTCCAGATAGCAATGGATCAGCAGTCCATAGGAGTTGAAGACTGCTGTATCTAAGTCCTCCTCGTACGCCTCCGAGACGAAGACAGGCGTAGAGTCATCCGCTTGCTCTGCAGGTTCGACCAGCAAGAGCGTCTGGAAATCGCACGCTCGTTGCGCATCATCGCTGACAAGACGAATGTTTTGCAAGCCCAATTGTTCAGCCTCTGCCAGTGCCAGTGAATCGTGCTGGACGCGTGTGAGGAGCCGCCGAACTTGTTCGCCATGCTCAAAGTCAACGACCGCTCGAGTTGGAGCAGTGGCAAGGGTGGGCGCGATCATCGACTCAACACCATCGACCGGTACAGCACGACCAGACGTCGTGACGCCGTAGACCACGTCTGCTGAGCCAGTGTATTCTGCCAGTAACAAATGCAGAGCTGTTCTGATCACTGTCGCTGCAGTAAAACCACTGCCTGCGGGCCAAGGTATACCTTGCATACGATGCACAACTTCGTGATCGGCACGAGGTTGGTATGAGGGAAAGGGCAAAGGCGGGTAAACGTGAGCTTCCAAGCCAGAAAGATGTTTTTGCCATGCATATTTCGCCTCCTCCCTGCTTATTTGCTGCACACGACGAACGAATGCTTGGAATTCTGGTGGAGAAGGACCGGCGTCCAGATGTTCGTAAGCGTATCTCAGCCTAGCAAGCATTAGGGGAAGGCTGATCCCGTCGAAGAGAGCGTGATGCATTGTCCATTGGAAATTGGTCCCTTTCTGGTCCTTCAAAATGCAGAAGCTGGCCAAAGGTGACCCTAGCCCCATCGAGGGAATAGTAGTCGTTGTCCTTAAATCCCAAGCTGTAGCACTGGACTCTTTGACTATGACTTGCACCAGGCCCTCTCCTCTCAAGTCTATGATCCGCGTGCGCAGGATAGGTAGAGCAGCGAAGACAAGTTCCCAGGCCTGTTTGAAACGGGCTACATCGATGTCGGCGCGCAACTGATAGGTCTGCCGTCCAATGTAGTCCTCTGCTCGCTGTGCAGTCAGAGCCATGAGCCCTGCCTGCAAGGCTGTGCATGGGAAAATGTCCTCGATTGCGTCAACATTCAACTCACACTGACGAGCAGCTTCCTCGCAAGCACCTTCGCGGTCAAGAAGCTGTAGCAAGCTGAAGGGAGCCACTGGCTCCGTTGGTTTCGAGACAGTGGCAGGTCCCTCCCTAGCATTGCGCTGATCAATATATTCAGCTAGATCACATATTCGTGAATGCGCAAACACTTCAGCGACCGATATCGCGGTGCCTCTTTTCCGTGCTGCAGCTGTCAATCGAACGGCGAGCACTGAATCGCCACCTAGGCGGAGAAAATCATCTTCCGCTGCGATTTCGTCTGTTCCAAGATCCAGAATATCTGCGATGAGGCTATGTAACAAGATTTCGGTCTTGGATGCCGGAGACCGTCGACTCGTCCGATCCGATGACCAGAACGCCGCTATCTCCCGCAAGGTCAGTTCGGTGATCTTCTGCGTCAATACGGCGCGGTTCCTCTTCCCTGTGTAGGTGAGGGGCAGCTGGTGCAAAGGTATGTAGCCCTTTGGTACCATATAAGCTGGTATTCGAGTTCTGAGCTTGTCGTCAACACCCTCTGTAGCTTTCGATAGTTCCAAGCGCAATTCTGTGTCGTCTAGGTTCGCAGCTCCGGGCAGCACGACGTAGACAATGAGAGTGGGGATTTCATGGCCTTTAGGGGTGGCAACCATGGCTGCTACGTGCAGTCCCTCTTCACCACAAGCTTGACTCAAGACGGCACGCACATGGTGTTCGACTTCGCCCAATTCGACTCTTTGACCGCGCAACTTGACTTGCCAATCGCGTCGGCCCTGTATTCGGAGACTTCCGTCGGGAGCATACTTAGCCAGATCGCCCATTCGATACAGTCGTCCCCTTCGACCAGGTATTTTGCCGCCATCGCCGGCGAGGAGGAAAGGGGGATCCTCAACGAAGGCCTTCGCAGTCTGTGTCTCATCACGAAGATAGCCACGACTCACCAGAGGTCCTTCAAGCCAGATCTCACCACTTTCCCCAATCGGCGCAAGAATAAATTGGCCGTCCTCGTCCTCGTTGACCAGCCACGTCACAACGCCACTGCCGTAGCCGATGTTGTCAGGGGTCGCAGGATTCAGTGCTGCTGTCTGGAGAGATCCACACTCTGAAGCTCCATACGTATTTCGATATCTCTGAGAAGGGTGTATCCGCGATAGAAGTTTCGGTGAGGCACGTTCGCCAATGGTTTCAAAGCCTTTGAGCATATGTAGAGCCTCGTCGTCCAGCAAGTCGGCCACTGTAGGTGTGATATTCGCAAAATTTGCACGGAACCGTTTGATAGCTGCTGAAGGGTCCTGCCTCCTGTCCTCTTCCGATGGCACGCAAAGACAGCCTCCTGCGTGCCAGCAGAAGAGGACATTGTACCATGTCATGTCCCAGGAATAACCGGCGTAATCAAAGACTCTAGATGATGTTGACATGGCCGTGGGCTCGGCTTGGATATGCAGCTCGGTGTACAGGCTGCGGTGTTCGACGACGACAGCCTTGGGTCGGCCTGTAGAACCGGATGTGAAGGATACCCACAGTGCATTCTCTCCCGTCGCTGTGGTTTTCTGCGAGTTGTCCTGCCCGGTAGCATGAAGCTCGCGATCTAGGCGATCTCCATCGATGCTACAAATGATGGCATTTGTGGCCAGCTTTTCAGCGGTTGACCAAGCGTCATCTGAGGCCAAGACAACATGTGGACGGACTTGGTCCATCATTAGTCCCAATCGTTCGTCTGGTTGCGTAATGTCCATGACTACTGTCACGCCTCCGGAACGCATCACGCCCAGCATTGCCACAGAGACCCATTTGCTCTTCTCAGAAAGTAAAGAGATGTGCACCTCTGGGCCGACGCCCAGCGATCTCAGGTGAGTCGCCCATCTTTGCGAGTAGCGATCCAGTTCACCATAAGTAATGGAGCCATCCCATGCTTCGATTGCAGGCGCATTCGGTTGCCTTCTTGCGACTTCAAGTATTAAATCGTGAACGACGCCTTTTAGTGTCTCTGGGACTGTGGCGTTCCACTGCCATATCTGTTTCAAATCGCGGTCGCTGATGGTGCCCATTTCTCTGGCGAAGGTGTAGAAGGAAGGTGCTTGGCAGCCATCGTGCGTTATGGGACGCTCTGCTTATACACAAACGAGCCTGCCATCATACGGCTAACGAGGCTTGCAGTAGCTGGACTCCCGGCACTTTTGCCAGCCAGGGCCGGCTCGGAGACCCCCATTTCTCAACCATTCTTGGCTTTGAGTAGTCCGGTAAAAGTGATTGTATGACAATTCGCACGGCCCACGCGTTCCAGCTCATCCCACGTGGCGCTCAGGCATGATCGCGTAGCAGAAAAGCTTCCTCTTCGTCGACAGATCCTGGTTGCACACGCTGAACTGCTGCATGTTGCAGTAGCGAGCATGCTGTCTGCGAAAAACGTGGCGCAAGCTCGTCATGCCCGCCTGAACGCAAAGTGACGCTGGCGTGGGAGGAATTGAGGAGGAAGAGAGAATAAAGTTATCAGCTTCGAGGATCTTATCTGACCCGAGCCTAGCTTTGCGGAATTTGATACTTAGCCATCCAGCTCATCTATAATGGTTCTATTGAGCTGGCGTTCAGCAGGCCGCGATTACTCTCATGATCGCGGACAGGAAGCTGTGAAGGGATGCCCGCGTGAAACGCGCCTCTCGTGCTGATTTCTTCTTCTGAGACCCGCATACGTCGCATAGCGTTTGTCGCGTTGTTGTGTCTTGGTAGTTTGTCGACCGATCTCGATGTTTGGTATTCTAGGGGATAACGTTGGAGGTGGTGCGCTACTATTCCTAATACGGAAGCAGCCTTGCCCGCGGATGGAGCTCTCTTGCCCCAGAAGATAGTAGTAGTAGTTCTGTCTGGCATACAGTCGAACGCACAAAAACTCTGCTGGCCCTCGCAAGCTCGCAGACCCGAGAACTTCCTTGCTCGAACGCTCTCCTTGCTCGCCGGAGACAAGGGTGGGGTGCTCCTCGGCTGCGGTAATTACGCCGGATAACACCACGAGTAGCCAAACATGGCTCTGCAATGGCTGAATATCAGCTGGCCAGTTCTCAATCAGATCCCTCGGATCTGATTAAATTCTCTCAACAAGCTCGGCGAGGGACCTTGGGACCAAACTACTGCACCTTGGAGCATCCAACCACAGCGAGCAGCAGCATAGATTTATGCTTTTGACTACCTTGGCGCCGCCACTGCATCATCAGCGCGGTTCGGCTAAGACTATTGCGCATCAGTTCGGCCCAGCATGCGGCTTTTTCACAAAGGCACGATGTCGCTTGCGAGGTCGGCGTGCCCTCGTCTCACATGCGATGGACACGATCAGGCGGCTTCCAATTGTTCCGGTGTTGTCAAGCTAAGCGAATGCTGTACCGTGACACGTCGTTCGCCTCATCGCCGGAGCTATAGCCTAGGACTTTGTGGTTCTTGGGGCCAGCCTCAGATCGGGGAGGGACAACTCATGTCTGTCTCTGCAGGAGACTCCGGTCATATTCTTAGGTGAAAATTATGCCGAATCATGGAGACTTGGGCAAGGTGCGCTACTTCTCCATATGCCTGATATAGGCCCGGAAACTGACGTGCACAGCGTGCCCGAGCATTGCTGGCCTGGAGAGCCTCATACGCACCAATCGTTAGTTTTGTGCAGCTGCTGAACGCTGCCGAACCAAGTCGACATGATGTCTTCCTTATGTGGGCAGGCACCATAACCGCAATCCTAGGTGGTATGCCATTTCCGATTCTTGGACTTTTATACGGAAAGGTCGTGGATGAATTAGCAGATTGCTCTGCAGAAGCCGGAACGGACTCCAATTCTTCTGAACAATGGCTCTCTGTACAGAACAAGGTGCTCGGCATGTTTGCCGTGGCTCTATGCAACTTTACGATGATCTATGCGGTATGTACGAGGTCTCTGCAAATTGGAAATATGCAATGTTAGGCGCTTATTCATTTCAGTACAACGGATGCTGGGGCCTCTTTGGAGAACGCCTCACGTACCGCATTCGCTTCGCCTACATGCGTGCATTGCTGAGACAAGAGCCGGCCTTCTTCCACAGTCTCCCTTCCGGTGAAATGGCAACAAGATTGGACACCGACATTCAGAATATCCAAACTGGCACGGGCGAGAAGGTGGCTCATTATATTTCCACCATATCATACTTTATCACAGCATACGCAGTGGCTTTCTCCCAGGATGCCGCCTTGACATGGAAGTTGGCAACACTCGTTCCCGTCTACGTACTTTACGCGCAGTATACTGGCAAACTTCTCGAGCGCTTTTCGACACAGGTCGCGAATGGGGTCAGCTCCGCAACAAATTTGGCATCCGAAAGCCTTCAAAACATCCCTCTTGTCCACGCGTTTAGTGCCGGCAAGAAGCTTGAGGACCTATTCAGTCAACGCCTACAAGCAGTTGCGAGCGCAGTGACAAAGAAGACAGTGACTGCCGCAGGGCAGATGGCTTTCCTGTACACAGCAACGTACATCTCAAATGCGCTGGCTTTCTGGCAGGGTAGTGTGCATATGGCTGCAGCAAGAAACGGTGAAAATGGTAGCAGCGTCGGTCGGATTTATACGGTGCTGGCTTGCGTTCTGGATGCATCACTCATGTTTGCAAGCCTATCGCACTATCTAACTTACTTCATTGGAGCCAGGACTTCGTTTGACAACCTGGTTCCCGTGATGCAGCGGGATACTGCCATAGACGGGATGGCAGAAACGACTGGGTTGCCGCTCACCTCCAGCAAGGGCTGTTTCGAGCTCAAAGGGGTTTCATTCGCGTATCCTAGTCGCCCGGATACGCAAGTCCTGAACCACGTGTCTCTCGAATTGCTAGCGGGAAAGGTCACTGCGCTGGTCGGTCTCTCAGGGAGTGGTAAATCGACGATAGCCACACTCTTGAATCGTATATACGATCCGGCAGCCGGACATCTCGAGCTGGATGGTGTCGATTTGCGGCAATGGAATGTCAAGGATCTTCGACATCATATCTCGGTCGTGGAACAAGAGCCTACTCTCATGAATCGCTCAATCCTCGAGAATGTTGCATATGGCTTGGCTGGTAGCCTCAAATGGCCACCTGGTGCAGTTGAGCGACTAGCAGCACATATGCGAAATACAGGTCAAAATGCAGAAGAAGCAGCAGGAGACTCTCAAATATTGATTGAAGTGGTCCGACGAGTAAGGAAGGCGCTGAAGCAGGCACAAGCCTATTATTTTGTGGAGCGCCTCGAGCATGGAATAGCTACGAAAGTCGGTACGCGAGGACTGCATCTCAGTGGAGGGCAGAGGCAGCGCATCGCTATAGCAAGAGCGTAAGTTCACCACATCCACGTGGCCTGAGAAGGGATGTGCTGACAGAAGCTTCGCGATCACAGACTCGCCCGCAATGCCCCAGTGCTCGTGTTAGATGAGGCAACATCCGCTCTCGATACTGCTACCGAAGTTGCAATACTGCAGAGTCTTTCGCAGTCCATGCCGGGCAGGACGATCATTTTGATCGCGCATCGATTGTCGTCCATCAAACATGTGGACAAGGTCATCGTCATGCGCAACGGAGATGTCATTGAAGAAGGTGGGTATAAGGAGCTTCTGGATAGCAATGGCCACTTTACTCGCATGGTAGAGATGCAGGCGCTGCAGAATCACGTCGAGCAAAAGTCTGGAAAGGACTTCTCCACAATCGGTGCGTCCACAGCTGGCGCATCCACCACTGAACACGAGGCAAAAGAAATTTCAGAATTCCGCGAGAGCTCCAAGTCTGCTGATCTGCAGAACACTCCTGCCGATTTTACTGGAGAAGATGAAGGAAATGACGACCTGGAAGACTTGCCACTACTCGACTCCGAGCTGAAGGACAGCAAAGAGGATGCAGACGACACGATGCAGAAGGTCGATGCAGGAAAGGCTCCATATCGAAAAGTGTTTGGACGAATATATGAGTACACACGGGTGCAACGCTCGCTCATCTACACAGGTATAGCTACTGCAACTTTTGTTGGTAAGTCCATCCTCGAAGTCAAGCTGCTAAGACCACAGCAACGCTTCCGAGAACGTGCATGCTGATCTTTGCAGGCCTCACCTGGTCAATCGAAGCAGTCATGTTTGGACAAGCCATTGGAGCCCTCACAGTCTGCGGTCTGTCCGCTGAACGCATAATCGCGAGTGGCCAGAACGTCGGGATAGCCTTCCTGATTCTGGCGGTTCTGAGCTTTGGCACCACTGTGGTCTCTTCTTATTGCTTTGGTAACGTGTCGGAGTACCTCTTGAACCGGGTTCGGATTCTGTCCCTCAGGAGTCTACTACAGCAAGACGTGGAATGGCACGAAGACAAGGGACGCACGCCAAGCAGCCTCCTGTCCTACATCAGTGCCGATGCCTCGAGCCTTGGGAATATCACGGGGAATCTCCTTGGAGTTTCGATCGGCGTTATCGTGAGCTTGATTGTTGGTCCTGTATTAGCCCACATCATTGCTTGGAAAATTGCCATTGTCATTCTTGCAATCATTCCCATCCTGGTCGGTGCTGGCATTGCTCGAGTATCGGTCCTTACAAAGTTCCAAGACAAGCACCGAGAAGCATTTGACGCATCTGTTGGGATCGCTACAGAAGCTGTGGGGGCCATCAACACAGTAGCGGCATTCGGTCTTGAAGAAGAGATGCTCGCATCGTATCAACGGGCGCTGAACGAACCCTATGCCGCAACAGTACGCCTGGTTATCATCGGAAACTGCTTTCTGGCACTCGGCTACAGCATTCCAAACGCATTGAACGGTATAGCCTACTGGTGGGGATCGAAACTGATTATTGCCGGCGAATATGATCAAGCGCAATTCCAGACTGTGCTGCCAGCTATGCTTGTTGGCGCGGTCGGCTGTGGTCAGCTTTTCAACCTGCTTTCCGATGTAGCTCGAGCAACTTCGTCTGGAGCGCGGGTATTCAGTCTCATTGATTTGCTACCCAAGAGCCATCAGCGAGTACAACTGGACATACAATCGCACGAAAGTGGCAACAGTGGCCGGCTCAGAGAACGGGACGAGGACGCTACTGGTGATCTGCCAGAAAAGTCAGATTTAGACGTTGAGGCTATCCCGCTGATGCTCATCAACGAGAAAGAAGTCGAAGACGCGGACAAGCCCCGTCCCATTGGCGGCGCTCGTGTCTCGATGACCGACGTCTCCTTCGCCTACCCAAGCAGACCATCCACTGTCGTCCTCCAAGATATCAACATCAACATTCAACCTGGTCAATTAGCTGCCTTCGTTGGCCCCTCAGGCAGCGGCAAATCCACCATATTCGGCCTCCTAGAACGCTTCTACCGACCCACCACAGGTTCTGTCGTCATTGGCCATGAAGACATCAGCAAATCTGACGATACGACCTTTCGAAGAAACATCTCTCTTGTACCGCAAACGAATATGCTGTTTGACGCAAATGTAACCTTCAATCTCGATCTAGGCTCAAGCAGCGAATCTTCAGTCAGCCAAGCAAGATTGGAAGAGGCTGCTCGCCGCGCAAATATCCACGACACAATTATGGGCCTTCCACAACAGTACGAGACACCTTGCGGCACCAACGGAAAAGACTTCAGCGGTGGGCAGAGACAAAGACTTTCGCTCGCCAGAGCCCTAGTACGAGATCCTTCACTACTTTTACTTGACGAGCCGACCTCTGCCCTCGACAGCGAATCAGAGGCACGATGGCAAGAGACGTTGCAGGAGCTCCGAGGCGAAGCCACTATTTTGATCATTGCACATCGGCTGCATACCATTCAGATGGCAGATGTCATCTTCCTGATACATGATGGGCGTTGCGAGGACCGAGGGACACATCAAGAGCTGATGCAGCGGAATGAGAGGTACAGAACGAACGTGATGCAGCAAGTATTGGATTGATCAGCTTGAGAGATGGCGTGCACAGCACATGTAGGTGTCAGCCATATCGCACTTGTTCTGTGCCTTCTCGGAACCAATCCTCACCAGCCGCTTCCTGTTCATCTGCATAATTTATAATGGTGCTCTTCGTCGTAGTGTAAGCGTGATATGCAGCGATGCCATTCTCACTCCCGACTCCAGAACTTCCTATCCCGCCCCATGGACTACTTGGGTCGTTGCGATGATGCGTGTTGATCCAGCAGATGCCTGACTCGATTCGATCGGACAAGCGGTGTGCCTCTGAAAGGTCTTTGGTCCAGACGGCAGCTCCTAGCCCGAATTCACTGTCGTTCGCCAGTGCAAGCGCCTGATCTTCAGTTCCGTACGCGGTGATGACGATGACTGGCCCGAATGCTTCCTCTTTCCAGATCTCGTGATCCTGAATCGCTGTGTCTTGCCGATGGACAAGCACGGTTGGTGGGTAGAAGTAGCCCGCAGAAAGATCGAACCCATCAAGTGAAGATTCGCCGGACATTCGTTGTCCTCCAACAGCAACTTCTAGACCAGTACGCTTTGCATCTTCCACCAATCCGCTGACATGATCCAATTGTTTCTTTGAAATGATGGGGCCCATCATCGACTCAGGGTTCGAGGGCGCACCTATTCTCCGACATATTGATAGGGCTTTGGCCGCAATCTTCTCCACAAATGACTCAAAGATGCTAGAATGCACAATGATTCTGGTGGCAGCCACACAGGTCTGCCCGCTTGCGATAAAAGAGCCGAATGCGACTCCATTGACAGCCAGCTCCAGATTTGCATTTGCTGTCACAATCACAGGTGCTTTGCCCCCCAACTCAGCAGTGAAATGTGCCAAGTTGCCACCTGCAATGGCACCTATTGCTCTGCCAGACGGCGTGCCGCCGGTCACATCAACCTTTTTCACAAGGGGATGAGACACCAGAGCTTTACCAGTAGTGACACCGTGCCCATTCAGCACAGTGAACACGCCATCGGGAACACCAGCGTCCTTGAGAACCCTTCCAAGCTTCAGTGAGGTCAATGGTGTCAGCTCAGATGGCTTCAAGATAATGCAATTTCCAGCTGCCAGAGCGGGCGCGATCTTCTTGACAGCAATGAGCAGTGGATGGTTGAAAGGCGTGATCTGAACAACCACACCCAGTGGGCGTCTGTCGACCCAGTTGTGTAGCTTGCCAGTGGTCGGCAGAACTGGCCGTTCTTCTGTCCTGATCAATGCGGCATAATACTTGAACCATTTCACTGTGACCAGATCAGCCAAGTTCGAAGAAAGCGAGCAATGGAGTACTCACCCAGAGACGGGACCTGAGCTTTCATTTCCCTTATCGCCCGGCCCGTCTGGAGCACCTCAAGAGCGATCAGATCAGTCAGGTTGGCGGCCAGCAGTTCCGCAGCCTTCTCCAGCACATCGGCGCGCTGATGCCTTTCCCATCTAGACCACACGCCGGACCGAAAGGTTTTGTGTGCTGTCTCCGCAGCATAATTCACATCGCTGACGCTTGCAGAATGGCAGCTGGAATGCAATGAGTGTCCGCGGATCAATAGTCAGTGTGGGAACGTACTGCGCGAATATCGTTCCGGTCGATGGATCTTTCATGGGAATCAGTTCCCCGCTGCCTTCATGTTCCTGCCCGCCAATCCACAGCTTCTCAGCATGAGACGACATTACCGGCTCGCAGGTTTGCCTTTCTGAAAATTCTAACAATCAGAATTGTAGCAACAGCTGCTTGGGTTTGCAACCTGATCCGTGTCAAGAAATGGTCGATCACGAGAAGAGGTTGCTTCTAGCTGCTGGGTGGCCTATCTTCCAGATAGGCGAAGTCGGTAAGCACCATTCTCGCAGGACATCACATAGACACCACGACGGCAGCGACGCGTCTAAAGTGTGAACGAAATCACTTCTATGCCCATTCAACTGCGATGTCGTCCTTGGAAAGGAGTGCGGAAGCCGTTCAGCGACTGGTGGTTGCCGTTTCCGCCAAGACTGTGGCCGGTGCCGAGGCAGGACCGATTTGGCAATGGTTTTTGGCCCCTGTACGGTACTGACAACTTCACCTCAACATCGACATGCCTCTACGTACAGTACGGCAGAGCCGCCGGTGACATTGAGAAGCCTGGAATCCTTGTTCAAATGCTGTCCAGAGGAGCGTAAACAATTTCAAGCTGCATAGAGTCTTGAACAAGCACCATTATTTCTGGCCACAATGGCAGACACAAGGGAACCCGATGTTGAACTCCAGGGCTGGGAAGACAAGACGCTACCTTCGACACTGGATGATCTTGCAGAGGAAGAAGATCCCTTGGCCCCATCCAACAGCCTAGCAGCCACACAGCAACCGGACAAGACGATAGACAAGAAGAAAAACACTGCCTACCTTGACGGTCTCCGTGGGCTCGCTGCCCTTCTAGTCTACATATACCATCATGTAAGCTGGTATTTCGGACCCACAGACGACCTCATCAATGGCTGGGGAGCGAACGGGAATCACTACTTCTTCCAACTCCCCTTCATCCGACTCATCCTCACAGGTGGCAACGCCGGCGTAGTAATCTTCTTCGTCCTGTCCGGCTACGTCCTCAGCATCTCACCCCTCCGCCACCTCCGCGAAGCCAGCAAAGGAAACCAAAACCACAAAACCATCTACCGCTCCCTCCTCTCCAGCGTAATCCGCCGCCCCTTCCGCCTCTACCTCCCCGTCATAGGCGTAAGTCTCGGCTTCGTCATCGCCTTGCACCTCCCCTTCGGCCTCGCCCCCAAACTCGCCTGGCCCGCACCCCAAGAAACCCTCTGGCTCGAACTCAAATCCTGGCTCTACGAACTCTCCATCGCTCTCCAGCCCTCCACAAAACCCGACGTCCTCGCCCACTGGTTCGTCTACGACCCACCAGTCTATACCATCCCCGTTGAACTCGTCGGCAGTCTCCTCATCTTCTCCATGCTCGCCTTCTCCGTCCCCGTCACAATGCGCATGCGAGCAATCGTCTACGCATTCATGTACATTGCCTTCCTCCTCATGTACCAATGGGCCATGGCACTCTTCATGGCCGGAATGCTCCTCGCAATCAACGATCTCAAAGAACCCGGTCCAAGCACATTCGGCAGATTCCAACTTTCTGCTCGCGGGAAAACTATCATCCACCACTTCACATTCTTCGTGGGATGGTATCTCCTCTGCCAAACAGCCGGGATGCGAGACACTCAAGTTTCCTCGGATACACCTGGATGGTGGCTCCTCACGAAGCTCATCCCACCAATCTACTACGACGACCCAGATAAAGAATACTGGCGCTGGTGGCACGCATGGGGGGCATTCATGGTCGTCTATGGAGTTTTGCGACTCTCCTGGTTGCAGAAATTCTTTTCGACGAGGCCATTGAAATATCTTGGCAAGATTAGTTTTGCTTTATATCTTGTCCACGGACCTCTGATGTGGACTGTGGGAGATCGGATTTATCGACTGTTTGGACATATTACCATGCCTGAGATGACCACCATGTGGGATGAAATGCTTCCAGTCCCGGAATTTGGCATACATGGTTTTACAACGAGATTTCTGGTATCCCAGGCATTGATCTTGCCTATCACATTCGCCTTTGGACATCTCGGAACGAAACTGTTCGATGAGCCGAGTGTAAGGCTCGGACGATGGGTCGTTGATAGGATGAAGGTCGAGAAGAAACGATGATGTAAACCTTGTACACGATACAGAAAACAGAAGAAAAATGTAATTGTATATCGCTTCGCATGTCTACAACCAAGCGACCGCTCACACAAAATGCCCAACATTGCCGCTCGTCCTTTTACATCTAAATCGTCATCCAAACAAATGAAGAGGAGAGTAGTCATCACCTCTTCCCATCTCTCCCCAACCTCTCCGCATCATCCTCCACCAATTCATAAGCCGGCCGATACCGCACCACATCCTCAGCACCCTTAGTCTTAAGCGCCAGCGCCGGATTGGGATGCGTATCATCCGTCCCGCCCAAACTCGTATAGCCCATATCATACAACTCACAGTACTCGACTCCGACCTCTTTGATAAAACTCCAAATATCCGCATAATGCCAATCAATCACCGGATGTATCCTCACAAACGCTGGCCAGCCCCCATCCGTGGGATCGAAGAATGTGAGCTTCGCGCCGTGAGGATCGGTACGCCGGGTTCCAACAAAGATCGCCTGGACGGACGGCGTGTCTGCAAGGTACGAGGCGAAAGCTTCGCGCATGGGTTTGTGGTATTGCGAGAGGGAGAGGTGGTATTTGGTTGCGGAGGAGTGGACGAAAGTTGTTACGGCGGGGAAAGGGTTGGGTGTGACGATGTAGACGGATCGGAGGGTCGGAGGAAGAGATATTGAGGACTTTGTCGAGTGGGTGTGTAGGGCGGCGAGGTAGAGGATCAGGAGGACGAGGCAGTCTTTGCCGCCGTTGTAGCTGAAGGAGAGGTGGTCGAGGCTGCGCGCGATTGTCAGTTTGGTGCTGTAATGCGGTCCTTTGCCAGAACGAACCTGAACTTCTCCAATGCCTCTTCAATCACGCCCAGCGACTCCCTCGTCATGCGCTGCACCTGCTCTATCCTCTCACTCCTCGGCTTTCGCTCCAGAAACTCGTATACCCGATCATGCACGTTCCGACACGCTTCCGCCAAGTCCTGATACACGTCGTCTTTATCATTCTTCACCTGCGTCGCCTTGGCCGGCGGCACGACATGTCCATTGCTCATCTTGCCATGTACGTTGTTGTTGCTCGTGACGGAGGATGACGCTTCATCTCCGGTATATACGCTGGGCATTCCCGGCTGCGGCTGTGAACGCTGCTGATGCTGCTGTTGGCATGCAGAGAAGCGTCCCTTCTGGCTGGCACTTGTGGCGCGGGCTCGATGAGAACGGAGGATGTTATCGGAAGACCATTTCCCCACTGCCGAGCGAAGAGAAGTGAGCATTGAAAGCGTGAGTGTTGCTGTAGGGTGACGGAGGTGATGCCTCTCCAGGGTCCAGAAAGCCGAGATTGATCAACCTGGTTTAGTTCTAGCGGGGCTGGCGGGGTCGCTGAGACGGTAATCCTCGAGAAGGTCGTGGAAGAGAAGAGAGTCCTGGCGACTTGAGTGGACTATCATCAATGGTATGTACCGAGGAGAGGAAAGCCGACATATGTTTGGGCTCGGCAGCATCGTGAGACGTAAAAAGTCCGCGGCGTACGACGACGGCTGACTTGCTGTGCTCGGCTCGTGCATCGATTACCGAACCACACAGTGGCGTCGGATATGTCGACCAAGTCAACCTCGCATACTCTTGTACCCAGACGAAATGATCCAATGAGCCGGCGAAGGCCAATTCGACAAAGATGAAGAAGCTGTAATACACATCATGTCCATACTGCTCTGTACAAAATAATCCCGCTGCAATCGTCCGAAACAAACCTCTTTCATGCTCCCAAACGACCTCTTAATCCACCGCATTCCTCCTTGCCGCTTCTCCGCTCGCTTTTTCGTAATCCGTCTTTGCAATGTATAGTCCCTCCAGCACCGAAACAATCGCCAGTCCAACAGCAGGACCAATCCAAATTCCGACCAAGTCCCAATGCAGTCCGAATCCCAACGCAAAACTGATAGGCAAAGCGATAATGTAGTAAGCGAACAAATTGATGTACCCACCAATGGCCTGTTTTCCAAGTCCTCTCAAGATACCATTGCATTGCGCAGCTGTAGAGTCAACGAGCTGGAAAGCAGCGTTGACGGGCAGAGTCGCGGCAGCGAGAGCGACAACTGCCGCATCTTCCGAGAAGAGAAGAGGGATGAAGTTACGAAGCGAAGTCAATGCGATCATGTTAAAAAGGCCAATGAAGACTCCGAGGATAAAAGCAACTCTGGTAGTAACTTTTGCTGCATCAGGTAGTCCCGCTCCGATCAGATTGGCCGTACGCGTCGAGGCTGCAATGCTTAACGGGAAAGGCAATTGGTAAGTGAGAACTGATACCGCCTGCAGAACGGTGTTGGCGGCCAAATGCGCGGACGAGATGCGCGCGGACGCCAACGTGATGATCTCGAAAGCGAGGAACTCGGCCAGAACCATAATCAGACCTGGAAGTGCAAGTCGGATCATGGGTCCCCAGTTGATCCAAGCTTTGCGTGTGAAGCCTGGCCAGCACTCCATCCCGCCCACGAAGCGCACATACAAGAATAACAGTATGGGCATGAGGCATTCGGTGATAGCGACGGCAATCGGACAGCCAATGAAACCCCATTCGAAGCGCCAAACAAAAAGCCAATGCATGAAAACATTCAGAGGGGCAGCAATGAGGAGGACGTACAGGTTGGCATCGAACCGGCCTTGTGCTTGGACATATCGCTTTGCAGCTTCGAACGTCGCGTAGCCTGGAGCGCCGATGATCAAAACCTTGAGATAATTTCCAGCCAGGTTGGCAATGTCTTGGTCGGGCACAATGGCACCAAGAATTCTGTCTGCGAAGAACCAGAAAATACCAATCGGAATCGTGATTGCCCAAAGGAAGTAGACCATGCGCTGGAATTGAAGACCGACCAACTTCTTCTTTCCAGATCCGTAAGCTTGCGCGCAGAGTGTGTCGAGAGAGGTTGTGAGACCATGGTACACGCTGTAGCCAGTAATATTGGCAGTCATGGATCCGAGAGACACGGCGCCGAGTTCATTTCTGCCAATGTGTCCCACTGTGAACACGGATGTGAGGGTGAGGGATTGCTGCAGAATGAATGTCAAGATCAACGGCGCAGAGTACCGCACCAAAGTCTTGGTCTCGCGTTGCCAGGTCGTCTGAATCTGACCATTCTCGACAGCCTCCTCCCATTTCTTCGAGATGTTCTCTGGGGTATCCTCGCCTCCGTATGGCAAAGTCGGATCACGACCATTCGCGAGAAGGCCCGTAGATTCTGTAGTGTGCCCATCTATTAATCGATCCGCGTCACCGCTCTTTCGCCTGAAGCTCACATGGCTGAGCATCTTCCTGAGTGTACCTCCATTCTCATGAGCATCACTCTCGCGTCGTCGTGGATGCTTGGGCGGAATGATATTGTTGTCTCTGAGCAAGCTCCTCTCTTCCCCAATCGCCGCCTCGTAGTCTTGTGCCAATGGCACACGCGCTTCGGGTAGTTGTGTGCCGAGAAATGGTCTCGGCGCTGGTGCAGCGATCGATGGACGCCTGTAGTATCCTGCCATTGAATGAGGACCTAGCCCAGGAATATCGCCCGTGAGCGTCCTGCTAAGCGCCGAATCATCTTCCCCGTCGACCGCCTCATCGTCGAAATCCGTCTCTTCGAGGTCTCGTATGATCGACTCTTCCGCAATGGCGGCAATGTGGGATTGTGATCGGAAGGATGTGCCAAAGCTGCGGGACAATGCCTGCCCAGAGGGCGAGCTACTGCGGTTGTTAGGAATTGATCTGGACATTCTGCCCACCGCTCCTGGGTTGTGTGCTGAGTTCTGTCGTTATCTACTGTCGTTACTGTGCCAAATGAGAGTTGGAATCTATGATCGTGTGGCGGTTGTTCGGTAAAGGTGAGATCCCGGTAGATGACTGCGAGCTGCAAGCAAGAGCGCACGCCAATGCGTGGGAGATGCTGTGCCGATCCTCGCGATCGACAGATCCAGTGCTCCGTTGGAGTTCCGGACGTTGACTGCGTGCAGGTGGCGACCGGCTGTGCCAAATCACGCCAGATTGCAGCGGGACGGAGTTGCCACGAGGGCGGTCAGAGATAGAGGAGGTGAAGGGAGGAGCAGGAAGAGGTGAGGGAAAGCAAAATTGCACAGTTACTATACCTCGAGCACGATGGAGCGCGGGTGGAGCTCGCAAGTGACTAAGATCAACGTGCAGTAGTGGAACTTCGATAACGCAACTGGTTTTCGGTCGAGGTGGCTCGGCAGGCGCGGTGCTCGAAGCTGGTCGTCTCTTCGATGGTCTGTGTCACTGCTCAATACGGAAATTACACCCGGTTTGAATGGTCACGCAGCGCTACAATATCTCCGCGCCTCCAGCGAATGCCGCGCACGGCTGACACTGACACGATACGTATAAGTGGTACAACTAGCCGGCGTCCATATGGCAGTCACTTCGACTAGTGCTCAACACACCCAACGACTACCTAGTTCTTCTTCCGCGAAGGCCTTGCATTCTTGTCTTTCCTCTTCTCCTGCAATTTCCTCAGCTTCCTCACATCGTCCACGCCTCTGAGCTCGTTCTTCCCCTTGCCCTCTGCAAATCTGCCAACTCTCTTCTCCCTCGCCTCCGCGACACGCTTCTTCCTGACATGGTAATCATCGCGGTACTTATCCGCCTCCTTCGGAGCACGTTCTTGCTTGTGCTTGAACCTGCCTCCTTGCCCGCCAGAATTCTGATTTACGAAATGTGAGTTCGACTTCTCCATCTCTCCGACCCGGGGAAGCCTCTCGACGCGGTTGTCCTTCCTCCATCGATCGAAGCGACCAGACTTGAACGAAGCAGCGATCTTCAGCCCAGATTCGCCTCGGATCATCTTAGCACCCTTGGAGCCATCGTCATCATTGGCACGTTGAACATATTTCTTGCTCTTCTTGTCCCAGCGCAGACCTGCTCCAGCTTTGTTGGCCACTTTGAAGCTGCTGTCTTCGTCTCCGTTGAGATCCATTGTTGCATTCCTAGCTTGGTCCAAGAAGTGATTCGAAGCATTGGTTCCTCCCGAATGCACTCCATATCCCTTGTCCTCAGCCATGTTGATGGTGGACGGAGTGTAAGACATGAAGAATTCATCGTCTTGGCCGGACGCTGCTTTCTTGTCCTTCTTGGCTTGCCGTTTTGATGTGCCAGGCTCGGAGGGTGCAGTAAAGGTGAGCTCAAGCTCAGAGTCCGATGCAAGTTCCATCTCTGGCCCATTAGGTTGAGTCAATATCAGCTCATCCTCGTCAGAATCTTCAGCAGCTCCAGATTTGGCGACGGTCACTTCATCTTCGGATTCTTCTTCCTTCGCCAGTGCCTTCTTCGCCTTCTGCGCTTCAATGTTTGCTCTCCGTTTCTTCATCACCTCAGCGGCAGCATCTTTTGCATCACCACGTTTTCCAACCTCGAAGACAGTCTCTACAGGCCGGAAGCTGGACAACCTTGCCAACATGTCTAGTCTTTGTTGCTCCAGATCAGCGGTCTCGTCAGCTTCGAAGAGCATGTTTGTAGCACCAGAGTCCTGGCTTTGGGCAATTTGCTTTGCACGCTTTACGCTCTCGGCGGACGCTGAGTTTCGTGTTCTCAGATATTGCTTTTCGCCTTTAGCCGCAACGTCGCGCATTGCTTGGAGATCGATATCTTCATCAACGACTTTTGCAGCCTCTTCGGTATATCGTTCGAGTGCATCTCTGCGGAAATTGCCAACAACGACCGCATTTTGAAACATGCCCGGCTCCTTGGCAGTGCGACCCATGATCAGTTTGCGACTGAGAAACAGTTGCAGATCGAGCAGATAAGGCATGTCCGGCTGTGTGATCAAACTGTAACTCCAACCTTCCTTACCTGCTCTTGCTGTTCGCCCGACGCGGTGCACAAAGATCTTTGGCTGTGATGGAAAGTCGTAGTTGATAACGTTGGCCAGTAATGGCACATCCAAACCACGGGCTGCCACATCAGTGACCACCAAGATGTTCGTCACTCCCGATCGAAAGTCCTGAACTTGCATTTTGCGTGCCGTTTGGTCCAGAGAGCCATATACATAGGATGTCGCGTAACCCCAGGCCTTCAAGAAGTTGGCAATATACTCGACGTGATGCTTAGTCGACGTAAATACGACAGTCGAATATGGCGACGTAGTCTCGTTGGCAGGCCCGTCAGCACCTCTCTTCCGCTTCTTGTCGCCCTTCTTGCCTTCTTTGACCCCGCTGGCCGGTTTGGCTGATCCCGTAGGCATTTTGATGACATCCTGTAAGATGTGCAACAGGGCACCCTCTTTTTCGGCGCGCTTCACAGTAAAGAATGCACTTTGCAACCCAGGAGCAATCTTGCTCTCTGCGTCCAATCTCACCAACTTCGGGTCCTGCAATCCAGCTCTTGCGAACTCGACCAAGCTCTTTGGCAGCGTCGCAGAGAAAAGCAGCGTTTGTCTCGATGCCGGAAGGGAATGCATAATTTCGGTCAACTGTGCAGCAAAACCCATCTCGAACAACCGGTCAGCCTCGTCAAAAACGACATATCTCACAGAGCTCAAGTCGAGTCCCATTTCGACCTTCACATGTTCAAATCGGCCAGGTGTGGCGATGATGATGTCCGGATTTGCAGCCATGGATCCAAAATTGTCTTCTATACCGTCTCCTCCCACCAGTAACACTGTCCTCAGGTCCGTGCCTCTTCCCATCTCTTTGACGACCTTCAAAGTCTGTAGAGCCAGTTCTCTCGACGGACTAAGGATCATAGCTCTCGCTCCATACTTCGCAGAATGTGTCTTCAGCTTCTCGATCATGGGGATCACAAAAGCGGCTGTCTTTCCTGATCCTGTCCTCGCCATGCCCACCACATCCTGTCCATCTATTATTAGAGGAATAGTCTTTCTCTGGATCGGCGTAGGCACGTTGAAGCCTTTCCTCGTGATTGCTTTGAGCAGATGCGTGTTCAGTCCCATGGTCTGGAATGCGCCCGCTTTTTTCGCAGTCTTGCTGTCATTTTTGCGGTTCGCTTTGGATTGTGTCGCAGCGATGAATGCGTCGTCGCTATCGGAAGCATCTTCTATGGCTGGTGGTCGTTGTGAAAATGGAGACGCTTCGCGGGTGGCTTCGTTGTCGCTGTTGTCCGAGAGGAGGTCGGCCTCACCGCCGAATAGCGACTTGGAGATATCGAATTCATTCTCCGAGAGCGCTGGCGACGCGGCGCGAACCATATTGAGGGCGGAAGGTGGAATGGGTGCAGACCTGCTGCAGTCTTGTGTCGGACAAGTCGAGGCTGTCAACTTTTCGGCAAGCTCTGTGCGATCCCTGCTATCGCTATGCACGATAAGCCACTAGCGTGGTTCTGCTCTCGCCTCTACCGCCGAGCACCCCCGAGTTCTCCGATCACTGTCGACATTGGCACACAACTGCTTCTCCAGCACAGCGCGAAGCAACCCACGAACTGGACAACATGGTCTCATCACTTTTTGGCGCGCTGTTGCGTCTACCATCGACTACCCGCACCTGTCTCAGCACCCTCATAACTCCGGCTACGACTCTCGCGACGCGCTCCTTCTCGACCACGATCCAACGACAAGCAACGTACAATCAGGTCATTCGAGGCTGCAGAGTTGGGCAAAAAGCACGGAAGCCTACATCTCCCCAGCTCGCCAACACAAAGTGTCCGGAGATGAAGGGTGTTTGCCTACGTGTGGGTGTTACAAAGCCCAAGAAGCCCAATTCGGGAGAGAGAAAGGTTGCGAGGGTGCGGTTGAGCAGTGGCAACGTGATCACAGCATACATTCCTGGTGAAGGTGTGTATCTTGGCAGGAGGGTAGTGTGAATGCGCTGCTAATGCAGTACTCAGGCCATAACATCCAACAGCATTCGGTCGTCCTTGTGAGAGGAGGGAGATCACAAGATTGTCCCGGTGTGAAATATCATCTTGTGAGAGGCGCAATGGACTTGGTATGTCCCCCCAAATCATCTCCATAGAATGCCTTGCTCATCGTCATGCAGGGCGGTGTGGGAAACCGAGTTACAAGCAGATCCAAATATGGTACCAAGAAACCGAAGGCGGCAGCAGTATAAAATCCCGGAAGCACACGAGTCAAAGCTACCTCCTTCGAAACTTCGACGCATTCTGCGTAGGATCAGGTCGCCGTCAAAAGTGCCTGCGCATAGACCGGTCTTCCTCGTTCGTGCGACTGCCAGACTCCTGAGCTGAGGCTAGGTGCAAATCTCATCCAGTCGAAATGGTCGACGAGCAGGCGAACGCTCAGCCCATCTATCCTCTTGTGTCGCCGTTCACGCAGCACATATGGTTGCACGACGGCTCGCTGAAACGGTCATGTCAAGCCAAAGCTGATATAAGACTAAGTATCGCCAAGACGGCTTCCGAGACAGCACAGCTGATCAACTCCAAGTCTGGCGTCCAACCTGCTGTTTATGTCGTGCAATACGAGCATTGGCACCACGATGGCATAGCACAAACGAATAGGCTCTTCCTCCTCTACTGGACCTACCGTGCCGACTCGCATTCGCATGAGGATTGCTGCAGCACGAGAATAGCAGAGATCCTTTGACGTAACACAAGAAATGCGCTGAGGCCATTCACTATGTACATATAGAAGAGCGATGGTCTACAAGCTCACAAAAGTGCAGAAAGCAAAGTATCATATCGAGAATTCACTCTGCTGAAACACGCGGAACAGCATAAACTGCAATGTATTCTCCAGCTACATTTTCCTTCTGTGTCTTGACAGTGGCCAGCGTCGCGTATCGCAGCACTTCTATCTCACAGTGTTGACCTCACCCGTCTGACAGGCTATAGCTTCGCAAACAAGACTCCGTGCTTCCGCAGCACAACTACCGTTCCTCATCCAGCATTCAGCTGCACCCCTTTCGAAGGAATGTGCCCTAAGATCATTTGCGTCGACGAGGCAAGGCCAAAAGTCACCGTCACCGTTGCCAAAAACTATGAAGATTTGGTCACCAAATGTGGAAATGTGCCTACTGTAAGTCTCTCTTCTGGCGATGACCAAATCATGAAAAGGGACGGAGCATGCGGAAAACAAAAACATTGCGGTCCGCTGATGCGAGTCTTGTTGCAGGTGACTAGCTATGGTGGCAAGTGCACGACCGACTGTGGTCCGATCACCTGCCCGACTTTGACTGTTACGGAAACTGCAGAGACCAAAGAGAGGTGCTGCACAGAGAAGAAGTTGTGAACGAGCATCAGTGATGTTCAAAAGGAGACATGGTGGCGGTGGGCACCCACTAGGCATTTGTGTTGTGTCATTGCACAATGAATATTCAGAACTCGATCATGTACTCATGATTCCTTATGTGCATCACACGAAAAACCGATATGCGTGCTGGATGTGGTTGTGAACTCGCTCTCACGACCAAGTTCAAAATTCGAAGCAAAAGTATCGACACCCGGGCGCCGACCACTCTCTCGTTCAACAAAATGAAAATGAAAATGAAACAACAGAACAACATAACGATAGCAGTACAAATAAAATATCATACATATAGCAAAACAAAAAGACGTCACTCATCCTACAACCTTCCCACTCCATCCCGCCATACAGACAAGGCTATTCCAGCGCCGCCACTTCATGGCCTGAGGTTCTCTGCCCGATTGCTCGGCTGAAGTTTTCCTCAGAAGCTTAGGGTCGCAACGCAGCAATCGCTCGTTCCCGAAGCGAGTGGGCGAACACCACCAAGTTCGAACTGGGGCCTCGCTGATGGATTTTGGAAGGGATGGAGGCAAGAAGAAGATGAGCTTCGTCAATTGAGCCATTACAGCTGACTAAGCATAATTGCAGACTGCATATGACTATTGTGTCTTGGCAAGCAAGCACAGCCGAATGCCGCACCACAAAGCTGCGTTGCAACATTGCGAACATCAGCTTCCAGTCTTGCAGAGCAACAGCCAATGTCTCCTGCGACGTGCGAATGCATCTCCACTACCCCCAAATCTCGAACGCCTCGCTGTGCAGCCATCCGCTCCACCACCGAATCCTCCAGCCAAAACACCCACATCCCGATCCCGACCAGCCAGCCAGGCGACTCACGACCCGAAACTGCCATTCTCCACCATTTCCATTTTCCGCGAGAGGCGGAACAAATTTCTCCGCCGCACATCACTTCTCTTCGGGAGTCCAGAAATTCGGTTCCAGAACACATACTCGTGTTGGATCCACCCACCGCCAAGGCGTAGAGTCAAAATCACCGAACAAAGCAAATCCTCCGCATAGCTCCAAATATTGACCCGGCGAGGACTTTGCGGTACCGAAGAGAACATCAACCCAAGCGTGAATTTACGGTGTGCGAAGCGGTACGCGAAAGTACAGACTACTGTACCTCCTATCATGTAGCCCTGCAGTAAGCTGTAGCTGCACAGCCGGACCGCCGCTCCTGTTCGCCTATCGAGTGGCTAATGCACGACATACATGATGAACAAAAAAGTACACGATATGTTGATGAATATTGTGTTGCCGTATACCTTTGCAGAAGGGAAGAGAACGCGGGAAGTGAGTAAGTACTGCTGTTACAATGTCTGTCGAGTGAGATCCGTGATGAGCAGAAGTTGTACGTGGAAGACGTGGCGTGATGAAGACTGCCACGCGGCAAAGCACGCGGGATGTCAGAGATGGCGGTGACGAATGTGATGAAACATTGTAGACAGGAGACAAGTATACAAGAGTACGAACAGAGTAAGTAGTGTCATCAAGGTACTTCTGAACAAGTCCCAACGAGAAGTCGTCCCGGTCCAAAACGAGTAATCCGATGATAACCCCAAGGCGTCGAGGAAAATGGGTCAGTTCTTGAACGTGGGATGTAGTTAGTCGATGAGTTCCTAGGGAAGACTTGGCGTCATAACAGTGAATGTGATAAGGGTCCTGTGTGCGGAACTCGCAGTGTCAGGATCCGCACACCACTCAATGTATCAGGAGGCTAGACAAGGTCAGGAGCGATGTGGTTGACTTGGTGGGAATGCCTTGGCTTCCACAAGCCAGACCCTGATGTCATTCGAGAAGAAGTTAGAAAAGAGGTTGATTCTCGGATCATCAGCCCATGGGAGGTGTTCTGGACCTCCTGCTCATCAATTGACGCGTCGTCGACTGACGTGCAGCATGGAATTTAATTGCGATAGGGAGTCGCAGTCTGGAGAAGCAAAGCGTTGTGCCTGGATATGGATTTCGTTATGGCTGGGTATGTATGTCTGTCTGGAGCGATCTCCTCCAGTACACTGTAGCAACTTGCATTTGGCAATGATGACATTGGGCAACCGCAACAGTCTCGCAGAGACTGCTGCTTGCAGTAGTTCATACGAGACAGCCAGAACTGGCAGGTGTAAGCAGAAATCTCTTCAGTCCGCCATCTCTTGCTTGCCGCAGACATCCCTTGTTAACCTTCTTTGCTGCTGGCGTCACCGGGTCCTTAAGGGGTGTCGAGATCGTTGTCGAGCATCGCTACCCTTTCGCAAAAGTGGATATTGGTTGGCAGTCAAGTAGCAGACGAGCCATGGAGAAGGAAACCCGGTGAGGTTGGTGGACGCTATGTTGTGGTCGTCGAACGCCCAGATCATCTGTTCTCTACACGTCTACACATGGGTTAGTGCTCACCCCTGCGAAGATCCATCTACACAGTGTGCACAGAGAATGATGTCAGCGTCTCAATTTTTGTGAAAGAACTCTTCGCTTATCTCTTTGCAGAGTTCGTCGACTGTACAGGTGAGACATTGGGTGGACCTGTGACGTCTTGATGGACCTCAATGTCGAATTCGGGATTCCGACTGTGAAGAGAACAGAACAAGCGCTTGACGAGTGGTGGAAGTGCGTCATAAGACATGGTTGGGTTGCACAGTTTTGCCAGGCTTAGGCGAAAGATTTCCGTCTCGCAACTGAGACCTGATACGAGTTTGTCGACCATGACAGCCGAGAAGATCGCGGTTGTCTTCTTTCTGGATGTCGTGGATTGTAAGTGAGAGCACGAACGAGGCGATGTTGCCCAGACAGACGCTACCATCTGCGGATGCTGCGGTCTGAGGGGTGAGAAAGTGTCATCCTCAAAGAAGCAATACGGGATGAAGTCCGAATTGTCTTCGTTGAAGGTCTCTTGGTCTTCCAGGATGATGAAATCATAGCGGTGCAATTGCGGACGTGTGTTTCATCTCTTCGTGCTCCTTTCTTGAGGCGCGGAGATGCTGGCTGTTGGCGGAGACCGCCACTGAGCTCGTATTTCGACTTACCATAAACGGCAAAGCAAGTGACCAAGTGTTGCAATGGTATGCTTGGCATGATGAACGCTATGAGCGCAGACCAGCGGTTGCCAGCGAGTGTCTTGCAAGTCGCGAAGATCAGTGTCTCAGATGCTGAACAGGCGTGTCCAGACTACCATCCTTCTGGCTGATCGCCAGGTGAGCAGGTATGCTCGTAAGTTGAGTTGTATTGCTCGAAGCCAACGTTTCGAATCGAGCACTGCTCAATGGTCGCTTTCATGATTTTCCAGTTCATGACACACGACATGTCTGTAAGCAATTCCACAAGCCTGAACACGCCATACCAAAGTGGTAGAATTTGCAGGTCGAAAATTTTGAAGCATCGCCAATGCGCATCCCTGAACAACCAATTTCTCAACGGACAATCGCAGACGACAGATGTCGTCAAATTCCCTTGACCGCCATGAGCGGTGAGATCATGGACGAACTCGCCGGGCTCAACATTTTGAGCTGGTTGCAATTTTGCCTGAATGTCGGACGGATAAACCTCGTTGTTGTTCTGGTCGGTGGTGGACAGTGGAACCGCAGTTCGAGATGAGGTAGAGATATGCCACGCTGCGGTCCAGGATGGGACTGATGTCAACTACCTGGGCGTCGAATTCGAGGCTGGCGAGATCGTGAAGACCGGAGTCCGGTGCTGTGTCATCCATCCAGGCTGGATGCACTGCTGCACCTCCGGCCACTGCATGAAATATGGTCAGCCCTAGGAAGATTGTCCTTCCAGCTGGATTCGGCAACGCCGATCAGGCAAACGCCGTCAGGGTTCGGACCCGTTGGTGGGTAATACCCCACCAAGCCCAAGTATGGGGAATCCTGCCGAGCGACAAGCGTGGCATTTCAATCGCCGCCAGCCGGAGGAGCTGTTGCGAGCTGGAAAGAGAACACAACAGCGCTGGCGGAGAATACGGTCGGCCGTTCGCTTTCCGCTCGCTTGGGCGGCATTCGGACGATCGAGCGATCGCAGGAGGCAAAGGTACGTAGAAGAGTACTTGCGACGATGGCAGGTATCGATGAGGCAGAGAGTCGGTAAGTCCGGCGAAACAAACCTGTCTCGTCGGTATCTGGGGTGGTGGGCTATTTCCATGACGCATGGGCGTGGCATTGTGCGATACCGTACTGCCCTGTCATCCATACGCAGGAGTCATCAGCAAAGATGTAATCCCCCAACATCCGCCGTGCTAAATCGGTCAGCAGCGCGAGCCCTATGTCGCCCAAAGAGGAGGCAGTACTGGAGGGTGGTGTAGTATCGCAGGCGTGCTGCGGAAAGGCAGCTTCGTATCGCGGACAGTGGCCGCGTTGCTGCAACGCGCGAGAGGAGCATCGGACCGCTCATGCTTGGGGGGTATTCCTGTACACCGCAGCAAGATTTCGGGAGAGCATTGCGGTGGTGCGCGTCTAGGGAAACAGGAAGCCTGCCACTCGCTTCTCCACGCGCTCCAAGACTGCCTACCCCATGCGGAAGGCGCCCTAACGCCATAGACTTTCCTGATTTCGCCGAACATGTGAAAGAGCGAGAGTCCTCGGCGCCGTGAGCGGCAATCGTGTGGGAATAGAGCGGTGCTGCGGCGCAATGGAAGAGTCATCATGGCCGCCTCGCGTTGCGCGCTGCATCCAGTGCGGTCTGCGGGCTCGTACGTATCGCATGTCGCATGTGTTGGTCGTCCAGGAGGCGATGCGGATCACAGCCTGTCAGCGCACGCAACGCGCGATGATGCAGGAGACTGGTGGCTCACCGAGATTCGGCAGCGCGCCCGTCACAGGCGAATCGTCGGAAAGCGGTGTTTGCGCCATGCTCGGAAGTGGGCAGAACGCCCCGGTCGCAATTCCTCCATGCATGGCTGAAGGAAAAAAGGCTGTTTGCACTCCTCCACAACTTGCCGCGGAATTTTCGGCTGATGCCTCTTGACCGCCGTCATGTCCACCGCCGCGGCTGCGTGCTGGCAGAAGCGAAACGAGGGTGACGCGAGAATCTACCTCCGGTGACTGACTTTTCTGCCTGCTCCTGCTCGTGTGCCAGTCAGGTTGATATATCATCACCGCCTCTGTGCCAGTCCGCATTCCCCGTGGATGCAACTCGAACATCACACGGCTTTGTCATTCCTCACCCTCCGCCACACCCTCTGACCGACCAATCCCGTCTACCATATTTAGCACCTGAATGCAGTCATCCAACTCTTATATGTACTGCCTGCTATCCGCCAGACATCGCCACTACCATTCACCTACATAACAACGACTCAACTGGAAGACAGACACATCAACAACATGTCTTCGTACACATCGAGTGCCTCGAGTCGAGGCTCCACGCCTTCTGGCTCACCGACGCGTGCAATGTCGATTGCGTCGCGTACTTCGACATCAACACACCGACCCAGCTTCTCGTGTAGCGCATCAACAACAACAACAAACCTCGCCGACCCCTATGGATCATGTGTGGGATACGCGTCGAGGCGATCAACCGATCGACCCAGCGCGTACATCAGCGACGCCGACCTGTTTGGGGACGACTCCGATGAGGCTTGGCTGTCTGAACCTCCACCTCCGCCACGACAAGCCGAAGCCTGGCTGGCACGACCACTTTTGCCACCAGTCGTGGCCGTGAAGCCGCGAAGCTGCAGGACGGAGCCCAAGAAGAAGCGTCGCAGCAGCTCTGGCACGAGCAAGAAGGAGTGAGGCGGACTGGTCATCACGAATTCGCACATGATCCACCAACCTTGGCAGCGTGACTTGACGCTACTCACCTGGACTTCAGCATGGCATATGACTGTCTCGCAATCAGGAAGTACCTTACCACAGCTCGGTCTCAGTAAAGTTGGTGCTCGGCTTCACAGTACAGTACACCTCCACAGTCAACACGAGACCGACGAACATCGACATCGGCCAGAACACGCGACGTGACGGCCGTTGAGCGTTACTCCTTGCGACAGCCCATCACATATTGGCCGAGATGCAGCAGTGAGTGCCATGGACGGCACATTTAATCGACAGCTCGGCATGGACGCCACCTACCAGACGCCACAGCTGGTGATATGTCGACGCACACGCGTCAACATTGATAGGAGGTGTGATGGGGAAGCGATCGGATCTTGAGGTCTTGACCGTGACGACGGGACGGAAAGAATCTGCAGCTCTTGCTTCCATTTATGGAAGCAGAGGCGATGCGGAAGTTGGGATTTTGAACTGCGCCAAGAAGGCGGCAGACGGCATTTTTTGATTGGATTTAAGCGACGATACCCATATAGCGATTGTGATTGAAATTGAATACTTGCATCATCTGCACTGATTCTACACCCGCCTCAATATCGTGACTCCAGGTGATTGTGTAAATGTGGCGTCGGTGCCTGGACGTGCGACGCTCTCGACACATGGAAAGGTCGTCGGGCAGCAACCTCCCGTCCTTCACCGTCGGACGACATGATGAACTGCTGCAACGCTGCCCAGGAACTGCAGAAGCACGAGGCTCACGGGAAACACGACATCACGCATCCTGGTCAGGCTGGAGCGCAAACGACCAGCCATCCGAATATATACTCGATTTCTGCGCTCGTGATGCTCGTTGCGGTGCGGCTTGGCAGTGCGACTGGTGATTGAATGCAGAAAGGTGCAGTCCGATGCAAGGACTATTGCTTACAACCGTCGTCCTGGGCCCAGATGCGTTGTACGGGACCCAGCCTGCGCAGATGCGACCTCACCGCTCGTGGAGCTGGCAGCGCGCGTGACGAGCAGACGGCCGTCATTGTTCTGTGGTTCTTCGCGCTGCGCACCCAGAGATCGAGACAGGAAGAAGCTGCGATTCAGGTTCGCGCGCGTGGGCGCTCACGACGAGTCTAATAGCCTCTCGATCAGGTCCGCTGTTGGTCGACTTAGTCACGAGCGGCATCTCGAATGACAGCACGGGACAGGTTTAGGCTGTGAAGGTGGCTTTCTCGAAGCGCCCACTGCAGCCAATCATTGGGAAGATGCTCACTGGCCACACCCAATCACACCCCGTAGCCAGGGTATCTCGCACTGCATCTCCTCTTCGCTCTGCTCGCCATCCGCTGAAATGGAGTCTTTTCATGCACGCTTGAGCCGGCCAGCACATGAAACAGGCCCTTTCTGCGTGGAAGCCCTCGAGAACTGGCCCACTTTACCTGGCCCGCGACGGGCCTCACTGGCCACGGATGGCTTCAATGGCGTTCGTACGCCTGGACGAATCGTATACCACTGCTCGCCTTTCACTTCTTCATAGGCCCTCTGCCCCAGCCTTTCACACTGCTCGTCTAGCCGCTTTCTCTCCAACCCTCCCTGCATTCGGCGATCCTCACGGCTCGTAGTATTGGCCCTTTCACGCTGCAGCGCGGCCATCTCAACCATCTACGCGCCGAGCTCTCTGTTGGCTACACCTCAGATTACGTCGGGCGTGCCTGTCTCCTACTTCCTCCCGCATAGTCTGTACTCGCTCCATCTGCTCGCACCTGCAGCCCGTGGTTCTGCGCCCTCTCACTACTCACCCAGAAGCGCGGTTACATGCAGCGTGCGCGCTGCAACGCCAACCAGGGTCCCGAACGCGGCAGTGCGTGCTAAGCGCACGAGAGCTGCGAGAGAGCATCGGTGGCCGCACAAGGGACACAGGTGTGACTTCACTTGATTTAGCGCGCATGTCTGGGTACGTCGACTCGCTTCTCCCTCTTCGTTACAAAGTGTTTCATCTGCTCGGTGCCTCGTGGGGGATTCGCGACCTGCTTTGAGACCTACACCACTCCGTCCAGGCCATGAAATTGCCTGCAGAAGAACCCCCGACTAACTCCAAGACATACAGCAACGCAAAATGTCCACTGGTCAACTGTCGCGGCAGAGGTCTCACTCGACCAGGTCTTCCACTTCCAAGCATTCGGGCGCAGTGAGACAAACGCCTCCACCTTCGAGCCTCACGCCGGAGAATAGAGATACAGAGTTCGAGCCATGTGCTGCAACAGCGTCGTTTCTGCTGTATGCGCAGAGAAGCCAGATCCTCGTCCTCCATCATGATACCTTGACGATCGAAAGGCGCTTCGCATTACACCGAGAAGATGTGCTATGGATTGCTGTCGACAACGTGAGCGACAGAGCCTCGGGTCGGCTCGCTGTGAGCTTCGATGTGGGCAAGACTGCTATAGTCTGGGACATCCTAAGCGGAGGCGAAGTCGCACGATTCTCTGCGTATGAGCACATGCGAGTCGCAAGCTTTATGCGTAATGGCAATATTGCTTTCGGTAAGCAAGTTTGGGCGCTTCAGATGACCACAACTGATATGCTGCAGCAAACGATCAAGGTAACATCATCCTGTTCGAACCCTCGACTTCCGAACATGTCTCCGCGCGAACGATATTCGATCCAATTACAGCCATCGCTCCGGCTGCTGACTGCCGAACATTCGCTATCGGATATCTCAATGGCTCGATACTCATTGCAACATTGCAGCCTTCTTTCACGATACTGCACACGCTGAACACGACTCGATCGCCCGCTCGAATCACCGATCTCGCCTGGCATGGATCTTCTTCTAAGCAAAAGACAGATATGCTAGCAACACAAACTGCAGATGGTGATCTGCGAGTATGGAGCGTCCCGAAAGGGCAGCACGGAGAGGTTCCCAATATTATTCGAGTGCTCCAGCGAGCAGAGGTGCCGCAACGAGGTCCTTGCTGGTTTGCGTGGTCAAAGAATGGTCGCATAGTGCAATACGCAGATGGGTGAGTAGAGAGACATCACCGAGTAAACTTCTGCGAGAAGTTATCATTGCACTTCTCAATGCTGACTAGCTTGCGTAGTGAGACGCGATCCTGGGATGTGCGCACAAAGAAGGTGACTTACGAGATCATCCCGACTTGCGACGGGGTCACTGGTATCACCAATTATGGACCTTCCGCAACATTATTTGCACTGGGCCGCAATCATTCTGTATACCAATATGACATCAACCCCAGCTCGACTCCGATGCAGGTAGCCAATGCACAGCATGCACCTGCGAACACCCCTCCAACACCACCTACCATGCTCGAAGAACGCAAGAATCCTTACGCCGAGTCCTCGAGATCTTTAAGCATAGACCAGCAGATCCCTCTCACGTTTACCGATGGCGAGAGCAGCGCGGATGAGAGTGCGGCAATGTCACCTTTGCAGAAAATCGCCAAAGAAATGGACTCGCTCGATGCTTTGGAATCAGAGATTCGCGACAAGGTCATGCCTCTCAGTCCGCACTCTAGCAGAGCATCTTCGGTGAGCTCTAAAAGCTCAGGGCGGAGGAGAGAGCGTAAATATCTTTACGATCGACCTGATTCCTCCAGAGCTTCGTCTGATGCAGGCTACGATGGCACTGAGTTTTCGTTCGGACCGCCGCCAAAAGCTGGCCACGAGAGCATGTCTATCCGGTCAGTGGCATCATCACTACCTTCTGCCTCAGGAGCGCGCCACACAAGACGGTCTTCAAATCTGCGCAAGGAGATTTTACGAAGTCCGGAAGAATCCAAAGAGACCGCACTCGTGGACTTGTTCCCCACAATTAAAGCTCGACTACGAGAAGTTGCGTTTCGGACGCCACACTACGGCAATGCTGCGCGAACTCCAGATCTACTGCTTTCCGAAATGCTCAGTGTTGTGTTTGGATGGAACGACGACGTACAGAGTCTCATCCGAGACGAGATGTCACGACATCGGCCCGGTTCCGCTGCAGCCGTGTTACTTGCGAAATGGCTGGGTGACATGGGTGCCGACAGTATGGCCTCGATGATTGGCTCTGAATCCATGACTTCTTCGGACTGGATGTTGCTCGCATTGAGCTCGATTGGCGCAGACTCGCAAAAGAAGGTGGGCGAGGCGTTCGTCCAACGCCTGCTGGAGAAGGGAGATATCCACCCCGCTGTTGCAATCCTGCTGGGCTTGGGTGAGCACAACGATGCCATTGAGGTCTATGTTTCACAGCAATATTGGCTCGAAGCAGTACTCCTGACTTGCTTGACATCGCCTTCCGACTGGCAACGGATATCCTACCTCATTCGCAAGTGGGGTGAGGTAGCAGTTACTACTGGATCGCCAGAGTTGGCTGTGCGCTGCTTCTCATGCACAAGTGTAGAGACTTCCGAGCCGTGGTTCTCACCACGAGCTCAAGATGCTGTCTACGCTGCCCAGCAAGAGCGCTTTATGCAGCCGCTAAGTGCTGGCGGCATGACTAGTCCACCACTCTCGCCACCTTCGCGATCTGGATCTGGACGACTTACTGCAAAGAACGCCTCGCTCAAGCTGATTACATCATTCGGAGACTCGGGTGCGCCTGCAGCGGGCAATGATGGGACTGCCAAACCACTCCATACTGCACTTGGCGTGACGCCAATCGCGCAGTCTGCTCTGTCACCTGGAGGCATGGCGCCTTGGAAAGCAACCAGGAATATGCGCGAACCATCCACAGCAAGGACTGCAACGCCGGGCGGATATCAGGGCCGAAAACGACTTCCATCACGGGACGATATCGCTCGAGCGAAACAAGAGGCCGCCGAAATGGCAACTCCTTTGACTGCAGCACGAGACAAGAGCTCCAGAGCACCAAGCCTCGCACGTCGGGATCCATCTCAGGAGCCCGCGACTGCACTTCGACACGGACATTACGACGCTACTAGACGAGCTCCGGATGGAAGTGAAGACCACCTGCCCTCTCCCGCCCAGGGTGTTTTCACTCGGCTCCGAGCAGAATCCCGTACATCGAACCGCTCTCGTGAACGCAAACCTGGTGCTTTGCAAGTCGAGATCGTGGACACCGCTTACACTGACGCTCTTTCGCCAGGACCCAGCACTGATGCAAGCAGTCGCAGCCGACAGGGTGCTTTCAGCCCCGTTACTGACGGCAGCGTGAAGAGTGGGAGAGGCCGAGCAATCGATGCCTATATCAGCAGTGTTGAAGAGGCACGTCTCACCGCTCGCGAAGAGCGTGCATCCTCTAGAGCGCAGAGCAAACACCGAAACCAAAGCCGGAAGCGCGGTGAGAGCCGTTCAGGCAAGTCACGCAGTCGCATGCGAGATCAATCCGAAGGTCCACGCTACATCAAACCTGCAAAGAGGTCGCCTTCATCGCCAGTGCCAATGTCACCTGAGGAGATAGCTCAAGCCAATGCGGGAGCACAAAGAGTTGAGCCGGAACCTGCAACCACAGATGACGAGAACTTTTACAAGATGAATGTCACCTCGCCAACCGACTCGCATCGCAGTGGACGCACGAACCGCAGATCAGCTGAGAAGCCAGTGAACCGCGCAGAAAGTAAAGCTGCTCTGATCGGTGGCCTGGCGCCTCTGCAACTCGGAGGCGACCGAGGTAGGAGCCAGAATCGCGAGATTGAGCCTCCACTCAGGTCGCCATCGCTACCGACCTTGTCCTCGAGACGCTTTGGCGACACAGAGGATGAGGCCAAGAGTGAGGCACAAGGCTTCCGCATGCGTTCCCACAGCATCAGCCGCCAACCAGCTGAAGACCTGCAGTCACGTAGACTGGCGAATCGCGCTCACCCGGAGAGATCCAGTAGCCGCAGGCCCAGCGTACAAGGTGAACAGATTATCGTCAACTCCTCTGACATGTCTGGCACTAGCGCTCCAGGAGGCGTTCCTTTGAATGCATCTGAGTCCTCAGCATCCGTGAGTGGACAGCCTCGTGCTCGAACAATGACCAGGAAGCAAATTGCCGCACAGGAGCTCGAGGCAAGACGACGTTCGCTGGCAAGGAGACCGTCCGCCCCGGCGATCCCATTGCCTGGAGACTTGCTGTCTGCTGGTCGGCCGCCAATGCCACCTCGACATCACACGGATCTCGGTGGGAGTCCAACATCGTTCAATGCGCCATTTTCAAGAAGCCACACTGTGGATCCCGATGCTATGGCACGTTACAACAACCAGAGCAAGATTACAGGAACGTCTACTCCGTCTGCTCCTATTGGACTCCCGGCAACCCCTCGTGCAATGAGGCACCCGCGCTATATGAGCAGCGATCCCAGCGAACGGGATGGCGAGCCTCCAGTGCCCAAGATCCCTGGGCAGTACAGTGAACTGTCATCTTTGGGCAGCAGTCTCAGTCAAGTCACCGGCTCGGCATTGAGTCAGATGTCTTCCTCCGATCAACACCAGTCACAAATATCTTCTCAGCAGCCCTCGACACTTTCCGAAGTCAGTGACTCAGTGGGACCACTTCTACCAGCGACGGTATTTGGTCAGAAAGGGCAATCTGTGCCTTCACGCTCTGCTTCCGCTCCGCCAGAGAAGCAAGCATTTGTGCACCCACTTTACAAGCCAGCGCTACCTTCATCAAACCGACGTCTGTCAAATACACAAAGCCATATTCGTAAAATCTCTCCTCCGGATGTGGGCATCAGGATGGACGAACAGCCTACTAGTATCGATGCTGCACTCTACGAGGATGATCAAGTCATCATAATTCCTGAGTCGGACGCCCCCATACCACCAATGCTAGCGGAACTACAACATCTTGCGGGTCCTCCCATTCCTCCTCCACCGCCGACCATGTACCACCATCAGCATCAACGCAGTGGCTCTGGAGTCATCAACATCGCCATTGATGGGCAAGGCAGTGACACTCAAGGGCAGTCTTTGCCAATGCCAATGGAACGCGCACAGACAGCTTCGCCTTCACAGCATCGCAAGAACGCGCCAAGCGGCAGCTGGATGCGTGGCTTCGGCGACCGAATGCGAAGCAGCTCTAAGTCTCGCACCAAGTCACCTCCTATGGGAGGCCCAGCACCCTACGAGACTGTTCTTCCACCGATGCCAGGCTATGCAGGCCACATGAGGCGTGAGAGCTTTTCTCAGCGTGCACAAAGCCCTTACGAGCAGGCCATGGCAGCCCAGAGTCAAGGACAAATTCCGATTCCACCACCGCCTCCTCCAGCACCGATGCATGGCCAGGACAGCAGTAAGCTGAACGAGACCACGATCCCTCCCTTCGCATTGCCCTCCCGCAGCCAGAGCTCGAGCGGATATCGCCATCCGAAAGAGATTCGAGCGAACATGCCTCCTGATACACTCCAGCAAGGCGTCTATCATGGCAATGGCGGCATGATCTAAAGCCTGTTCTTCGCGCCGGAGAACTCTCTACGAATACCATCACTATACATACATCACGACCTTAACGACTCTTCATCTTTCATCATACCCATAAAGGCACACATCGGCACAGACTGGACCTGAATCGACGACCACATAAAACATCAAGCATTGTCTCGGCATATCCACCAGAGGACATAATCTATCGACATGCCCCATCCGCATTACCCACAAGCATTGAAGAGAAATTATTTTGCACAAGCGACGGAGCAGTTTGTGACGCGAATTCCAGCCGTCTGTTTTTGATTATTTGATATTCTGCATCTTAGCCAGCGTATTGCGTTCGTGACCTTTTCCACATCTTTGCTCTTTCAGTACCATCATTACTACCATCTTCATTGTACAGCGCAAAGGAAGGAAGACAACAATTTTTTACATTTCTCTGCCATCATTATTCGCGTTTTCTTGTTGTTTCCTGTGTTTGCGATGCATGTACTTTCAGCAAGCGATCTGATTCAAACGAGCGAAGCAACACTTTCTACTGGCGGAAATCAATAAGCAAGAGAAAGAAGGAAATCTGGACATGGACATGAGAAGCCAAAAATAGGGCTTGAGCGGCAGACCAGATGGAAAGAAGATAGAACCCCGAGGGGATTCGCCTCACGGCACGAAATGGGAACGGGAAGGCAGGCGTGGTGTTCTTACTATCGCGGTCAATGGCGAACAGGACTGGATTGGATAGGCGGTGGGTGGAGGGGCTAGTTTTCTTCAACGACAGGAACAAGAGGCGGACAACTGACACGTCACGAGCGTAGATTGGACGGAAATATTATTCGTGCCAGGGGAAGTGACGGGGTTTATTGAGATAGTCCAATGAATGAATGCCTTGGAGAGTCGTATCATCACGCTACAGATCAGCCAGGGAGTTGGCACACGGTATAAATTGCGAGAAGTTTTATCGGCCTTGAGTACTGCAATGCTTCTCTCGCGAGGCTTTCAAGTGCGCAAGCAAAGAAGTGAGGCGATCTCTCATTCTATTCTGATCATCACCTCGTATGGGCATCCATGCGCTGTCCATTGCGTGTCTAGACCTCAGACCTCAAAATGTGATAAGGCTACAGTAGTTCACAATATTTCCCTACTCGGTACCACAGAAAGGCAGTACCTGCGTCGGTGTAGCTTTTGCCAATTCCAGTCCGGAACTGCAGCATGTGCATGCACAGTGCACAGCGCACATGCCGATGCATCTGCTATCGCATATGCATTCTCGCTAGTCGGCTGCAACAATCACTAATTTTGAAACATATCTTCCGAAGCGGCAGGGCCAACCAAGAATTCGAAAGGCTTGCACGCGCTTACTTGCGAGATCCGAGGGATTGGTTCGGTGTGTGAGGAAGCTTGGAAGGAAATGCATGATATAGCACGGCACATGAAGTATTGCGCATTGCAGAGCCGAAAAGAGGAACGTGTGACGAACTATGCAGCGAGTTCCCCGGCTGGCTCGTCAGGCGAAGTGATGTAGGACACGTCCATCAATCGCCTGGGGTATCTAACCGATAGCTCTTTTTCGTAGACTCGACAGCATGATCGTGGTCTGTATGCTAGTTGTCCAGTCAGGAAGTAGTCTCTCATTGTCCTCAGCATGCCCTTATTTGCAAGCTCCGCGGCGACTTCCAGAAAAGAATCGCGAACGGATTTCTCGTCGGTGCGCGCACAATCGAAGGTGAGGCAGTCCTCAAGAGCGGAGCAGCTAATCAGCCACGGTTTATCTTCTCGGAACCTCAGACCGTGTCGAATCTCTTTCTTCTCGATGAATTCGGTGAAATCGGTTCGATCAAATCGTCGCAGTCTCACCCGTATGCAGGCGAGATTCTGCAAATGGGGTGCAAGTCCTTCGAGTATGGGTGGAAAATCCGCAGGTGGTGCCCCAGAGGCCACATCCAGGTGTTGGAGTTGGGAAGGGAGTACAGGTAGAGGAGGCCAGTTCGGGCCCAACGGGTCTCCGCCTGTCAAGAAGTGTTCATCAATGTCGAGCGACCATAGATTGGTAAGGTTCTCGAGGAATGGTATTACATACAGGAACCCAAGGTCGTAGCTACTTAAACGTAGCGTACGAAGGGTGGCAGCGTGCTGACTGATACTTTTGGACAGGCGCCTGATGTCCACGGCCACGTATGGGAGCCAAGAGATTGACAGAGATTCGAGTGCCCTGCACGATTCGACCAGTGTGGCCATGGATCCAACGCTAGCCCTACAGCAGTCGAACTGGAGCACTTTGATTCTCGATCTCGCACTGGTCGTTGTTCGGAAGCATTTGCCTTCTCTAAGGTGGGTCATGGACAAGAGTTGAATGCCGGACACGCTACCAAGCATGTTGCTGATTGCGTCAAACGATATTCCTATCGGTACTGCTCCCTTCAGTATGACGCACTTCAATCGCCTGTATGATGCTGCGCCATGTCGAGAGAAGAGAGTAACCAGAAGTGGAGACATGCAAAGACAATAACGACATCGTGAGGGTGAGTGCCATCCTGAGAAGTCCAAATCCAGCTTCTCTAGGTTGGTCGCAAAAGCCAGCAGTAAGACGATCCCGGCAGTGTGACAACCGGCCAGCAGAGCCGGACGTATCTCTGGGTATGTGTCTTCCAGGCCAGTGCATTTGTGTTCCATAGCCAGCGCAGTCCTGAACAGTGCATGTTCTTGGGCCGATAAAGGCTTCGCAACTTCGTGGTTAACTGGACCGGTGATAGACAGGACGTATTTTCGGAGATGTGGCTGATCGCATAGTGTCCGTAGGACGAGCCGCCAGACATCTGATTTGCAATCTGGCCCGATTATAACCTCACGGTAAAAGTACGATTCACTCGCGTCTCGTAGGTGGTGGCATACGCAGGAGATATTGCGGAATATCTGCAGCCGGTTCCGTCCTCGCAACCCGTCCAGGCTCTTGTCCACTTCGTCCAGAACGTTGCTAAGCAACTCTGCAGGTAGAGATTCGAGCAAACTGGCCATGTTGTAGATGCCAAATAGCTTTGACAGAGAGTTGCAAGCTGTGGAGGGTGCGGCCACCTGCAGATTTGGATCTTGTACCTCGAATTTCTGCAAGGAGTTCAGTACTAACTAGCGGTGTTCGCTAAGGATGCGTCACGTGTGCATGTCCACTACGTCCCTCCTGCTAATCTTCAATTCGTCACAAATAATTTGAAGTGCCCCTCCATCCATACTTTCCCGGGTATCATGCGCCTAATCAATGCCGTCGTGTCACTTCCACGCCTCGTACAAGTCATAAAGCCGCTCACTACGCAGAAATCAAGAGCCACTGTCGCCTTTGGTCGACGCTGCGGCCGGTGCAGGAGAGGCAACAGCGCCTCCGCCTCTGCCACCGCGGCCTCCTCCTCGACCGCCTCTGAACCCGCCTCTATTACCTCCATTGTTGTTGGCACCGCGATCTTTCCATTCCAGGATCTCAACACTGCCATTAGCGACCGGGACTTTCTTTGCTGCAAAGGCTTTCTTGAGACCCTCTGGGTCTTTGAAGAGAGCGATAGCGGTACCCTTCCTAGGGTCGATGGTTACATTGGTCACTTCACCGTATTGCGACAGTGCTTGCTGGATGAGTATCTCAGTCATTCCTTGGCTGGGGTTGGCATGCTTCAGGTAGGCTTTCGTGGTGGATGCCGATGGTGTCGGCTGCTGTTGGCCCTGTTGTTTGGCCTGTGGCTGTGACTTTGGTGCCGTTGGTGGTTTAGGTGCAGGTTTCTGCTGTTGTTCTTTTGGAGCAGTAGGAACTGACTGTGCGTTGGTTGAGTTTGGAGTGGCATTCCTATTTGCCGCCGGCATTGCCTTCGATCGGATGCCCGCGAGGTCCTTCTGCAGCATCTTCTTGATGCCTGATGCTGCATTAGTGGCTGCACGTGGAGCACTTGTACCATTCGCCTTACCATCTGCGTTACCACGTTGCCGTGGCGCTCTTGGCGGAGTTTGTTGTGCTGGTGTCTGTGCCGTGGCTGCAGGCGCTGGAGCGGGCGTTGACGCAGCAGCTTTCGAAGGCGTGCCATTCTGTGCTTTGGTGTTTTGTGCTGGTTGTGCCCCCTTCTTGCCTCTAGCTGGAGTGTTCCCCTTCTGTTGCGTCTGTTGCGGGGAGGCTGGGCGCTGTTGGGCCTGTTGCTGCTTACTCGCAACCTGCTTGTTCACTGCCTTGACAGCCTCTTTGGTCGCCTGCTCTACCTTCTGCTGTTGCGGCTGATGGTTCTTGCCCTCTTTGGTAGGCTTCTCCGCAGGCGCATCAGCCTTACTTTCGGTGCGTGTATGGTTCTTACCATCTTTCTTGTCCGCTTTTGTTTCAGCTGCTTTGGCTTTATTTGCCTTCTTCTCCCGCAGAGCTTCTATTAGCGGCGTACTCGTCACCGCAGGCTTCTCGGTTTTCTCCGTCTCTGCGTTCGCATTATCGAGCGCAGGTGGGCGTGCAATAGGCTGTGTCTCGGCTTCGAGGAATGCAATAAACTCCGGGTCCTGATCGATTGTGCCCTGTCGATTGTCTGTTCGCAACTTCGTGTTGATCGTCGTTCGCTGATTTGGCGCAAACCCCAGTGTCGGCGGAAGATGCTTAATATCCGGGTTCTTGTACGTCCCCGCCTTATCGTGGAAGGTGACAGCCAGGAAACGAGCCTCAAAGGCAGACACAGCAGCCTCGTTGACCACATGGATGTAGCAGCGACTCTGCTCGGGCACTTTGCCCAGCGACTGCTTGACCTTTCCTTGCCGGTATTCTCGCCAGTCCACTTTGCCATTGCCCAACTTCCACTCATCTCCCAGAATTTCCTCAAATTCGGACAGCGTGAGGCCCGGTGGCAGTCGGCGGACTTCGAGCTTCAGGCGCGGGGCGGGTCCTTTGGCGCTGGCTGCTGCGCGGGTGGCGGCGTTGACGGGCAGCACGCCCTTGGCGCCTTCGTTCTTAGCCAGNNNATGTTAGATGGAAGATGTGTGGCACTGAATGTTTGCGAAGTGCAGATCGGCAATGACTTCACGAGGGAGCTGCCAACGCCAAGACTCGCGCCAGCAAGCGCGTTCTCACATTCACCTTCGCAGCAACAGCCATGACAACAACAACTGACACTAGCAACTTCCACATACTGACGCTTTCCAGTTCATGACGATTTGACACGTGCTCGTGTGTCTCGTGGAACCGAAGTCATGATGGTACTCGAGTACACTGCCGGATGACCAAGTGACGGCCACCTTTCCATTTCCAAAACAATACACTCCCGCCATCATTCAAAAAAACCTCGAAGATCTCCAAGCATTCACTCAACGAAGCTCGAAGCAACGTCGTTGTTCCTCGGCCTCGGTGATTCCCCACATCATGATGGCCAACCCTCCACTCGCAGCGAACGTTCCGCTCTGTCCACTGGCTCTCGATCCTTGACTGGTGATGCTGCCAGAATATTGCTTTCGGAGAATTGTTCTGATGATGCTGTTCAAATCGTGGTCTTCGGCACCTTCTCCGAAACCACCACTGTACCGGTACGGTCGTCCACAGCACCGCCCGCATCGATTGGGACTGCAGCGACCTGACGAATAGCGCCCTCCAGTTCCTGCAAACATCGTGGGTCCTGCTGTTCGCGACATACTGTCAGCGCCATGGAACCTAGCTCAAATGACTGCGGAGCCTGGCGCATCAACTCCCACATAGCACATTCCGCGTGCCATATACTCAAGCTCAGCGAATTTCGAGTGGCTTCCACGGCTAAGACAATTGTATCGTCGTCTGCCTCCTCCCCATGCTCGGTATCCTGAGGCGGAGGAAACAGACAATCGAAATTGATGCCTTTGTCGATTCCAGCGTATTGTCTGTTGTGCTGGGCTCGATGTGGGGACAACAAGCCTGCATTGCGTAGGGACTTATCAAATACGTCCACAAGCTTGTTAAAAGCATATGTTGGTAGCAGACAAGGCACTCCGAGCAGGACTTTCTCGACATGGTGTTCAAGTGCCGCTTCAGAGCTTGCTTTCATAGCTCTGATAATGGCAATGAGGATGTCGTCTTCATGACCATTGTCTGGCCAGAGATAGCACAATGGTCCTGGGAGAGGACAACGCGAAGGACCACGACTTGGATACCCTTCAAGAAGCCTGCTTGTCCCGTCTTCCGGATGAGGCATGCTTCTCATAAAAGTCTTATAAGCCCTTCCTCCTTCTACTTTGGCGATATCCAAATATGTGCCGTTTGGCAGATACGCACTTGCAACACTAATCTGAAATTAGCATCGACGGGCTACTGGCCTTCAAGACCTACCTGACTCACTCATATCCATTGGTCAGCGAGAATGCGACGCCATATTGCTCAATTACAGAACTTGCACCCAGTGCTTCTGCTGAACACAACATGCAGAGCATCAACGTGGTCATTATGCGGCTCATGGCTGGAGGTAGGTGTCAAGACTGGACGTTGCTGCGATGCAACTTCGCGGTCTGGGTCTGCGCTATCGACCACAAGTACAGGTGTAATTGAGATATAGTGTAACAGCTGGCAGCGACTTTCGAGCGGCTAACACATGACAGGTATGAGTCGCGGCTGTGCCACATGATTGCATTGCAGCACTTTACGCCGCACAGGCCGCCGGGGCTTAGACTTCACTCATGGCTGACAGCGGGCTTGGCATTAGCTTTATTGTTCAGTGACGGTCAATGTGCCGGACTTGAGCTCATGCGATGCTCGTGAAGGCCTCCGGCATGTGCAATATCACATGACGGTCAGCATTCTGGCATTCAGGAGACAGTGATGTGCATCTTCTGCTTTGCGCCTTCGAACGAAAACGCCTCTGCAAGATGCATCAAAAGCATTGAGTGTACGGGCTACGGCACGACAAGACCATGGAGCATGGGGAGTTGATGCTATTATCTGGCTGCTTGCCAGCATTGTCGAATGATTGTGACTCCGAATGGCCAGCTGGACAGGTCGCCCGGGCTGGCGATTGCTGAACCGCCGCATACCGGTCGACTGTGGCCATGACCATTGGGAAATGCGTACAGCATCAGCAGGCTCGAGCAAACGTGTCGCTGGCCTTCCGACACATAGTATGCGCTTCCTCAATTCATCAGTCCTGCTCTTCTGCATTACACAACAACATTCACGAACATCACTGGTTGCCGCTTTGGGATATATGACAGCAAGGTTAGTCCCATTCAGCATCGTACCATAGCCAGCAGCAGTCGCCACGCACAAGATTACCACTCGAAGCCGACAACGATGTCGGAAGACTACTCCAGCTATCTCGATACGTGGGACTGGGATCAGAGCGACGCCACGCAGTGGCAGCACATATTCGACGAACAAGCACGCGAGGGTCAAGAAACAGACACACAGGCAGGCAATGGCATCAGTGCATATGGATCGGTTGCTCAGGTCGGTACGGCCGCACATATGGAGAGTGGAATTGCGCATGGCTTCGGCCAAGCACTCCTTGACCCGGCGCTTTTCCTCAGCAGCTCAGACGTGGCCCTGCCGTCCGTCGAGCAGCATGAATCAGGACCAAGCGACCATGTCGTAACGAGATCTTCGACAGAACATGCACAACAGCAGGCGCGTGCCGACTACAGAGCAAGTGTGCCAGAAAACCCCGCATACAACTTGTCGGCCAATGTATACGGGTACGTCGAATGGTCGAGCAATGTCAATACCCATGGTCGAGAAAATATCTCCGCTACGCCCGTCCCGGTGCGACAAGGAGATGGCCGCACGGCCAACACGCAAAATTGCGAAGGGACAAACAACGGAAATGGAGTCGAGAGCACCGCACAAGATCCAGATCAGTTCCAGCAGATCATAGATCCCGCATTCTTCCAGCAAGATCTGCACAACTTCATGCCCGCGGATTATAATCAGAATGCTATCCCGCACGCGCAAGCCAACAATCATGGCGTGGTGGATTGGCTGAATATGCCCACCCAGTCTGCTGGAGAGTACCACTACGATGCAGTGCACCAAAGCCAAACCTATTCGCAAGGCTACCATTTCGACAACACGGCGGCCACACAGTTGCCCGATCATAGTCTTCACCTGGCATACCGCAATCAGTCTCTCTCGAATGAACCTCCGCGACAAGGACATGATCCATCCTTCAGCCCTGAGGCAGCTTATAGCACTGATATCTTCAGTCCAACACCAGGACCGTCCGAGTTCTCCCCAGAACCTGAGCCAAAAACGCGGCGAGCACGATCCTCGACCACGAAGAATCCCAACACCATCGTCATGAAGACTTCTGTCAATTGCGTGGCACCTGGCTGCGGGCGACCTTTCCGCAATCGCACTCACGTCCTCGATCTATGCAATCGCTGTGCACGCAAACACGATCGTCGCACAGCAGAAGCACAACCCAATCTTCTCGACCCCGACGTCCCAGACATCGTCGCCGCTCGTGCTCTCATCTACCCACCTCAAGCTGGTCGCGGTCCACCCGTTTCGCAAGACGAACTCGCCCACATTCTCGCTCACGAAGACATCTACATCCAACGTCTCCTCGATGCCGTCAACTTCGTCGTTCCCGGCGGCGAAGGCGGCAACTCCAAAGCCCCCGGCCTCAGCTGGGAGACCCGACAACAAATCACCTTCAATCAAAAACTCCGCATGGAAGGCACCTCTCACAAAGGCGCCGAAGGCCTCTATCGCCGCTCCCTCATCACAGCTCGTCTCCGCGCCCTCTTCCTCGAACTTCACCAATTCCACACCGGCGCTCAAGAATCCTTCTACGCCATCGGCGGCAATAACGCTGGCTATAATGCAGACACGTCAATGACATTCCAAGAACGCTTCGAATCTGTTCGAGAGTTTTTGCGAACGAATAAGCGAATGGTGATGGATGTGATTGAGGGGAGAGGGGTGAAGAGTATTGTGGCGAATCCTAAGGGGTATAACAAGCGGAAAGTGAGTAATAATGCTTGTAATGAGGATAAGAAGGAGATTATGGGGAAGGGGAAGGAGAGGATGGGGAGTGTGGGGTTGGGGGTTGATGGAAAGGGGAAGAAGAAGAGGAGACGTGGGGTGGAGGATAAGGGTGAGGAGACTGGTGGGAGAGGGCCGAAGAGGGTTACGAGAAGTGTTGCGACTGCGGAGGGCGTTGAAGTTGCGTCAAGGGTTGAGGAAGCGCCTTTTGAGACGAGGTTAAGGGAGGCTTTGAGTGCTGGGTGGGATGGCTCGGGGGTTGGAGAGGGTCCGAGTGCTTTTCGGTGATTTTTGCATTCTTGATCTCTTGATTTTCTGTTTTTCATGTCAACACAGCGCAGCGCGGAGATGTTGAGATTTGGTTGATTTATTGTTTGGCTGATTTCTGTGTGGAGATACCCTTTTGCCTTTGAAGATTTTTGGGGCATTGCATCGAATTTGGGCGGTATTTATGATGATAGTCAGCTTCGCACACATGTCAGACAGCTTGTTCTCTTGATGCCATAAGTAGCAAATCATGCATTGAGTCACATCAACGGTTTCTAGCTCTGGGTACAGAATTTGTAGAGGAGGTGAAGATTCGTCGGCTACTCGCTGGAACGATAGCCGAGTATCAGATGGCTTTCAAATTGTGAAGCATTTATCCTTCTGGTCGTTTAACACCTCATTCCTCATAAGCATAACACTTAGAGCTGCTGAAAAACGCCCGAGAATTTAATCGGTGTGCTATTTGCAATGCGGGCCATTGAAAATAAGAGTTTGGATGGTATGGCGACAAGTCGCATATGGTAGGATCATTTAGCTCAGATGGAGCGAGTCGCAGCACATAACATTGCATGTGAGGGGCAAATGATCACTTTGAACAGCATACATGCAATTTCAAATTCATAAGCATGCTCCCGCAATAGCAAAGAGATTGCTGAACACTCACTCTGCCTCCTGCGAATCAATCGTCAACAGTCAGCGCTTCAAGCACACGATCCATGGCAACGACCATCGACGTCGAACATATCAAGACGTTGCGCTGGACCGCGACAACGACTTATACTCCCTCCAATATAATTACGTATAATGTCGCCCTCGGAGCCTCAGGAAGTGATCTCTCGCTGTGCTTCGAAGGACATTCATCTTTCCACGCACTTCCCACCTTTGGCACACTGCCAGTTATAGCCATTATGGGCCAAGTGACACAGTCCATGTCCGAATTCCTTCCCAACTTCCAACCACACAACCATGTTCACGGCGAGCATTATCTCGAGACACGAGGACCATTTCCCACGCAAGGGACAACACTCAACACCACAGCTCAAATTATAGATATCGTTGACCGCCGTTCTGGCGTTACAGTCTGCGTTGGTCTCACAACCAGCGACGCCGCGACAGGAAGAGACATCTGCTACAACGAATGGACGTCCTTCGTTATGAAAGTCCCCGGAGCAGGCGCAGCTGCCAAAGCTCTTCCACGAGGCAACAGGACTGCATCGTATCCCGCACCTTCGCGAGCTCCGGACGCAATACGAGAGTTCAAGACCTCAGCTGAGCAAAGTGCATTATATCGCGCAGCATCAGGGGATCTCAATCCTTTACATATCGATCCCGCAGTCGCAAAGGCAGGAGGTTTTCCTGGTCCGATTTTGACGGGAACGTGTACGATTGGGATGGGAGTCAAAGCTGTGATGGATGCGTTTGCCGATGGGAGCGAGAAGAGGTTCCGGAGTGTGAAGTTGAGGTTGACTAAGCCTGTTTTTCCTGGTGAGGTGGTGAGGACGGAGATGTGGAGGGAGGATGGGGGAAAGAGGGTTGTGTATAGGCAGGTTGCTGGGGAGGAGGGGAGGGTTGTTATTAATAATGCCGCGGTGGACTTGGGTGAGGTAGTTGAGAGGTCGAGGCTCTCGTAATCAATAAGTGGTGTTGTTGTCGTTCTCTTCGCAGACCAGAATGCTTCGAACTTGGCACTGTATGTAGCCGGGAAGAAAGCGGAACAGACGATTGACGGCCCAGGATTCTCCACATTGTGGCAGACCCTGGTTAGGGCAATGGTCCTTGCTCGTGCATGGTTGACAGCCAATTTTCCTTCAATAAAATCACAACTGTTTGAGCGTGTTGCAGATTTGCCGGACGTGGACGGAAGATGGCATTGGCCATGATGGTGGATGATGTGCTCTCCGCCTGCAGAAATGGGTCATCGTGAAGCAAGTGTCGGCGTCAGAGACACGAGGCCTCGACCGGGTGGCGCTCATTGTTCTTCATATGCCGCCGTGAGAAGAAACACGTGACGGCGAGCACGCCATTCGCATTGTCCAATCACGGCGCCCACATTGCTAAAACGCCCCACTCTGCTGGGCGTGAGAGTAGGCTCAATGGAGCAGGCGAGCGCGGTGTCGATGAAGTTTTGTCAACTTTCTGAAGGCCGATCCCGCAGTGGCCTTGGATGACCAGTCCGCCGCCACTCCAGCGTACTCGTCTTCTCTAACTGCCCCGGAAAAGAATGCAGTAACACTCGTTCCTTCTCCAGAGACATCACCAAAGGGAGAAGTCGCCATGGCTACTATTGTGACTGCCGGCGAAGCAGGTACGTAACTGCTGCTGCACGAGCGACGCACCTCCGGGCGACCGCCCGACGATCTGCTGGCGAGCCGACGACGTGGAAATATATTCCAGAGACGCGTGCTGACATCCTATCTACAGTCGCTCGTGTCGCCTACCTCTCCTCCGACGCCATCGTCTCCGTCCAGCCTTCGCTCGCCGCCGACTCGGAGTTCTCCAAATTCCTCAAACAGTATGCGAGCAAAAAGGCCACCTCACTCGTGAGCGAGGCACCCGAGGTCATTTCAGTGCGACATAACAATGATCCTCTGCTGGATGTATACTCGCGCGTGCGCAGTGGCAAACTCACCACTGTCACCACCAGCAGCGATGTGTTAGTCAAGAGCATTCCACATTTGTACCGGTTAGCACAGTATCCCGTGGTGATACACGTGAACCTACATCCGAGCGGATACCCAGATTATGCCGATATCACGAGTGTTAGACACGCAGGCCTCACCTTCCTGCAGAGTACTACACTGCAAGAGGCGCAAGATCTGGCCTTGACTGCGCACGCTTTGGCAATCCGCTCAGGTAAGGGTGTAGTGCATTTCTTCGATGCTGCGAACAGCAAGCAAGACCAGCCCATCGCACCCGAGGACCGCAGCCTTGTCGAAGAGACATTGAACCTTGATCTTGTCAGGACATTGCAGAGCACAAAGAGCGACGAGACTGGCGTGTACGTCAGTGAGGGCCTTGCACCCAAGGTGGAGGGAATCCAGCTTTCCGGAAAGACAGCGGCACCAGCAGCGAACACTGCATCTGCCGAGGGCACTCCCGCAAAAGAGCAGTCATCTGCCTCTTCTTCAGCGTCCTCAGAGCGCAAGGGCAGCAGTGCTGGTATCTCTGAGGCAGAATCCGCCACGACGGTAGACTCACAGCCAAAGCCACCAAGCTCAGAAGACGTGGACACAATCTGCACCAGCATCTGGTCACAGATCAAGGCTAAGACCGGCCGGTCATACAGCGCCTTCAACTACACTGGTCCTGCAAACGCCGAGAACGCGCTCTTCTTGTTCGGCAGCGATCCAGGACTTTTCAGCGCAGAATTCGATGCAGCCAGTCCTTCGGACTTCTTCTCCAGTGTCGGTCTTATCACACCGGTCCTGTACCGGCCGTGGCTTACGGAGCGTTTGACTGAGAGCCTACCAAAGAGCATCAAGAAGATCGCGGTGCTTGAGCAAATCAAGAGGAAGACAACGAAATGGGGCCCAATTCTGCTCGATCTGCTCATGTCTCTCAAGGCCAGCTCACAGGGTGCTTCGCCACTGATTGTGGGCTATCAATTGGGTTACATTGAATACTCGACAGTGACACAAGCACTGAGTGGTATCTTCCAAAACTTGACCTCAAAATCCCCAATTCAGAATTTGAAGATCGGTGCGCACGACGCCCCTTCAAAGACTGAGGTTGCCACCAAGCAGCCAGCGTTGGAAAACGCATATATGAAGATCCTGGATCAGGTCTTTGGCGAGCGATTATACATTGCCAATGCGCTGAAGTCCAGCAACGCCGGCATCAACCAGACCATCAAGGCTAGCCCAGAATTTGGATTCGGTTCGTTGCTCGCCAGGAAGAAGCACCGACAGCGCTTCGTTGGCGAAGTGCAGGAAGCTCTAAAGGCCAAGAGCTTTGCCACAGATGCCCCATTGAAATGGCTATCGCAGTGGTCGTTGGTCGCAGAGGAGCCAGAAAAGGCCAACAAGGTCGCCCCCGAGGTTCTCGCCCGCCTTTCCAACGATGGCTCACCAGCCGCCTATCAACTTCTCAGTTCGAAGGGATTGTTCTACAAGGAGTCTCAATGGCTCGTTGGAAGCGACGCCTGGAGCTACGATCTCGGCAACAGCGGTGTGCACCATGTCCTCGCAAGCGGCGAGAATGTGAACATGCTCATCATCGACTCCACCCCCTACAGCGATCGTGCAGCTGCTGATGCAGCACGTAGAAAGAAGGACATTGGTCTGTACGCCATGAACTTCGGCAATGCTTACGTTGCCAGCACTGCGGTTTACAGCAGCTACACGCAAGTCCTACAAGCGATGATGGAAGCCGAGGCCTTCAATGGCCCATCGGTCGTCCTTGCATACCTCCCATACAGCCACGAAAACGACAGCCCACTCAATGCCCTGCAGGAGACGAAGAAGGCGGTTGACGTTGGATACTGGCCACTTTACAGGTGGGACCCGAAGGCTGAGGAAAGAGGCGATGAGACATTCAAGCTCGACTCTGAGCGCATCAAGGAAGAGCTCAAGGAGTTCCTGAAGAGGGACAACTACATGACTCAGCTCATGAAGAGACATCCAGAGTTCCACGCCAACCTGTCAGAGTCGTATGGCACAGAGGTGCGCAAGGTGCAGATGCGCAAGGCCAAGGACGCATACGAGGTCCTCCTCGAGGGGTTGCAGGGCGCTCCAATGACTGTCCTCTTCGCCTCAGATGGTGGCAACGCCGAGAATCTCGCAAAGCGCCTTGCTAACCGCGGCAAAGCGAGAGGCTTGAAGACCATGTTCATGGCTATGGATGACTATCCAGTGGAGGATCTGGGGCGAGAGGAGAACGTTGTCCTCATCACGTCCACTGCTGGTCAAGGTGAATTCCCACAGAACGGACGCAATTTCTGGGAAGCCGTCAAGAACTCGACGGACCTCGATCTGGCCAACGTCAAATACAGCACCTTTGCACTTGGTGACTCGCACTACTGGCCACGAAAGGAAGACAAGCACTACTACAACAAGCCTGGAAAGGACTTGCACGCTCGTCTTGCCGCCTTGGGTGCGCAGGAGTTGGTTGCATGTGGTCTTGGTGATGATCAAGACCCAGATGGTTACCAGACCGGCTACCAAGAGTGGGAGCCAAAGCTGTGGGATACCCTGGGTGTTGGTAATGTCGAGGGACTACCAGAGGAGCCACCGCCAATGACCAACGAGGACATCAAGATCGGGTCCAACTTCTTGCGTGGAACCATCGTTGAAGGCCTCGAGGACCAATCAACTGGAGCTATCAGTGCGGCCGATCAGCAGCTTACCAAGTTCCATGGCACCTACATGCAGGACGACCGTGATCTTCGCGACGAGCGTAAGGCACAAGGGCTGGAGCCTGCGTACAGCTTTATGATTCGTTGCAGATTGGCGGGTGGTGTGGCCACTGCTCAGCAGTGGGTGCAAATGGACGATATTGCCAACAGCTTGGGTAACGAGACCATGAAGCTCACCACACGTCAGACCTTCCAGTTCCACGGAATCGTCAAGGCCAAGCTGAAGCCAGCCATGCAAGCTATCAACAGGGCACTCATGACGACCATCGCTGCTTGCGGTGACATCAACCGTAATGTCATGTGCTCCTCGCTCCCCACCAAGAGCACTCTTCACGGACAGGCCCACGCTGTTGCAAAGAGAATCTCCGACCACCTCCTTCCTGGCGCTGCTTCTATCGCTTACCACGAGATCTGGCTGAAGGGCATGGATGGTGAGAAGGACCTCAAGCTTGCTGGTGATGCTGTGCAAGACCTCGAGCCATTGTATGGACCCACCTACTTGCCACGTAAGTTCAAGATCACAATTGCTGTGCCGCCTCACAACGACACCGACGTCTATGCACACGATATTGGTCTCATCGCAATCCAAGGCGAGGATGGCCAGCTTGCTGGTTTCAACATTCTTGCTGGTGGTGGTATGGGTGCTACGCACAACATGAAGAAGACCTACCCACAGGTCGGCCGCATGTTTGGTTACGTCCCCGCGGATGAGGCCCACATCGCTTGCGAGAAGATCATGCTCATTCAGCGTGATAACGGTGACCGCAAGAACCGCAAGCAAGCTCGTCTGAAGTATACCATCGATCGTCTTGGCGTGGACTTCTTCAAGAGTGAGGTCGAGCGCATCTGGGGCCGCAAGTTCGAGGAGCCACGGCCTTTCAAGTTTGAGAGCAACGTTGATACCTTTGGCTGGCTAAAGGACGAACGGGGGCTGAACCACTTCACTTTGTTCATTGAGAACGGACGTATCGAAGATACTGCCGATTTCAAGATGAAGACTGGTCTTCGTGAGATTGCTCAGGTGCACAAGGGCGAGTTCCGTCTTACTGGCAACCAGCACTTGATCTTGTCGAACGTCGCCGATGCCGATCTGCCTCAGATGAAGGAACTTTTGGCCAAGTACAAACTTGACAACGTCAACTTTTCTGGCCTGCGACTGAGCTCTTCTGCTTGTGTGGCCTTCCCAACCTGTGGTCTGGCCATGGCTGAATCTGAGCGATACCTTCCAGAGCTCATCACCAAGCTCGAGGGCGCCCTCGAGGAGAACGGTCTTCGACAAGAGAGCATCGTCATGCGTATGACCGGTTGTCCGAACGGTTGCGCTCGTCCTTGGCTTGCAGAGGTCGCCTTTGTTGGCAAGGCTTACGGCGCTTACAACATGTACCTTGGAGGTGGCTACCACGGCAACCGACTGAACAAGCTGTACCGAAGCTCAATCAAGGAGGAGGAAATTTTGGCTATCCTGAAGCCGATGTTGAAGCAGTATGCTCTGGAGAGGAATGAGGGTGAGAGATTTGGTGACTTTGTCATCCGCAAGGGTATCATTGTTGCAACGAATGGTGGGCAGGATTTCCATGAGAACGTAAGTGATGATGTCCGACCATACTTTGTTGACTAAAAGCTGACCAACTTCCTAGACTGCTGAATTGGAAGAAGATGACGAATAGATGGGCTGGCATGTGATTGCAGATGGTATGCGGATCTGTTCTGGTATTTGAGCGACGCAGGTTGTCCGTGCTGCTGCCAGAGGTTTCACTTGCATAGCGAGGCGTTCAAGGCGCTTGTTGTTCGCCAGGAGCAAGGCATTGCGTCTTTTTCACGAAATGAAAGCGGAAAAGCAAGCAACTATTTGTAGCTGTATGCATACATCAATTATTCATCAATGTTCTGTGTTTGAAAAGAAGATGTGGTCCCACAAAATCTGGGAGACATCGTATGGACAGCGCGCAAAATTTCAAGGCTTTCCTTCGCGTGCTATTATCTCACGATTGAGGGCCGAGATTTCCCTCCAGCCTTGCTCAACTCGTGACTAACTAGGTCTCTGATGCGGAAAACCTTTGTGCTTAGGGTGAGCCAGGTTCGCCATCTTCGGGGAAGAGACAGAAACCCTCCCTGTTCTCCCCAGTCGTACTACAAACTCCACTGCAGCATGGAATGTAATCGACATCGAGTGAGCAGGGCGTACCTCCCGCGGAGCAACAAACGGGTTGCGAACCACCAAATGGTAACTGGCAAGTCGTAGGTACACCTAGCTCGGTATCGCAGCAGCTGTCTTTTCCTGGACAGCAGCGGCCTCTGCGACTTACACATGTAGCCGGTGGAGTAGTGAATGCTGAACATGTTGGAGGAGGGATGATTTCTCCGGAACAACGGCCTTCTCCTTCTTTGCTGGAGTCCGTTCTGATGCAGGTGTTGCCGCAGCATGCGCCGGGATCTTTGAGGCTGCAGATTGCGTCGTTTGCTTTGCAGCAGACGGGTGTGGTTTCGGAGCCTTTGGTTTTGCAGGTGCTGTTTGAGCAACACTTGCTTTTTCCTGGAGTACATTTTTGGCCGGGAATTACGCATTGAGGAGGATATGGTGTTGGGTAGGTGGGTTTACAGATTGTCTTGGTGTACGTCTTTGTGGACGTCTTGGTTTTTGTCTTTGGGTAGCCGATGCATGAGCAGAAGGTTTTTAATTTGTTGCGGTCTTTTCGAAGTTGGTTCCATTTCTTGGAGTTGCTAGATCCGTAGTACTTGGGATCTGCTTCGGCTTCGGCGTCGCGGGCTTGTTTGTAACCATTTTTGTAGCCGCAGCTTTTGGTGACTGTTATGGTCTTTGTGACGCATTTTTCGATCGTCTTGCCTGGGTAGGTCTCTTTACAGTATTTGACAGCTGGGTCATAGTTCGCCAGCGAGGAGTAGTCTCTGTAGGGAGAGCTCTGGCATACGCCTCCTTTGCCATACGTTCCAGAGGCGTAGCTGGCCCAGCTGAGGCAGGGCAGCAGTATGGAGAGAAGTGAAGTGTGCATTGTTGCGTCGGGTGAAGCTCGCGGCTGCGAAATGCGAGCAGCAAGAAGGACAAGGAAAGCGTGGTTGTGTGGGCGGTCCAGCAAATATATTGAGGTCAAGAGGTCCTCGACTCGACAGCATAGTGATAGTTTGTGGCGTTGTGGGAGGCTGTATCGGTTCTCTTTCGCATTCGCGTCCAGAGTTTCCTGGCCCTCTTGTATCGTGGCGTCGAATCATCAGCCTGGCACTGCTAATTCGACTCATGCTAGAATGGAAGTGCACCGGATCGGGATAGTTCTTGTTGCTTCGCTGTGCGTTTCGGGAGTACTGCATGTACTGGTTGTACTCTGTAAACGCATTTGGATTTGAGCAGTTCTGGTTCGTCAGTTATCAAGTACACGCGGAAGGAGGCCTCGTATACAGCGAAGGCACGAGCAGCGCCCTCGTGCAAGCGATGCTACATAGATACTGCTCTGCCGTACCTGGCGGTTTCTACGCTGGTGAGACGCCGTGTTCAGCTTTCGGTGCCGGTAACCTTGTCCGCATGTCCAGCGCTCTTCCAAGAGATGAAGTATTGGAAGAGCGTGGCAGGATGGTCATGAGGAGATTAGTGCAGTCTGGAAGGTGAGCTGATGCGCCACGAAACAAGCCACTTCTTGCCAATGTCCTGCTTTTGTGAAGCCAAAGAAAGCGCCACCTGATTACGTTGGCAGCTTGCATGATGTTGCGACCTTGCCCTTTTGAGCACAGAAAATGATATCAACATGGGCATGTCTGACTTCCAATGCGAAGGACCCAGGCCCAGCACCGCTCAACAATCTAGCACAGCGGGCCACAACTCCAAGGCGACGACCACATATGCGTTCACAATGGATTCCGAGACAACGAATTCCGAGGAGAAGAGACACGCATGTCGTGTCGCATGTCGTCCTGGCATCTGTAGACAAGTGAGCTTGTAGCGGACAGCGGGCAGGAAACTCACACATGTCACTTTCGTGAGTCCGATCGAGATTTCCAGCTTCCACCATGATGTCTCTCCGTCGCAGCGCTGGCTCTCTGCAGCACCTCCCAGGAAGCAACGACAGCAACGCCGTCAACTATTCTACGACTATCTACGTCTGGTCATACCACATAGCCTCTCCGCAGCTCAGCAGAATCTGCTGAGATACGATGAGACCGCGTAGGATCCCCCACCCATCACACGCCCAGCGGACCGTTCACTGGCCATAGGTCTTACAAGATCAAGGTAAGTCGCAAATAAATGGCAAAAAAGCAAACTATCTAACTCCCAAAGGGAGTCCTCTTCTCCATCCGCGCCTCGTACAGATAATGCTCCCGAAGGAGATCACCGTCCTTGCGCAGAACTTCGTCCCATCTCTTTGCTCGCCGCTCAGCTCGCCGCTCAGCTCGACGCTTCGCTTTGAGACGCTTCACCCACTAGGTGAGAGCGCTGAAACATCCGTAACTCATTGCGGCCTCCATAGTTATGGTACAGGGGCGATACAAGTATCTTATGCTCAAAGTCGAAAATGTTTCTGAGAGAGAAAGGGAAGAGAAGAAGAGCGAGAAAGAGAGAAGTTTTATGCTTGCCAGGACACGTATTGTGGCCAGAACAGCGCTCGAGGTCTCACAGCCAGTCAATTGCAGCGACAGAAGTGATGTCCAGGTACCAAGGACAAGATGCGTGGCAAGCCATTCGGATCGTCGAACAAGAGATTCGGAACTTGTACGATTGGTGAAAGATTTCTGGTAACTTTGGATTTTGAGGGTCTCACGACACCTATACCAGTCCAAGCATGTAGGCGATGAAACTTCCGAGCAGCGACCCAAAGGCGTCAAATTGGGGGAACGCCGGGGATGCCAGAACACGTATCGTCTTGCAATCAGATCTTGGGCGGAGCGAAGCATTTCGGTTCGTGAAATTGAGGCCGGAAAGGACAGATCTGGATTAAGCGGGCAGCCTCGGAGAGTCAAGGTTTCTGAGCCAACTCATGCTTACAGGTCATACCTGAAGCGGCTACCTAGGTCTTACGGCCGATGGTGGATGAAGGGTTGCGATGCACGAGGTTGTGAGGTTGTGAGGGGATGGAAAGACTGTGAGCCGACAGCGTCCCAGCGGAACTCCGCTCTCATTCACGTGATGCGCTCTTGGCAGAAGTATGTTTCCACCGAGACGCGCGCTGAACAACCACTCCTCTCCTACCTCACCTCCTATGTGTCGTCGGCTGTCATTGAGTTCAATGACAATTCGCATTCGTTCCGATCCAGAAGACTGAGTACGATGTTTCCAAGACCGGGCACCTCGAGATGACACTGCAGTCCTCTGCTCACCAGCGTGTTGCCACGTCCGATGGAGAGGAGGGTTCGTCGCGAGTGCTGTTGACGGATCGTCTCCTGCACAATGGAGGATTTCTTCTCTTTGGACATTTCACTTTCTCAAATTTATTTGTCACGGCCGCACGATCGGCTTTGCGTCAAAAGATCACCGAAGCAGTCCGCGCGGAGTACAGCAGCTTATACTTTTGCAGCGCAACTCAAGACTGGGCCCAGGATAGCATACCACTGCTGTACACAAGATCTGGTACTTGACTCGAGCTCCACGTGGATGAGCTCGCGATGCTCTGTGCTACATCCGCCGTTCTGTTGTGGTACAGTATCGCAAAGCTGAATGGGCTTACTGTGTCTTGAAGCTGCAGATGCTCCAATCATGCACGACTACGATGTGGCGTCCGTGGTGGAAGCCTACTGTACGGACGCATGTAGGTCCCCACTTCTGCACATATAATCGTCCAACGTAGCAACAAGATATCATGGAACTCTGCCCGGATCTCCAACTCGCGCATTCCATCAACTTCGTTCTACGAACACAAACATGCAGTCGTCATCTTCCAGATACAATCTGAGGCGAAGTCACCAGAACGAGGAGTTCGATGCAGGAAGCAATAAGCGACGAAAGAACCCCACCACAGCATCGAACTCCACCAAACGTGGTCACCGACTCTTGCAGAACGTGGTCGATGAACTTGCAGTTCAATCGCCAGACACACCTTGTTTTGCCATTGCTCGGAGCGATGTTGCAGCCTTCGAGGACATTACATTCGGACGCCTAGCTAATGCAGTCAACAGAACTGCGCAATGGCTCAAAAGAACTATCAGTCCCAAGCCCGGGATGGTCCTGGCATTTCTAGGGCCTTCTGATATCCGCTATCCGCTGTTCGTTCTGGCGACAAACAAGCTTGGAATGGTTGCTTTCTTGCCTTCCCCGCACAACCCTACAAGGATTCAAAGTGAGCTGCTGAAGGCGACGAAATGCTCGCACCTACTCTGCGCGGAATCGAAGAGGGAAACTGCAGCAGAGATTGTTGCGGGACTCTCCTCTGTGAATCGTGCGTTCTCGGCTGCAATAGCTGTGCCTGAGGTCCAGGAACTCCTTGATCCAGCGCCTGCGGCCCTCGAAACAGTCAGCCAAAGTTGGAAACAACACAAGGACAAGCCATTCGTGATCCTCCACACATCTGGGACCACTGGCACGCCCAAACCTATTGCGCTCCCGCACAGCTATTACGTCTATGAGGATACGAGCCATGCCCCTGTATATCAAGACGCAATGACGACCAAGGCCTTCCCAGCCGGAGCAAGGTGTTTGTGTCTCGCGCCCATGTAAGTCTTTTTCCATTGAACTTTGTACCATACTGAATTCAAACGTAGGTGGCATGCTGGCGGAATCTTCTTCTCGCTCATGAAGCCTGTCCTGAGTGGCATTATCTCCCTCATACCACCTAGCGGACTACCGGTTACTCCAGACCTGATCGAGGCATGCGTGCAAGCTACGAAAGTCGACATTTTACATTCTCCGCCAGCCATTGTGGCCGGATTGGTGGCCGAAGAAAGATTTCACGGACTTCTGCGAGACTTGCCGAACATCCAGATTGGAAGTGGACCAATGCGGAAATCGAGCGGTGACCAGATGCTGAGCATCAATCCAAAGGTGAATCACTTCTTTGGCTCGACTGAAACCTACCTTTTACCCCTTCTCCCACTGGAAGACCCTGTTGCAGACTGGCAATATCATCGACTACATCCATTGAGTGGTGCCAGATTTGAGCCAGTAGATGATGGACTGTTCGAATTGGTGATCCAGAAGCTCGAGGGTACTGCACAGCCATGCTTTGCCGTGTATCACGATGTGACTACGTTTCACACAAAAGATGTCTTGTCTCCGCATCCTTCCAAGCGAGGTCTGTGGAAGTTTGAATGTCGCTTGGACGACGTGATCACTTTCGACACGGGCGAGAAACTGGTTGCTAGTAAGATAGAGTCCACGATTATCGGCATTCCTGAGGTCAAAGCTGCTCTGGTTGTTGGTCAAGGTAGAGCTCAGCCTGCTCTCTTGATCGAGCTGGAAAATTCCACAGATAGCTCTGAGGTTCTGGACATGGTTTGGGCAACCGTTTCCGAGCTCAATGCCACTGCCCCCTCTTATGGACAAATATCAAAAGACAGGATTGCAGTTGCCAAGCAGCCCTTCACGAAGACACCCAAGGGTACTGTCAAGAGGCGTGAGACCGAAGTCTCTCTTCAAGCTGAGATTGATAGTTTGTATCGACAGTCTCAAACCGCCCCAGGCCTGCGAATTGTGCAAGATACAGCCTCTCTGTCCGACGTCTCGAATTTCGTCAGCGCGGTTCAAGCAGACGTGATGGGTACAGAACTTCGCAAAGATGACGATGTACTGGCAGCTGGGATGGACTCACTGCAGGTGGCACGTCTTGTGCGGGAGCTCAATAAAGTTCTCGCGGCGTCTACCGAACAAGCAGCCAGTCTGCCTCGCATCACACCCGCAACACTTTACTCACATCGATCTGCCAACGCGCTCGCGGAAACCATACACACCGATCTCTGTGCCTTACATGCAGGACATCGGCACAAGGGAGGTCGACATGCGGGAAGCCACGATCACGATTCCCACGGCCATCTGCTCGGCAAGCATAGTCGCAAACTACCCAAACAACGCAACCGCCGCAAATTAGATGCCACGTTGCACTCAATGCATCATACAGTCCTTACGGGCTCTACAGGAAATCTCGGGCCACATATTCTGCATCGTCTGATTCGTACAGAACAGGTAAAGCGGATTGTATGTCTGAATCGAGCACAGAATGCGCGCGAGCAGTTCCTGGTGTCGTTTCCAGATGACAAGTCGCATATGCACAAAGTGCGCTTCCTATCAACGTCGAATCTGAATGCTCCCAATCTCGGCTTGCCTCAGAAAGATTTCGAAGACCTGGTACAGAACACAACCACTCTGATCCATAATGCGTGGCCAGTCAACTTCCACCTCCCTCTACTCGACGCCAAGAGCGACATCAAAGCCACATCCTCGATGGAAACGCTAGACGCTCACGTTGACGGATTGAGCTCGCTTATCAACTTCATCGCTGCCGGCAATAAACATCCTCAACTCGTCTTTGTCTCCAGCCTATCAGCCGTGATTCGCCACCACGACCCAGTCTCCAAGAAGATACCCGAAACAATTATCACTGACCCGGCCGCTCCCGAATCTGGAGGCTACGCTCAAAGCAAATGGATGGCGGAACAACTTCTGCACTCCGCAGTCCAAGCCCACACGATTCGCAAAGTCAAGATTATCCGACCTGGACAGATCGCCGGCCCGTTGCCTGATAGTAGCGTCTCTGATGGCTCACCAGGAGGACTCTGGAGTCGCGATCAAGCTCTTCCAAGCTTGATTCAAAGCTCTATGGCGATGGGCGTCTTGCCAGACAGCCTTGGAGAGAAGAACCGTGTCAGATGGGTTCCAGTCAATACGTGCGCGAGAGTCATTGTGGAGATCGCAGAAGAGACTTCACGCGCAGTGGTGGCGGGAGCCGTCAACGGAGGCGAAGCGGACGAAGTCAAAGTGTATAACGTCACGAATCATACACCGCCTGCAGAAGGAAAGGAAAGCCGGGAACTTACGTGGACCGATGACATTCTGCCAATTATGCAACAGCATGCCAAATCTTATCGGCCGGACACACTACAGGAAGCCGTCTCGATGAGAGACTGGATTGATCGCGTGGAGGAATTTGGGCCCAAGCCTGAAAATCCAGCTTACAGACTGCTGCATTTCTACGAGGAATTGATTGATTCTGAAGAGGATCAGGGACTGGGAGCAAGGATAGCTACCGAGAGAGCCACATCAAAGAGCAAAACGTTGGCAGACTTGGGACCTGTGCAGAAGGAGTGGATGGAATACTGGCTGAGGAGCTGGGAAGAGGTAAATTCGCTGTCATAAATCAAGGTGCATGCCTCTACTATGCAAGGAAGCGCAAGGCCCAAGAAAGTGAGGGCCTTGCGCTCAGTCATCGCCCAACCCGGACGAGTCAACAGTTGAATGCATATCATGTGCTTTGGAGGCTCTTCTCAGTCATCTTGCTCCTTGAACTGGCTGCTTGGCATCACAGCGATCAATCTCTTTGTCTTCACAGAATCGTTTACAATGCATTTATCTATACGCTCACCAAAATCCTTATACACGCACAAGAAGAATACAACGCAACGTCGTTCTTTACGGGAGGCAGATCGGCTGGAAGTCCCAACATCGACCTCTATGCTATGTCCTCTCCTACCTCCTAGCTCCAGAGCAAATCACTATGCTGCGACCTTCACGCGCGATTGCGACGTTCACCATATGTCAGCCGGCCAGTGAAACGACTGGCAGTGATGGGACAATGTCTTTGTCCCTGTATCTCCTCCTCTTTGAGGATAAAAGTCGTACCAGATCGCCATCTCGATCCAAATTTCTCTTTACAATCACAACCGAACACAGAGAGAACCACGGACAGAATGCCTACGCAAACAGAATTCCTCTCAAATCCTGGCCTGGTGCCACAAACTACGACCGCAGACTGCATGATTTGCCATGACCAAGCCGTGAGTCCTGTGACAACGAGCGGGTGCGAGTGCCGGGTCACATACTGTCGACAGTGCATCCTAGATTGGTATACAGGTGGCGGGAACAAATGTCCGACTTGCCGAGTTGAGGTATATTCACTAGACACGAGCGACTCCGACTCCGAATCCGACTCCGATTCGGACGATTCGGACATAGAAGATGGAGCCCCTAGGTTCAGAGCTCCTAGGTTCGGCCTGAATGTCACAATCGCGAATGGCGAGGGAGATGAGATGTTCTACCTCCTCCGAGACAATCCTTGGGACCTAGATAACGACGAAGCGGTAGAGTCTATCAGGAATTTCCGCTCATCCTCCATCGACGCCGAAATGCCCATCGATCAGCGCTCCCATAGACCTGCTTTGCGTCAAAGCTTACCTGCTGGTCGACTACCTGCTAGCCGATGCCAACGTATTCTACCAGGAGCAACTCGAAAGCGCGCTAGAATCCTCTCAGGCAACTAAGCAGGATTTCTGCTTGATGATACAAGAGCTCGGCGTTATCATCGAGATGTACGATGGCGACACAATGAGCTATGAAGAACTCTACGACAACCTGCTTATGAGCGTGTTGGGCCAATTGAGTTCGATGTCGGGGGTCTTCTTAGAGATGTGGAATGCGCGCCACAACAACCGCGAGATGGACCTGGACCCTATTCAGCGCTACTTACAAGACATCGTCGAGGAGCTAGCGGAAGAAGGTGAGCGCATCTACTACCGGTTGAACTGGAATGATTTGTAAAAGGCTGGTCTTTGGTGCTTGATGGGAGTTGGTAGTTGCATTGTCTGTGAATAGAACCTGAATGTTTTCTAGCATGAGCCTTCACAAAATATTTGTACCTCTGAAACCACATTAAAATGCCGAGCGCACGTCCAATGATATTTGCGTCGATGATCAAAGACATCGTGCAGGGTCTAGACCCGCCTCGCGTTTCCTCGACCAGAAACTCCCATGCTCATTCCTCTGCTCCAGAGCGAGCAGAGGGTTCCGGTCCGTTTCCACCCAACAACCAGAACGGATCGCCCATGATTTCCGCAAGCAATGCGAACACCGGGTCTCCTGTGACCTTCGTGGTGATGACGATATTTTGAAACTCCTCCAGGAAATCCATCTTGTTGATGAGGAACGGCAGCTTAGCCTTGACGAACTCCTCGTCTGCCCAGGCGCGCGTCAATGCTAAGCGTTTCTCAGTGGTAATTCCAGCGTTCTCGAGCTCCCGAAACTTCGCGCAAGTAGCATTCAGGATGCGGTTTCGCTCTGCATCAACCACTTCCTCCAGGACCTCGCGATGCGTTTCAGGGCGATCTTGCTTCGTGCCATAGGGATTGACTTGCTGCTCGCCACCCCATTTGTACTTGCTAGAGGGCTTGTCTTCCTCTTTGATGTGCCCAGTGGTTCCGTGCTGGGCCACGGACAGGAACGAGCAGCCATCGTGAACGGACACATTGCCAACATGTTCAGCGATTCCGGCGAGGAGGGGCCTCTCACGCGGACGACTGTTAAGAGGCGTGTCTGCCGCTTGCCACAGTATTGTGTGGGTCAATTCCACGACATCGGGGATCTTTTTGCCGAAGAGCTTCTTCAGTTGACCTGCTTCGCGCTTGCGCAGATTATCGAAGATAGCTTTGCAACGCATACTGAAGGCCCAGTAATCGAACTTCAGGTAGACTTCGTCAGCTTCCATGCTCTGCTGGATTGTCTGCAACAATTCGACTGATGTTAGATGGGTCACTGGTGCCTTCTTCATGGTCTCAGCATCTTTGTACAACGAAGCATAGAACGCACTGTAGCCATTCAATCCACTGGCCACCAGATCTGCGCCATGAGCCAGACGTCGTGCAAACGCTGATGGAGACTGCAATCTCTTCAGTTTAGTGGCAATGGTGGACTTCCCAGGCAGTCCAGGTCGAAGAGCAGCGTTTCGAGCAAAGGCGCTGGCAGGCACTCCGATGGACAGGTCAAAATGCCGGGCATAGCCGGCAAGGCTGTCGGCCTCGCGTACGTAGAGTCCAGCCATATTTTGACTGGCTATCAGAGTTTCCATGTCAGCCCATTCACCCTGGAGCAAGTCAATACGTCGAGCTGCCCGATAGAGATAAGCCAAGCCCAGTACAGCTGCATGGTCGACTTCACCACTTTCGCCTTCAGATGAATTGATCGACGAGATGCAATGACCGACTCTCACATGGCATAGGCGGAAACCTGCGAACAAAGGCAAGTGCTTCAGCAAATCCTCTGGGTTTCGATCCGATGGCCACGGGTAGGTCCCCACCAGTCCTTGATAAAGAGCGGCATCCATTCCTGGAATGGTACCATTCTGACGGCCCGCTGCAAAGATCTCTCGAGCATGCTGATCTCCGAGGCGTTCAGCCATGCGCTCGTAACCCTTGTATCGAGTTTCGTAGGAGCTCCGGTCAAGGGATTCCCGGACAATCTCATCGCCAAGATGAATCTGACCAGCGAGTGCAGGCAAAGCATCCACTATCACCTGACACTGTGCTACAGTGCTGCGGACAGTCAGCTCATGTGTTGATGCAGTGCAAGAGTCGCCCATACTTACCGAATTGGAATCGGCCCTCCTCCACGACACATCTGGAGCAGGTCGTCGGTGAAAGAGTCGAGCCAAAATCCTTTCACGTCTCCGTTGTAAGGTTCATCGCCAAGTACCGTTGCCATGTGACGCAGGATCGGCTCGCATTGACGCAGAGCATCGGCGAACGGCTGGCGGTTGTAGCGGACATTGCTGTATTTGGGATTGTGCACCGCCATGATGCATGTTCTGAAGTCTTGAAGGACGGTCCAGGCAGAGATGCAGAGTAGCTCAGCTGCATCGCTTGTGGCGCGGATGTTGGTTTTGTTCATGAACAGTGTGACAGTGCCGCGGCGGCCCATGGTTGTCTCAATGCCGAGAAAATCGGATATCTCGTCGTAGGAAATCTCTGGTCCGTTGTCGATTGGCTCAAGACCCCAAGTGATGTGCTCCATAAAAATGAACGCAGTTTGGGTCAGCTCAACTGCGGCCAGGAATGAGATTTTGCCGTCGTAAAAGTCACGCCAAACGGATTGCAGATGGTTTCGGATCTCTCGAATGTCTTCGAACATACACCAGACAGACATAGCAGCCTTGGACTCTCCGTCCTCTTCCAACTCCGGCGTGCTCGGTGGCTGCTCTGATTTCTTGCCGCCTTTCTTCGACGTGACCGACAAATTCTGCAGCCGGTCGGAAGGTTCTTCGAGCTCCAAGGTCTCGAATATGTTCTTCTTAACTGATTCTGCAGGCTTGCTCCCAGTGGACTTGCTGTTACTGCCGGTGGAGTGGCCGCTGTTCTTTGGCTGCTCAATATCCAGAGCCTTCAACAAGGTCCTCACCTCCTCCAGGACAGAGATGAAATGACGGTGAGACTCATTCGTCGAGGTAAACTTGCCGTCCGTGGTATTGACCTCCAGCTGTCCATAGAAATCCGCGCAGCGCTGGCGACCTCGGATTACATCTTCGATGACCAGTAAGATTGATATTGGGACCTTGGATTTCGGCTTGGCAAGACTGATAATCTTCGCCAGGCGAATGAGGGTCTTCGTTGTCAATGGACTCGGCAAGTTCATGACGTTGCCGCTCCGCTCGGTGATGCGCTGTGCTTGCTGGCTGAGCCATCTGATGATTTTCGCAGTGCCCAACTTGTAGCGAGTGTAGTGATCCGCAAGCGGCGAGGGCTCCATGATTGTGTTCCTTGAGGCTTGCGCAAGCAGAAGCGCGTTCGACGGTGCGGCGGCGTTTTGGAGAGATTGGTGTTTGCTTGTGACCAGGCGGCGGGAGCTGGGTGGGGAGTGGGGAGTGGGGGTGGACGGCAGCCTGCAGCCTGTGACACCAACAGCAAGCGCGCGATAGACGCGTCGGGAAGTGAACGGGCAGGAGCGACAACTGACCCTGCTTCGTTAGCTTCAGCGTCAGCTTCACTTCGCAAGCGTGCCCGCAAGAGCACCAGAATTGGCAAGCAGGCCTTTTGCGAATGGCACGGCCGTCGATTTGTTCGAATACATCTACCTACAGTCATGCAGTTCCGCGAATGCTCTTCTTCACTCGAACTCCAAATACACCAAAGGCGTCGTGTATCCGGACCCAACTGTACTTTCCCGCCATTGCTGCGTCCAGCTGAGATAGATCCCTTTCTCGCTCGCGACTCCAGGTCCGCTGGGCAGCAAAGCTGGATGCGCCTGCAAAGAGTATCCGCCTACAATATCATGATCCCCATCCTGCCCAACAAAGAGCTTTTGTGGCTCAGCCCATGGTCCTTCGGGAGAAGGAGAGGCTGTAATGTAGAATGTCGCGCTACCGCCATCGAGTCCCACAGATTGTCCAATCCAGATGAAGCGAGAGAAGTAAGAGCTGTAATAAAAGGTTCCCTGCCCTCCGAGACCGGCGTTGGGAATCACGTAGGTTGATTGTAGGTCCCTTGCCTCAGCAATTGTTGAATACGACGTGCTGTTGAAGAACTTTGGCGCGGCTGTGGAAACTGTAGAAGTATTGAAAACAGGTGAAGAGTTGGTCCAAGTCTGAGTGGACGCCTGATAGTACTGGTATGCCGTTCGGTCCTCTATCCGATCTGGCGAGACGCGTGCCAGCGTTGTCTCACGATCGGCTGTCTGGCCATAGAGGTAGGCCATATTGTCGTGTATCATCGATCCATAGCGACCGTATCCTATGGCATTCTCGCCATAGAAAGATGTGGAGATGATCTCCACTTCGGGAAGAGCATTCGCGTCCGCTGAGGGTGTGTATGTTTCCTTGTACAGACGGTACAAAGGATTGATGGTGATGCCGTTATTGACTCCGCGCAATTGCTGGTTGGGAATCCATGTGTAGGCAACGGCGCTGCCATCACTTCCTTGTTGTGAGATCAGAGGTGGCTGGTCCGGCCAAACCACATATCGAGTCCCGTCTTCGCACGCTCCAGAGTCAGGGCACTGAGTATCTTGGAGTGGGTAGTAGGCTGGCATGGTCAATGTGTTTCCGCCATACATTTGTAAAATCGAATTGCTGCCATTTGATCCGGCGCCCACTGGTCCGGGTGCCAATAGTGGACCTCCACTTGGACTCAAATTTGTCCATGCCGCGCTGTTGGTCATCATTGGCATTGCGATTGGCTTGCCGGTCTGAGCGTCGTAGCCTTGAGTGTCCCTGCAAGTCCAGAGCACTCTGTCACCAATACGTGCTGATCCACAAGAGTCTCTAGTCAATGCCGGGTCTGTGACATTAGCAACATATATCGCTGTCTTCATGATCGGTACTGTCGTGGTCGTGTTTCCAGCGGTTAGGCTGTTCTGTGGAAGTGGAAGAGCAAGCGCCGGCGCTGCCAATGCGAGAAAAGTGAAAGCCATTCTCATGGTCCGTACTGGGTTCCATAGTTGACGAGTTGCTCTCTGGTCCATGCCGTACGAAGTGCGTGGGTGTCAACCAGTGACGTGAATGTCGTAGCGTTTGTGTCGTGTCAGCGAGTGTGGTGTTGGGTCCGAAGTGTCAACGTTCTGTGTGCCGTTGCTGTGTCGAGTCCCGGACCCGAATTTCTGTGACTTTCAAAGTAGGAACGAACGTTGAAGCTAGAAGTAAGCAAGTAAAGAACGATAGTAAGAATGTAACACGCAGCTGGAAAGAGCGACGGGCGAGAACAAGAAGCACGAATTTACGAAAACGAATGCATTCGGGCGACTACAATACCTCATATAGCTGGAATCTCCTGAAGCATTGCGTACCACGCACGGCGATTGAGCGACTGACCAATGCATGCCGAGCGGCGCAGGAGGAATGTAGAAGTGGTCAGGCCGCGCGCGAGGCGAATTCTGCTGTGCATGAGAGGCAGGCAAGAGCGCTTCCACATTGTAACATTGAGGCGAGTGTCTCAGATATTGCAATGTGTAGTCGAGGAGGGTAAAGCGTCAAACCCCTGCGCCGGACTTGAAAGTCTTGGGTTTTGGTGGCCGAATTTCAAGCCGCAAAGCTCCGAACAGTATTGCGCCTGAGGCAGCGACAGAATCTCAAAAGTAATTTGCGTGCGGCGTGCGGCGATGGAGGGGTCAGTAGTGAAGAAGGACTGGAGGGAGTAGTTCATGCATCGAAGCATGCGTAGAGTGTCAGCACTGCCAGATGCCGGTATTGAGTCATTCGGCGCTCACATGCAAGACAAGCCGCCGCCTCTCGCGATCCCGTGATGGGCCGTCGGTCATTCACGCGGTGGAGGTTCATGCACGCGGTGAAAGGAGCAGATGATTGCTGTGCACACTTTGGTGCTGCTGTTCACCAGGCAGTGATAATCATCGTTGGTGCAAACCGGAGGCAAATTCCAGTCATCCGTCGCAGCTTCACCTCCCTTTCATCTCGGATTTCTCTCTCCTCCTGTACGCCTGCACGTCATCTGGAGTGCCGGAAGCTGTCCAGCTCTCCAAGTGGCTGCGCGCGCGGTGTGCCTGAGGAGCTATCCGCCGCAGCTCACACGCCCACGACACGATCCTCCAGCAGCAGCAGCAGCAGCGCACCGACGAGGCAGCGCGCGACTCAGGCCGGTTGCATACTGCGTCTCGACATCCACTGCGCTTCACCGCCGGCGCTGGAGCGGCAGTGGCAGCAGGTGGCAGAACATCGCTCTTCCAAGGTGTGTAAGTTTGGCCTGGCCAATTACGTATCCCCTCCTAAGCCTTGTCTTTTTGCCGAAGCTGGTCTTTTCTGCGTGCTCCTGCCACACGAGCAGCCAGCGGCAGCTCCAGCAGCAATCCTCTTGCCTCTTCGACTCCTCCACCACAACACCTCCAACTCTCCACTCCGCCCCGAGGTCGCTTGCTCGCACACGCAGCTGAGCGGCGACGGGGGTACTATGCATGCCACTAACAGTGAGACCAGCACTCACTGCCTCACTGCTCACGCGAAGTGAGGCAAATGGAGTTTCCTTTGCTTTCGTCACTGGGACTCTACGCAGCTGACATACGCGGAGACGGTAAGGACACGCCATACACCAGTGCAGCACCTGGATGGCCTCCACTAACACGGCGCGTCTGCAGGCAACTGCCTCTTCAACGCCCTGTCCGACCAGCTGTATGGTCACCAAAATGAACACGCCGCCATTCGCTCGCGTGTCATCGATTACATGCGTGAGCATGCCGACTACTACAAACAGTTCATTGACGTGAACCCCGGCGGAGGCATTCGACGCAACCCCAAACGCAAAAATGCCGGCTCCTACTCCTCGCCTGCTTCCTTCCAACCTCCCTCCCCCGCCGACATCGACCGAGTCTTCGAGAACCACCTCGCCTCCATGGCCCGTGGTGGCACGTATGGTGACAACATGGAGATTGTAGCCTTCTCATCGGCAATGGGCTACGACGTGAAGATCTATCAACGTGATTACGCGTTTATGGTGTCGGGTGGCAGTGATGGTGAAGGCGACACTTCTCGACCCGTAGCACACATTGCCTACCACACGTGGGAACACTACTCGTCGATACGAAACCTCGATGGGCCTCATACGGGCATGCCCAACGTGCAGGTCAAGGTACTGTCACCCGAGGAAGAGGCAAAACAGAGAGAAGTCCTGTCGAAGACGTCACCAGTGCTTCCATGGATGATCGATGTGGTTTCCAAGTCGTTACCCTTTTTGGCAGATAAGGTCACCATTAAGAGAGCTCTCGAAGCGACAAAGGGTAATATTGATTTGGCGGTGAACAATCTGCTCGACGCGGACGAGCAAGGCAGCACTTCGTCGCAAGTCGAGAGCTCCAGTGTAGAGCGTGACCATGACAGTGATGATGACACGCATGACGGCCCCAACAAGAAGCAGGATCGACGTATGAGCAGAGCTTCGCGAGCACACAAGGAGAGGACTCGTGACCCCAAGCATGCTCTCTCGACTCTCATCAACCACGACGGCAGCGAAGAATCCTTTGGCAGTTTCGCCTCAGAGACGTCCACACAACCAGACGCCATGCCTCGCTCATCAAGCACTCAACCAACCTCGACCGATGGCAACGACGTGTCGCCCAACGTGAAGACCACATCTCTTTCACAAGACGCGTCCACCACGACCGCGGCGCCCGCCAAGCCGCCCATTAGAATCAAGCTGTTACCGCCGAAACCGCCGCCCGGCAAGACTTCACAAAAGCAGTCCGGTCCACGTGTTTCAGCACGAGACAAGAAGGACATGCAGAAGCAAGCCCAAAAGAAGGCCCGCAAAGAGCGGCATCAAGCTGAAGCCGATTCTGCAAAGCAAGAATCAGCGGCATCAGTGGGCTTGGCGTTACGTGCCAAAGGTATGACCGAGACACCGCCGGTCGAGCCGCTGCGGACTCTCTTCATTTGAAAGCGGCATCCTCTCCATTCTTTGCGACTTTGCATCTTACGAGCCTGCTTGCTGCGGAAGATACCCATTCTGTTGTTTCATGTCGGAGCGAAACATAGCACTTGCATTCTTGATCATAGCGACGGAGTCACACACAAACAACCACAGCATAGGGAAAAATATGGCGTTCATTGAGGGAGAAAATGGGTTTCGTTGACGATACTGGGTGGTGGTGCAGTCTGAGACACCACTGGTGCTCTGAAGGGCTCAGTCGCCGGTGGTAACGACACACATGAAGATTTATTGCTTGGCAACATGGACACGGCGCGCTTTGTGCGTTGCTGATGTCCTGCTACATTGCGGCACGAGACCAATGCGACAAGGAAGAAAAGAAAGACGAAGAAGCATAATACATTTAGACACCAGACTAGTCACTCGATATTGATGCGTGACTGACCAACTCTGGCAAGAGCTGGCGGCGTGCAATGACAATGCCACACATGTCCGCATCACACTACTCTCCCGATCCTTATCATATCTCAACTGAGTCACAATTGTATGAGTGAAGAAGACGTATTACTGACGGGAAGTAGCTCTGGACTGCGTGCGGCTGAGATTCTGTACGAAATTGGCATCACTTCATCGGCCATCCGTCTTCGAGCCATAACGGAAGTCCTTCTGGTCTTGGTCTCACCCAGACAGCTCAGTCGAAACGACTGTATACCATCCCAGTCGTATTACCATGTAGCAGGTCGGCTCAATAATTCAGAGACATTTCGCAGGATTGTGACAAGCCTCCATGAGATGGACTGCAAATGACGCAGAGAAGAGTTTTTCAACGGCGTCGATTTTGTTACTTCGCACAGTCGTTCTTGCATTTCTCCTTCTCAAAACTGCTTCCGTATTGGGGATAGTCGGCCCCACTACAACTTCCAATTAATGGCACCTTTCTCCGACGTTCCCTCGTTCCTGGCTTCTGCTTGGGGGAAATACGATTCAGATGCTCCCCGACAACTTTTTCATGTTTGAGCTCACAAGCTTCACGTAAAGTAGCGCCCATCAACACGTTCCCGGTCCAGTATTCTCGCCTGACCCAAGCAAGTACACGCGATGAATTGAAGGCAGTAATGGCATGACCGCAGCAATGACAGCGCGTGGTGCTTGTAAAATCTACGACAGATGTGCGAGAAGTGCGGAGCTGGGTCGTGCATACTGTCGCCAATCGCGATTGGAGCTGACGGTCAACATGATCTACTTGAACCTACACGTACGAATCTGGAATACCCAGCCAATGCCACTCTTCTCACTTTTGGCGTACAAGACTGACTGTCATGATCAGCTCCCTATATGATCGTCAAATTCACACAAGAGATAAATTCAAGGGCGGTCCTCCGGTGTTCTGTGGCCCTTCGAAGCTCAGCGAGGTTGCTACAGCGAGCAGGTCGTTTTACACCTACTAACGTCCAGGACCGAGACGCTGTGCGTCGAAACTATATATACGCCACAAATGTGGGCTGACATGCGATGTCTTGGCCGCGGCAAAGGAATAGGATACGGTACAAGATCGCGGGATTTCCATCTGATCGTCTTAGGACAGTTTCGACTCTCTCGACTTCCGACAATGCTCTGGCTACTACTCGCATGCCTGCTTGGCGTTGTTGTCGCTGAGCCTCAGCGTCAATATGCAAACAACAACAAGCACTTCTGCTCTAGTGTTAAGAAGATAGTCACCGCATTCAAACAGCAGAAACCTGCATCGAAATACTGCAGTTCGTACCTAAGCATCACCCCATCAGTCACGACTTCGACAGTTACCGTTCCTCCAACACCAGGTCCATGTAAGGCTAGTGCAGTGGTCAGCCCCAGATCCGAAGCTGGCAAGCTGCTCAAGAGACGGCCTTATGAGCCAAAGCCAAAGTGTTTCGCCGGCTACACAAAGAAATCCGTCATCGCATCTGCTTGCAGCTGCATCGTGACGCGCCCAAAACCTGTAACCACTACGGTGACAGTGATCTCAGGTGCTCAACCTCTACCTACGACTCCATCCACATTTCGCATACAGGCAGTCGAGGTTGACGACAGCGAAGTGCCCGAGGCCGCCGCTTTGGAAGGAAATTACGCGAGTCAAGAAGACGACAGGAATCCTTTGCCAGATGTCGAATTCATTGTTCCATCTGCGGCCCCCGAGTCGGCACTCATCTTCACCTTCGTTCCAGGAACCAATAACGTACAAACATTATCCGACATAGTTCGCGTCTTGATCGGCGAGAGACCACCCGGCGAGGTTGAGGTAGCTGGGGAGGAAAGGCTCGAGCTGGCGGCAGCACCAGGTGGACAAACGAACAGTGGTTCAGGGCGAATCCAGGCTGTCGTGAACTGCACGATCGTGCCTCGCGAGGATCAGACGTGCACATTGAACTGCATCCGGCCTGGCGTTCTCATGGACAGAACGCATATCAGTATTGGAAATGCACAATGGCGAATCAGTGATAGAGATACGGTGAGCGCTGGATTCGGCGAGGTGAGATTTAGAGCTATCGCTGTTGAAGTTCTCCAGGAGTGAGGATCACGGAGAGTCTTTGTGCGCTTTGGTGTTTAGTTGGTCTAGGTATCAACGTCCACGAGAAGATTCTCGAGCATAGCCCTCAACACCTTTCCGGTGTATGCGTTCTCTTTTTCCAAGATTCGCTGGTCCCTCGCAGGCTCCAGAATGCACCATCAAGTGCGCAGGTGGCCGCCAGTTCGAGCTTTTGCAAATTGTGGCCGTCGTTTGCAAAGTCTCGACTGCTGAGCATAGTGACTAGTTGTCTTGCGGCAGCCCGAGAGGACAGTCCTCGTTGTGCGCATTATCCTCTTCCCGATCTATAGGGCCATAGTCGGCAAGGCACACCCAGCAGAACTCATGATAGCAGCGTTGGCCTAGGATCAGGGATGTTAGCAACCTCGGTCATCGTGTCGAGCGCAGAAGCAACCACTTACAAGTCATGTGTTCGCAACCACTGTTGGTCATTAGCATCTTTACCACTGAACAGAAGTTCTAGACAACTCACTCTTTCTTCTCAATCCTCGCTTCACAGCTAGGGCAAGCCTTTGTCGTGGCTTCGACCGTTTCTGCAGAAGCCGTATCTTCTTCGTTCTCGTCGCGGCGGGTTTCGTTCGCGTACTCGGTGCAAGTCTGGGCTTCGTGCCAGTCGCTATCGCATTTGGTGCAGTGCTCATGTCCGCACTCCGGGCAATGGAACTTCTCGCGGCAAGGATCCTGGAATAGGCCGGAGTTGCAGTTGACGCGTGAGCAGTAGTGGAAGTCGGGATCCCGGCGAAGGAGGGCAAGGAGGCAGAGATCTGAGTATCTGGGAGCAGTCAGCCATTTGAGAGTAGGGAGGGAAGGGGTTGAGGTTTGGTGTCAGGCATACCGCTCAAAGACGCTCCGACTGGCGTATGCCATCATGTCTTCGGTGTTCAGACTTTTCATGCAATTGTCCTCCATGCAACGAAGCTCATCAGGCGGGAATGTGGCGAGCTCGTTCGTGAGGTGTCTGTCCCAGCAGTCCGAGCAACTCAGGACGCCGTGGCTGCAGGAGGAAGTGTTCGGGAAGGAGGACTCGTCTTCATACTCGCAGCAATTTCCACAATACCGTGTGGGATGGGTCTCGCCCTGTCCGTCGGGTTCCGTCATGGCTCGTGGACGGTTCCAACCGATGTGAGCTGTGGGTGACAGACGTCTTTCAGCGCCGACTTGAGGTTGACAAGGAGCGCGAATTCTGATACTCGCCTGGTCTGTCACTTTGGAGTCGTTTTGGAAGCAGTGGCTATTTGTACAAGGGACGAGTGAGCGGAGCGGGAATGGCTTGGCGCCGATGAGCTGCCACAGTGCGCTAGTATCTTCCAACTACAGAACAACGGACGACTGCGAGTCGCTGGAAACTTTCCGATCGATGGAGAATAGTCATTGCTGATACCCAAAGCAGGTCGCAGGTTCACGCTACCACTACATTAGCAGCCAAGGTACCTCTGCTCGACCCACCTGGGCTCCGTGTCGCCAACGATCCTGCAAACCACCACTTTGATCTCCGGATACACGTTCATGAGCCTGTTCAAGCCATCCTTGCCAGCCATGTAAGTGACGAAGACGATGTGGCTTTCCTTGACGCCATGGTCGAGCAAGACACGGACAGCCATAAGAGCGGCGCCGCCACTGCTCATCTGTGGATCCATGAGCAGGACCCTCTTATGGGTCTCCACGTCCGGACTGAGTTTGAAGTAGTGCAGCTCCGGCTCGCCTGTGCGGAAGTTGGTCTGGATCAGCATGCGGCCGATACGACAATCGGGAACCACGCGCTTCAGACCAGTCTCGAGACACGCGCCACCTCGCAAGATGACGACAGCGGAGACCGCGCCATCGACGGTGAGGCCGTTGTAGATTTCACCGGGAACGGGAGTGTTGACTACCTGCTGCCGGTAGCACATTCCAGCCGCGAATGCCTGCTCGACAAGCATGACTGCTAGACGATCAAAGTAGAAGATAAAGTCCTCACGCTCGAGAGCAGGATTCATAAGAATGGTGTTGATGCCGCGGACTTGGTTGGTGTGCTCCAGCATTTCCACGTTGGAAGACAGAGTTGCGTCTCCGGAGACCTGACCCAGACGTTGCAGGTCAAGCTGATGCTGGCGAGACTTTTCATCGAGTGTCTTGTGGATGCGATCGGATACCATACTTATGGCCACCTTGTTCTCGATGCCACGAGGCACGATGAGGTCTAGCAGAGTTGTCAGTGCGAGCTCGTCTGGATGGGCACGACAAATTTGTGGGGCGAAAGAACACATGTCAGACAAGATGAAAGATGGTAATTGTTTTTCAACAGGAAGTTTCAGTTGAACTATGCATTGAAATTTTGAATCATCACAGTGTTGAATGAGAAGAAGAAGGATTTGACATACCTGCGACGTTTCGCTGTGGCTCCACATATTTGTGGAAGTTGGGCTTGACGAAGCTGAACCACTGCTTGATGCAGCCTTCGATATCTCGACCGCGCTCGCGAACATCGCGGAGGACTGCATTCTATCAGTATGCGGGATTCTCACAGGCATGACACGTTACTTACCACGTCGAGAGAGACACAAATCAGCATCCGCTTCAGTGAAGATGCGGAGATCAAGCAAGTCGAGAATGCGTTGATCGTGAAGTGCAAAGATGCCTTCCAACACCAGGACATGCGGCGAATATATGGTGTTTGTCTTGTCCACGCGAGCATGCTTCTCGAAAGAGTAGACGGGGATGTCGGTCTTCTTGCTAGGAAGATATTAGTACAAGTATTACAGGCAAGGAAGAGTCAGCTTACCCAGCCTTGATGTCTCGCAGGTTCTCCACCAACTTGTCGAAGTCAATAGCCTCGGGAGCGTCAAAGTCGTACTCGTTCCTGAAAGCAGCTGCCGACTGCTCCTCGGTGAGAGGCTTGTAGTAGCTGTCCATCGACATAACGACGACCCATGGCAAGCTCAGCTCTCTGATGATGGCCATAGACAATGATGTCTTGCCAGAGCCTGAGCTACCGGCCACACCGATGATGGAAGTGTTCGCCCATGGCGGCGAGTAATGAGCACGCGTTGCACTCGAGGCAGTCTTGGGCGAGTCCAATGAGGCGAAAGCGCCCAGAGGGAGCTCGAGGGAAGGAATGTTCATCGCAGGCGCATGGAGAGGACCGCAGCCGATACCTCGATGGTCCACATGGTCCCGCGTAGTATTTCAGGCGGAAGTGAAGGCTGCGAGGTGTGGTGAACAGGTCGAGAAGAGTGGGCGCAAGAGAAGCAAAATCGAGTCCGAGGAGCTTAGCGAGACGATTGCAAGCCAAAAGTGGTGGCACAAGTATTCACTTGCTTGTCCAGAGTATTCCAACTCTGCTCATTGTTCCGGTGCTGATAAGTGAATGGGGACAAGAAATAAGGAAGTCACCAGCGATATGGAGGAGAGACAATCTCCTGTCGGGGGTCTATGAGCTGGCCCTGAGAGTAGAGCTCTGACACGGAGGACTGCTTCTGTGCCACCATTAATTGCAGGTCTTGGCACATAGCTACCTCCGCACGTGCTCTGTAGTCTGAGCTACAAATCTCTGTCTCGACCTCACTTCCCATCCGCAACACATTGTCACGAGTTTTCCTGGAGTAGGGACTCACGACAAATCTTCCAACTGGGTAGCTCCAACTGCCTGGCTATGACCCGCACAAGCGCCCAGTTGCGGACATGGTGAGTCCACGACAGCTCCACGAGTCGCGCCTATCTAATGCTGCCCACAGAGCTCATCGCCATCTGCGCCTTCCACGATGCGGCCCACACACTCTTTCGATGCGAAGGTGGAGGAGAAGAAGCCGAGCAAGAGGTAGGTACGCGCTGCACCTCCCTTCCGACCCCACCTACATGATGTGTCAAAAACAAATGGGAATCTCTCCTAGACATACTGCGGAGAAAGATATATTTGTACCTCTGAACCACGCCATTGCATCTCTATTGCATTGAGCAGAAGCCTCGAACATGCTGCGATCAGTGTTGACGGCGCGCCACGAAGAGCGCGCCAGGCTTGACAAGTTCCCGGCTAACAAGTTCCGACGCAGCGAGATCAATTGGGTTATCATGGACTATCTCGTCTCAGAAGGCTATCCCGCCGCAGCAGAGAAGTTTGCTCAGGAGACCAACGTCGGCAACCCCGAGGACATGGAGAGCATTCGGGAGCGCGTCGCTGTGCGCAATGCCATCCACGCTGGCAATGTGGAAGAGGCCATCGAGCTCATCAACGAGATCGACCACCAGGTATGTCCGCAGTCTTCCTCCATCCCGCACCGACATGATTATTGTTTCATGCACCACTCATATACCTTCGGGTTTTGATGATATCAATAAACTACACTTCAGTCCTCAGTATGATCTCGCTCTAGCTGCCCGCATCATTGTTCAAGAAGCTTGCCATGCGCACTTCGCTGACAATGGTCTTCCGTACAGATCCTCGATCAAAACCAGCTACTCCACTTCAATCTACTTCAGCTACAGCTGATTGAGCTGATTCGTGGCATCATCATTCGACCTGCCGATGGGCCACAGCCAACTAGTGATGACTTCCGCCCAGCGCTGGACTTTGCCACAGAACAGCTCGCGCCGAAAGCACCCACCGATGCAAAATACCAAGAGGCTCTTCAGCGAACTATGGCGCTTATGATCTTCCCTCCCGATAAGATGCAGCAGGAGTTCAAAGAGTTGTTGGACCTTCGACTGCGCGAGAAGGTGGCTACAAGTGTGAACAAGGCTATACTGGAAAGCAGAGGACAGCGGTCAGAAGCAAAGATACGCAAGCTTGTGCGAGGCAGAGCCTGGGCAGAAGCGTTGGCAAGAGAGGCAAAGGCAGATCTGCCGGCTGTGATCCCTATCGGCTTGGACGGGCCTGACACAGCATCGTCCGCTGGCGATGCCATGGTGCAATGACGTGATGACAAGTTATGAGATGATTGATATGTGTTTGGGATTAGCGCTGGCGCTGGTGGTGTTTGCATGACTTTGATACATTGACTGCTCTGCAGACCCGAGCTCAACATGATGAAAGGGGACTCAGTACCCACGATAACGCGAGACCAAGATGCATTGGTCGCGACTTGCAATACCAAACCAGAAATTTCACACGACCTGTTCTCTTGGATCTCTCCTTTTTGTCATGCCTGTCAACCTGAAGCTGAACCTGCAACCGACTCCTCAGCTTTCCTCTTTCGACTGTTCCTCTGACGCTCCTTCCGCTGCTGCTCTCTCTCGACATATGTCACGCTCATCTCGAATCGATTCTTGGTTCCGTGGCCAGTCTCCCAATGCTTCTCGCCAGGCGCTGACTTGTGCTGCGCATTCCCTGCATCGGCGATCGGCCTCAACCGGTATAGGTACTCCTCGCAGGATTCCTCCGGATGGTTTTTGCGGTTGCATAGCTTGCAGAGCTGGAAGTGGTGTTTGCAAAAGGGCAAATGCTGAGGCCTGCCGCCAAGATAGGCACTGCCCTCGCCGACCCACGGGATATGACAACCGCTGCAAAAGCGAAAACCGCAGCCACCGGGAACTTCGGCTACATTGCTTGAGCATATAGTGTAGCCGCAGCCATTTTTAACATGCTCGTGTGGTACTTTGCAATTTGGGCAGTGATCTTTCTCCAGAGTGGCTGCTTCGGCTACGACGCGGACAGGGTCATTGTTTACGCGCTGCTGGTACTGCGTACAGGTCTCTCCAAAGTGCTCTGGACGATCACAGTCGACGCAGGTTGCAAAGTTGCAGGCGTGGCATGTAAAGATGCGGCCTTCTGCTGCTCGGTCGAAATCCTGAAATGGAGTGTCAATGCCTTGACAACGAGCTTGGCACTTCCGTTTTGTTTCCTGGACTCTCTTCGTATCGTATCTGGACGCACGCATACATCAGCCTTGCGGACATATGGTTTGAGAGCATATTGCGGCTTACCTGACGATGGTGTCGGCATGAGACAGCTGCTCCAATTCGGACCTCATAAGGGAGCTGGGACAGAACATACACTGGATGTTTGTCATATGGTCTCCAGAGTGCGGGAAATAGATCACTGGACTCTCTTCGACTTGCATGCTGAGGTACAGCTCCCAGCATTCACTGCACGCGCGTTCGTCTTCCCCGTGCTGGATGGCTTGCTTGGTTCTCTGGTCAACGCATGTGCTTAAAGAGCTTCTGAAGCTCGCAACCTGAGAGCGACAGACGGGGCATTGTTTCCTGGGACTCATAATGCTGGATGACTGTGTTGAAGAGCTCTATGGCTTTGTCGAAGAGCTGGATGGTGAGGATACGTGTGTTGCTGTGGATGTCCGCCTTGGGGTTGAACGCGCAGCGAAAATGATCAGAGCAAGCTAGCGCACTTGACCTCAGACCGCGATCGATCTGGCTGTGAATGAACGAGCAAGTACTGGCATAGCTTGCCAAAGTGAGGTGTGATAGGCTGCCATTCAACACTCATCACCATTTTTCAAGGCCGGACACGCGAATTTTGCCCTCACTTCACGCTATTCGATCCGTGTTCAATGAGAAGGTGCGTGTTCTGTACTTACTAGTCGCCGGGGCACAATATTTGTCCTTGAGGATCACGACTGGCTAGTGTGTTGCATTCATCCGAACGTTCTCGGAATCAAACTCTGTGGTCTGCATTCACCGGGCTGGCACACAAGTCTGATGAATAGCTTGCGGAAATGGCATGAGCAGACCCACGCAATGAAATTCATCTCGGAATCTCATTGCATGTGATCTACTGAGTGAGGTTGGGCGCACCTTCTTTGCAAATGAGGTGTGTGGTAGAACGTGCAACTAAGCGCATGTGTGATGCATTTGCCGGTCGGAGATGGCATAAAAGGGGGCTCCCCTTCGCCGCCAACTCTTCAACATTACACACACATATCGACTACAACCACAAACACAAAGCCCCGATCTTGTCACACCAGTTTCCACCTGGACCCTTCACAGAAAAGCCAAACACATCACACGGCTCAAAGGTTCTCTCTTGCTCATCTTGAGGCAAAGCCGACAAGGACTTTGTTGCTGGTAAGTGACGTTGGTCTGAAGACCTTGCCAATTCCAGAAATTTGTGACACTCTCGTCTGTTATTGACTTCAATCTTGGGTCTCTCACGTTGGTCGTGGCTAATGCGACAAACAGCGCGACAAGTGGTGCAGAACACGCTCAGTCCGGAATCGTGAACGTCGCATTGAGCTCCACTCGAGAGTCCGCTTATTATACCACTACTCGGATGAACAGGTACTGACTTTCCAGCTTCTAGCAAATTTCCATCCCATCACAAGAGCAACTCTGCAGCTTCGGCTAGCTCAAACTTGCAAGCAGTCCCTTCGCCGACAGTGACAGTCGCCATAATCCCCGACATTTGAAGTCCGCAAACCAGAACAAGTACGCAACATCCCCAGAATCATGCAAATGCTCGTCTTCGTCGAGCGGTAGAGCTAATGAGGACTTTCCAGATCAAAGAAGAAGTCTGCCAGCCCACGGCCCGAAGATTCGCAACTCGAACATCTTTGAAGTCATACCAGTATCTGCAAGCAGATCTATCTCGACACCAAGTCCAACATGAATGAGTCATTCCTCACCCCCGGCGCTTTCGGACGTTCTGGCTCTGTGATGAGCGGACCACATGGCAGCGATGCGCTGTTTGTGCAAGACGAGGCTTCGGATGGTGAGCGTCCATCGAAGCCTCGTCTTGCCGAGCACGATATCAAGGGCGAAGTTGAGTTCGAGGTCGAGCAGCCTGCTCGCCAGGCCTTTGGTCTTTCTCCACCATCTGACGATGGTAACAATATCCATCAAGACACGGATATCATCGACCTTGAGGACGCTGCTGAGGAGAAATACTGGCTGGAAGAGTTCAAACAGTGGCTCCCAAAAGTCGAAGTCGAGGCGCGACTTAAGGAGAAATATGCCCAAGCTTTCAAGCGTCAAGCAGGCAAAGCTATGCCAAATACCCATAACAAGCAGAGAATGGAGGAAATCGTAAGCTGCGCAAGAGACAACGACACGACTATCAGGTACATCCTGTCGCGTGACAAGAAGGTCTGGTACTCAAAGCTGAAAGAAGCTGAGAAAGCACTTCATCTGGAGCACGACGAGATCCAGAAGTTTCGCGACCTCCAGAAGCGAGCAGAGTACAAGCACATCCTGGATGAGCACCTTATCACCAGAACTAAGGCCAGGATTCAAGTCGTCGAGAAGGACCTCGAGATCCGCAAGAAAGTCGTCAAGGAGATGACGAAATGGGTCAAGGACGAGTAAAGCTTTGCTCGTCAGATTTTCGAAAGACGATCCGACTGAGGAAACTTCACGATGAGCGAAGCGCAAGCTCACTAGCACACTTGGGACATTGTATAGTAGCATCAGGTTTCAAATTTTGGAGAAGATACCATCGGCTTGCGAGAGGAGCCGATCTCGGCCAGTAGAGCATTGTGGACTGCAACTCCTGGAGTTTCGGATCTTCTTTTGGCCAGTATTGATTATGAAGCGGATCTCTGATGAGACTCGGGAAGCAGACTCTGACAACTAGGCAGTGCGATGTAACTGCATTTATGATACTTGTGCTATGACCCTACACAAATTTAGCCAAAATGATTTCGATGTGTGAGTCCGGGCGGTTAGTCTCCAGCTGTGCATCAGCACCATCGTGATTCATGCAAGCTTGAACGATGAATCGTTGCTCAACAAAGCCGTGAAGTCGTCGAGACGACAAAAGAACGCTAAACCCGATTCACCGGTGCCGACGTTCCGATCAGCTCGCCATCATCCCTGTCCGTACCTCTGTATTCAGTCGCCACTTCCAACATCTGACGACCTGCAGCTTCACCTTTTCTCTTGCACCCACCTGTGCCATCATTACAATCATCAAAGATGGCCTCGCAAATAACAGAAAAGCAGCCTCTCCTCCCAACCACAGACGCCTCCACCGAGCCCGAAGTCGAACGCTCCCTCTCCGAACTCCAACAAGATGTCTTCGCCGCCCAACGCCGCTACATGAAAGCCTGGTCCCGCACAACAAGCGGCACCTGGCACAAACGCATTATGTTTTCCGTCACAGGCCTCCTGCTCACCTTCATGGCCCTCATGCTTACTCTCATCGCATTCGACACCTTCGACGACGACTCTTCCTGGCCCTACGATGGAATCACTCGAGTTCCACTAGAAGCCCACATCATGTCCAAATGTCCCGATGCGAAAGACTGTCTCCACGATTTGATCTTACCTGCGATGCAGAAAGTCTCTGATAAAGTGGATTTCCGCCTGTCGTATATCGGGTCGATCACGGATCATGATGATGGGGTGAAGTGTATGCATGGGCAGGAGGAGTGTTTGGGAAATATTATTGAGTTGTGTGCGGCGCATTTGTATCCGGATCCAAAGGTGAGATGGAGCGACTCTTTCTTGTGCGATGTCTTGTGGCCTTTGCATGATGAGTGGCGAATTTGGCACGATGTGAGATGGTGCTAACAATGTGTTCGATAGATCTACCTCGGATTCACGATGTGTTTGACGAGAGAGTATCAGAAGATTCCAGAGCGAGCTTTGCTGGAAGACTGTGCTCTGGAGCATGGTATCGACTTTGAGCGTGTCAACAAATGCACCAGCAACGACGACGGCGAGCTTGCCGTAAAGCGGTTACAGGTACGTACTGGCACCGACTGCCTCTATATGATTGCAAACTCAGCACTGACATTTTGACAGGCCAGCTTCAACCACTCGGCATCAGTGGGCGTCACCAAAAGCTGTACCGTTCGCCTCAACAACGAAATCCGCTGCATTCGAGATGGCGGGAAATGGACAGATTGTGAGGGAGGCTCTCAGCCATCTGATTTGGTACGAGATATTCTCGATCTCTCTTCTTCATTCTACTGAAAGCTATGCCGTTTCATAGCCGGGTACTGTCTTGATTGACAGCCCGTTTGAGAATTCATTCTTCATAAGCCTTTCATGTCCTCATGTAAATCATGCTTTCTTTGTTGCGCCGAGTAGAACCCCCGTGAGCTGCGTCTAAAAAGTGACAACGCTATGCCTCCATTTCGCCATGCATGTTGAAGAATCGCAGTAAATGTCGTGCTGTCGGATAATTGGCTCCCACTAGCATAAGGCCATTCCATACCGCCTCGCCCGCTCCGTACACCTCAAAAACTCCCAGTGACAATCACACAGCTCTCTTCAGTTCACCAAGGACCCCAGGTCCCTCGAGATCCACCGCTAGAGGCCAGCACCTCCCATCTGCCCATCCTCTCAGCTGTGCAAAACGGACGCCGCAATGCCGCGCCGAGCACATACTCCATCCAGTCGGTTGTTAAAGGCACAGTCCCTTGTTCGAGATCGGGGAATCTCCGCATAAGTGTTACGTAGGTTGAGTGAAGATGAGACGAGCTCGATTGCGGGTACTTGCTCGATGTCGCAGCAAGTTCCACGGTCTTGTCCCATACCATTAGCAGGTACTGTCGGTGGTGCGCGTCATGCCAATGTGTCGGGGCATTTGGTATAGAGCTACTTTGTCCGAGGTGCTGGGAAACTGCCTGTGTAGCTCGCCGAACTAGGCCTGGCTGCGCTTGTGACATGGCGTTGGTTCTGATTTGAGTTGGTATGGCTGGAGTGCTGGCACCTTTCTGATATGTTGGCCGTGTTGCTGGTCGGGAAACAGCCCGGGTTGCTGCAAATGAGCTCGCCCAAGTGTATGCAACAGCAGTATCGGGTCTGTTGATGTTTTCGTTCTCCGCTGTCGATGTCGACGGCGGTCTGTTTATCAACGTGTCAGAAGTGGTGATCGTGATTAGAGGTATGTGCGCGAGGTGGGTGGCGAGCGGAGGGCGCTCTGTGTCAGGGACCGAGGATTCATGTTTGAGTGCATTCTGAGAAAGGGAAAAGCTCGAAATATCGCGGAAGGATTGTGGTTGCTCGGCCATGCTTCGGGTAATGGGAAGTCTATTATCCGTGTGTTGTCGGCAGGGACTTGTGGGCTGTTTGTTGGTCGAAGCAGGTACTGGGCAACTTTGTGGTCCATTGTGCTGGGCGGGAGTCCGTAGTGCAAGGCCGATATGCCTCACGCGTTTGCTCGTCGTGCAAAGTGCTTCTGACCAAGTGCTTGGCCCTTATGGCAGGTGACTCGCAGTGGGACGAGGGCTTGAATGCGGCTTTGCAGACGGGCTTACCTTGTAAGGCGGCTTAATCACCCATGGCTCTGCCAGAAGGTGTGCTCCCACTCGCTGTCTCGACTGGCGAGACACTCGGGGCGACAGAGGGGGCCAGAGTGCGGATTCCGTGTTGTGTTGTAAAGTGAAGTTGGTGGGAAAGTTCGCAAGC